ATGTGGACAGGATGTATGTATACTATATACCATTTACATACCTCGCAAGCACCAACAAATCAAACCATTGATATGTAGACAGGAACTTTGTATAGTTTATACATTAAATATATTGTACTGACATGACTTGTGTTGCATGGTGATACATGTATTTCTGACTGTGTGTTATATATTGGATCCTGACAGTTAACTGGCTTAAACATTAATTAAGAATGTTCATTACTCCCTGTGGCTTCCTTGTTTAACAATAATATATTTACTGCTCATTTTGAATAGCAGTAGGGAAAAACACATGGTATGGCCGTTGAAATGCCATTATTACTTTCTTTAAAGGAGAATACGAACGAAAACAAAACTTTTGATATATTGTAAAGAATATTCTAACTTTCACATTCCGTGATTAATATTGAACAAAAAGTTTGTAAAATAGCAATAAAAACACACAAACGTACTCGTATTTCCGCCTATTACGGAAACACCCGACAGTTAATGAGCAGAGGGGGGTATCACGTGACATGACGTCACAAGTGCCTGTTGCTGATGGCTTTCTCTTCGATTTAACAGTGTCCGGGGATTCTGAAGCAGTAAAAGCTGTTCCTGGTGTCATTTCTGAAATGGATGTTAGACCATATCAATACGATCCGATTTTACATCTTGCAAAACAATCTTCCACTGAAGATGAAGAAGAAGAATCAAGCGAAATGGAGGCACCGCTTGAGGTCAAAATAAATTTTAAAATAGACCATATCATTTAACAAGATTACTATTTGTCAGCAAAATGTCATACAGTTCCAGCCAGCAAACTCACCCCTATAAATATATGACCAGTCACTAAGAATTATTCTTTAAAAATGTGATTACAGTTCATTTTGTGTCAAATGGGTGACTGTAGGGTGTCTGGGATTTAAAAACAAAATAATTATGCTTCAGACGAGGGAAAATAAAAATTATCTGCTTCAAAAATTACACTGGAATTATTTTGTTGAAAAAAATTAGGAACCTTGTTCTCATTAATAACGTATCAAGTCTCGATACAAGATCCCAGCCTGGTCGAGCAGAGATAATATTTGCGACGCAGATAAGTTATTCCCCGAAAACTGGTGAATTATAAAATACTAATCAGGACAACGTATGTTTCCCCATTGTTTGGTTATGGAAATAGTTATGATACTCGGTCATAGCCTTAGAATGGCATCTTGTCAGCCAATGAGAATACAGAACAACTTTCACGGCACACACTACTGACAAATACCGAGTCTGATGCCGACGGGCAATTTGACCAAATTTGCTGGGGCATTTTGTAGCGGGGGCAATTCGACTGGCAACCGGACTTTATTAAATTTATGTTAAAATACCACTGACAGTAAGTTGTTACAGGGAATGATGGAGTATAAATGAATCTCGTAGATACTTTTTCCTTCTTCAGCCTAGCTTGGGCATTTCCATACCCCATGCGTGCATGTTTCTTTCATATGCGTCCGACTCGGAATAATCGGCGCATTTCTCCTGCCGAAATCTGTCATTTCACTTGGAAAACGGAAGAAATGGTGGTTCTTTCCCATGTTCGATGATGCCGTGCATCTCCAGGCAACGCAATACACCATCGTACCATTTAAAAGAACGACAGAAACAACACGATTTGTACTACTGTAGCGTTTGGTCTTTGGCAATATGGCGGACTCCAGGCACATTTGACGTCACGAGCGGAAAGGTCACATGGGTTCCAGCGAAATATGCATAATGACCGAAGCTGAGATTTACAGAAACTGTTTTCGCGATTAAAACATAATTATACATAATTTTTAATTGAAAATTTGGGAATATGTTTCTGATGACTTTATCTTTCACCCAGCAAATTATTGCAATTCACTCGTATTCTCCTTTAACGTCCGATACATTCTGTTACAAAAACACATTATTTATGGAATATCCATGAAATCCACCTGCCACTTAATGTCAATGATTTACACGTGCAAATCGCTCTATCAATGGAAATAGGAGGAAACTGCTCATGCATTGATGCTTTTTCACTGCCATTCACTGATCAGTTACCTGTTTGAAATCGCAGCTTAAAACGAGACGTTTTTTACACTTGCTGAAAGGAGTCAGGCTATATGCTTTTTCTAATCTGGTCAAACTCAGCGGCAGGTTGCTGTCCGCGTTAATGAGAGTCAGAGTGTTATTGGTAGACTGTGGCAGAGATTTCAAGCCAGTGGGTCCATGGAATATGTACGTCGACCAGGTCTCCCCAGAGTCACAACAGTCCGAGATGATAGGCACATATGATTAAAACTGCGTTCACCACTAACACTACGTCACAGGCAGGCACGTTTGAGATGGAGTAGACATCATGGCCGCCGGAATCAACGTCAATGGTCTCGTGTGCTCTTCACAGATGAAAGCAGATTCAATTTGTCCTTCCATGGTGGTCGGCATAGGATTTATCGTCGCAAAGGAGGGTGAATCACAGATGCAACTGTGACCACGCATATATAATCGATTTGGCGGGGATCGGCCATGGTTTGGGCAGGATAACCCCTACTGGACGCACTCCACTGCACATGATCGACGGTACTCTTACCGAACAGCGTTATCAGGACGAGATTCTGGCTCCTTCAGCTATATGGCGGCGGTCTGTAAATAATCGAGTCTGGACCAGACAATCCAGTCATCAACAGCATGAGCATCAATCTACGCAATTGGGATACGATGACATGTGTCAACCAAGTCAGCGGGCCTGACCACCCGATCCCATTAGTTGCCTCTTACGAAAAGCATGGGTTACTAAAGATCAATTCTAACCATGATCCTCGCGGGTTCTCAAGTTACTAGAAGACCAGCATTGTGTTTTATGATCATTATACCCCGGATACTCTGCCTAGTTCCTTTTTGGATTACTGTTGCACAGAACTGAGCATTACCATTACTGTCTTTATTGCTATAATCACTACTCTTTGAGTTTGTACTGCCACTCTATTTGGTACTGTCATATAGTGAGTGACTGAGTATGATTTTAAGCCGCTTTTAGCAATATTCCAACAATATCACGACGCGTGACACCAGAAATGGGTTTCATACATTGAATCCATGTCGGGAATCAAAAATCGCTTCGGGGTGATGAGCAAACGCTTTAACCACAAGGCTACCCCACCGCCCCACAGCCATATAGTAATGCATTTTTACTGATTTGTGAACTTGGTCGATTTTAGTGTCAATTTCATTACATTGCTTTGTAGTTTGTTAGTTTCACACATAGTTCCTTTACTGAATGATTCCCAGTTAACTTTTAGTTTTAACTTTGAAATCAGCACGTAACACTGGATGCCCCATTCTGACCTATCAGGACTCCCGTTTTGCCTCTGTAATACAGAGAGACAGGAGACAACAAATACTGACTTATAATTTTATTGATTTAATGATATGTGTGTGTGTGTGTGTGCATGCATGCGTGCGTGCGTGTGTGGGGGGTTGGGGGGGACGACGTACGGTCCATCACCCTCAGGCGATATTTAACAAGGGTGCCAAACTCCATAACATTATGATGAACCGGCCAGTTCATGTTGTTTCCCCTTACTTTCAAAGATAAGAGTAATATTATACTGCATTTAGACATACTTCCACATACATCCAAAGTGATTTCAATGCATAAGTGATCGTAAATCCCGCGAAACAATCTGAGTTGTAAGCTTTAATAGTATTCAAATGTAATGAGGAGAAGGCACAGAGGATATTTTGTTAATGTTGTCAAATAACATGTATATTTCATCGAGTGGTCTGACAAAGAGTCTTTGTCAGACCACTCGATGAAGTATACATGTTGTTTGACAACATTAACAAAATATTATATTCATTATATTTTTTTATCATTGTTTATAAATGATCGAGACATCGATCATTTCGTTAATGGCAAAAACATAGTCCATGGCATTTCGTAGTTCCAAGCAAAAGTGATATTCTACTCAGTGAAATAACATGTTATTCTACTCAGTATAAATACCATTTTTATTTTCACCAATATTTACAGTATTTCACCCTTAAGAATATAATAATAAATTATGTTATACTAAATACAAGTAATATCAGTGCGCATGGATCTGCAGTCAAGCATATAAGACACTGAATTCTTCAGTATATATATTTTTTTTATATTTCATTTGTTTTCTGTCACATGCCATGTTTAGTTTGGCGAAATTTATTTGGATTCCTTACAGGTTGACTCTTACACACTTACGTACAGAGTCGTGCAAAAAGTATTCGACACTTGACGCAATTTCCATATAGACTTACATGTTATTTCAGTGTAGCATTAATAATTTTCATGAAGTGAGTTTAGGATGGATCTTTGTAAAATTTGACAGGCAAATTTGAAATCATCTCTGCGCACATAATTTCAGTTCAATTTTCCAACCACTATTTAACTAATGACATCACATTTATCAACTTACATATGGTTCCACAATGCACAATCCCATAGGCCGCCATGTTAAAGGAGTGCATGGCACTGTACATGGTTTATTAAATTGTTGCCATTCGATAAATAAGCAACGGAAAGTTAAACAGAAATTATGTGATTGTAGGTAAGATGATTCCTCACAACTGTGCAAAATTTGACTTGGATCTTACGGAAATTAAATTAATGAAAATTATTCATGCTACACTAAATAGCTGTGTACAAATTGGTGACCCCCCCCACCTCCAAAGAACAAAATGGGTGACCCCCCCTTAAAATCACCATCACCCCCGAGCCATAAATTATGAACAGTCCCTAATGAAGATGTACGCATTTTAAGAAACCCCTTTGAATCTTGTAATTAAAATATTATGTATGCAGACTTGGTCTCGTCGCTGTATAACTGAATCAATGCCGATGCGACGTAAATCTTCCACTCTCATGACAGCTGAATGATCCCACTATTTTGCCAAGAAGAGAGTTATCTCACGACTGTTCGTTTCTCGTCGAAGATGGCGCTCACGTGAGGTACATGTACGCATGCGCGAGAATTCTTACACTTCCGTTCGATGGATGTACTGATTTAGAAACGATACATGAGATATTTACTCACTGGAGTGTGATTTAAGCTAACTACTGTGTATGCGTTGTTGCCACATATTGTAAGATTCTTCCAAAATGGCTAGCGTGTCGTATCATATCGCAAATCTTCTTGAGAAGGTGAGAACGCCTAACTTGCCGGTCATCATGGTCGCTGCCATTTTTTCCGAAGGCTGTCTCGTTATTTATACGTTTGTCATGAACACTTACCACAAAATCATACCGAGCATGTTGGTGCCAGCTAAGCATTACCTGGCCTGAAACCTGTGCTTCCTTTTATTGCTATTTCATACGTTTCTAATGGTACAGCGAGTGTAACATCTGAACCGAGCAAACATGTGACATGTCCAGGCTAAGCAGAAAAAACGAAAAAAAGTTTAAATACATACTCATTTCGAAGTCTTGAATGTATTTTTTCTATCTGTCACACTTTCATATCATGAAAGAGCTCAATCAACTGCTCTGTGACTGGGTTATAGTGCACATTGCAATATTTAACAATAGTCTGGTTCGCTGACTTGGTTGACACATGTCATCGTGTCCCAATTTGTGTAGATAAGTGCTCATACTGTTGATCACTGGATTGTTAAACACAGATGTTTAATGATAGACAGATTTATTACAATCTGAATAGAACCACATAAACAATTACACTGAAATGTTTCATGCTGAATAACACTGACTAGTGTTTCTGGTACTCAAAATTCCAAATCAAAACGAAACAACAATTTCTTGCAATAGCAACTTGATCATGCGAACTGTAACAGTAAGAATATACGAATATTATTGTTACTTGATCGAAATCTTTACAAAAAGTATTTTGACTTTTTCTGCGTCCCTGTGGATGCGCTAATAAATTTCGTTGGGTCCATTGTCAATTTTTGTGTGTGTAGGATGCAGGAATTCGCGTCCACGTAAATCTCTGGTAGGCCTAAATTATCAGTCTGGTGCCATTTGAAAAATTTAATTCTATCCCCGAGACACAAAAGTCATGGGACCACAACCGCCATATAGCTGGAATATTGCTGAGTGCAGCATAAAACTAAACTTCATGGGACCACAAATCATCGTCAGAAATAGACAGATGTATGATTACAAAGTGTTTTATGCATGATTACAATAAGGGCTTTGCAGGACCAAATAGTTTTATAAGATCACACAAAGTCTACAATAGCTTGTTGAGCATGTGTAACATAGTTGTGATTACGATCAGACATTGTAACTCATACTCAAATTCAGACTAGCAGATATCATTGCCGTTGTTACATCGCTTATGCATGATCCAACAAACTCTTCTCACTTTTCAGATGACATCAAGTGACAAAGATTTCCGATTTATGGCAACAAATGACTTGATGGCTGAGCTTCAAAAGGATTCAATCAAGCTTGATGATGACAGTGAGAGGAAAGTGGTCAAGATGCTGCTGAAATTGTTAGAGGATAAGAATGGTGAAGTCCAAAACCTTGCAGTCAAGTGGTATGTCCTGCCTTTACAATAATATTTGCCTTGGGCTAATGGTGGTCCGATTAATTGTAATAATCAAAGATTGGTCGCAATGACTAAATGACCAAGCAATCGATAATGTTTTCTCATAATCGGACACAAACAATTTTGCAACACTTGTTGGCATTAACAATATTTTCCACAAGGTTGATTTTGTCTGTTACATTTCAGAAGCACTACAAGCTCGTTCCTTGTCATGATTGAATTTATCTTACAGACTCAATGAAAGTTATGTTCCTAACATACTAGTCATCCTGTAAAGATGTGAAATTTGCAAATACATTGTGTGATATTTACAAAAAAAATAACCGAAAGAACTACATGTGTTTTCTTTATTATTGTTTGTGCATTAAGAAACATAACCAGGAAAATTTGATAAATGACGCTAACCAATTATTTTCAATGATTGATCGGTTGTAATGAACCAATCATTAATTATGAGATTTTAACCAATTCCCAAAACTACTTGGGGCAGCTGAAAATGCTAAAATGGGTTGTTGGTATTAGGATTATGGTGGAATAACCCTATTCTATCCTCAGCCCTTGGATTCCTGTGATAGTCCTTAGGGTTGGGCACCCCATAGCAATCAGTCACCCCTTTGTGATCTTTATGGTGAGACACCCTTTATGATCCTTAGGGTAAGCTAATATATAGTAGCTGTTTCTTTTACAAAATTAATCCAGTCTGATTGTTGGAAATGTAATAGTTAAATATGATTTCATGGAGGCGAGTTTAGTATTCTGTTTATTACTCTCCAACATAAATTGATAGAAACTGCCTACAGTGTGATGACTCTCAGCTTTCTGCGAGTCAAGCAAGGTGTCATACCATTGTGACAGAGGTATTAGCATTGTGACGTCATAACCATAAATCGTTATGACGTCATACATCTAGCGGTATTACACTAGTGTAATATTACCGTAAAAATATTACACTGCAGTATCTTTCACGGGCGAGTAATAAAGCTATATATTATCTGGCTCATTTTGAAATGGCATCCATTGAGTTCAGAAATGGATAAAAAGAAATATTCATATTGTCACCCGAACATCTGCCCTATTACAGACTAAGAAACGTAGTTGCTTTCCTGTAGATTTGACCTTGGATACATGGCAGTTTCTTGGGGTTTGCTTTCAGTCTGGGTCCCCTTGTAAACAAAGTGAAGGAGTTTCAGGTGGAGACTATCGTGGACACACTCTGTAGCAACATGCTGTCTGACAAGGAGCAGCTGAGGGATATCTCAAGCATAGGTATGCAGTTAATCAAAGAACAAAGAAGTCAGATTTGCTAAGGAAGTAGACTTGTTCTGTCTTCAACGAAATTACAGTGTGTTAAGCTGCGTTCTAATTTCTACCATGACAATAATTGCAAGCTTTGTAGGCGAAGAAGTAGCATGTTTAGATTGTGTTGTCAATCTGAATTGATGAAATGCTCATAATCACCTTGTCAGCCTTTATCCAGAAAGGGGTTGGGGAGGTTAGCCTAGTGGTTAAAGCTTTTGCTTGTCACGCCGAAGTTCCAGGTTCGATTCGCGCCCATTTCTGGTGTCCCCTGTCGTGATATTGCTGGGATATTGCTAAAAGTGGCATAAAAATATAACTTACTCACTTATCCAAAATATTGAGGTGTATATTATCAAATGTTGATTGTTTAGCATCATTAAATTTTACTCCCATATGTAATAAACAATGAAAGTAGAAGACCATAAGCAAGCCTTGTGGCTTTAGATCTATCTACACCTCACTATTATTACCTCTGACTACTCAAGCTGGAAAAGATAAATCACCACAGGCAGATATAATAAGGATACCCATTCTAAGTTCTTTCTTGTCAGTTTGTTTGTATCTAAAGGTAGTTGTGACCCGTGCAGGTCCGGTTTAGAATATTGATCTTCAGTAACCCATGCTTGTCGTAAGAGGCGACTAACAGTATCGGGTGGTCAGGCTCGCTGACTTGGTTGACACGTCATTGTATCCCAAATGCATAGATCAGTGCTCATGCAGTTGATCACTGGATTGTCTGGTCAAGACTTGATTATTTACAGACTGCCGCCATATAGCTGGAATATTGCTGAGTGCAACAACATCATTTGTGAAAATGTGATTTAGTACCTATCACAAGGCTAGGTGTTAGGGCAGATCAACACTTTACCCTTTAGGGGCTCAAGTGTTTGTTGGGTGTGTGTATAGTAATCAACAGTTTTTGTTATGAGTAAAAATGTTCTACAGGACTTAAGACTGTGATCAGTGAATTGCCACCATCATCAACAGCCCTAGCAGCTAGTATCTGCAAGAAAATCACCAGTAGATTGACAAGTGCTATTGCCAAAGTAAGAGATTTTGCAGATTGTTTTTATGGTGTTAAATGTATGATTCTTGACTCAACATAAGCATTCTGAAACCAACTGATTTTTCTTTTCAAGCATGAAACTGGAAATTCCTGTCTTCTGTTTAGACATGACTGTTGCAATCTTGAACAGGAGGCAATCACTCTCCAAAAGCATTGTGTTGAAGATGTACATTATAGTTAACAGAATTCCAAACTAAGATAAATGCACTAGTCTGAAATGTAAATTGTAATATTCAAAAGGATGGATGACATTTCTGATATGTCAAGAACATCTTTGTAGCAGATGTTTATTAATATTAACCATTGCTAACCATGAATATTCTATAATAGAATGACTATGTGACAGTATTGTAAGAAGAGTTTGACAAAAAAAGTTGGTTATGTGTGAATAAACAAGTGTCTTATTCCAGCAAGAAGATGTTTCTGTACAACTAGAAGCCCTGGACATACTTGGAGATCTACTTAGTCGATTTGGAGGTTAGTACTGATCATGTTTGTTAACAGTATCATTTGGAAACACACTATTTACCATGTTTACCCATCATGTTTGTTAACAGTATCATTTGGATACACACTATTTACCATGTTTACCCATCATGTTTGTTAACAGTATCATTTGGAAACACACTATTTACCATGTTTACCCATCATGTTTGTTAACAGTATCATTTGGAAACACACTATTTACTATGTTTACCCATCATGTTTGTTAACAGTATCATTTGGAAACACACTATTTACCATGTTTACCCATCATGTTTGTTAACAGTATCATTTGGAAACACACTATTTACCATGTTTACCCATCATGTTTGTTAACAGTATCATTTGGAAACACACTATTTACCATGTTTACCCATCATGTTTGTTAACAGTATCATTTGGAAACACACTATTTACCATGTTTACCCATCATGTTTGTTAACAGTATCATTTGGAAACACACTATTTACCATGTTTACCCATCATGTTTGTTAACAGTATCATTTGGAAACACACTATTTACCATGTTTACCCATCATGTTTGTTAACAGTATCATTTGGAAACACACTATTTACTATGTTTACCCATCATGTTTGTTAACAGTATCATTTGGGTACACGCTATTTACCATGTTTACCCATCATGTTTGTTAACAGTATCATTTGGAAACACTATTTACCATGTTTACCCATCATGTTTGTTAACAGTATCATTTGGAAACACACTATTTACCATGTTTACCCATCATTTACCATGTTTACCCATCATGTTTGTTAACAGTATCATTTGGAAACACACTATTTACCATGTTTACCCATCATGTTTGTTAACAGTATCATTTGGAAACACACTATTTACCATGTTTACCCATATTCAACTGCAGTAGACATAAAGTATCTTAAGACACAATTTATGAACTATTGTGCATATGTTGTGTGCCAGTTGTGTTGTTATACCTTAGTTTTTATCATAATCAGCATGTTCCATCTTATTGACAAACTTTATGGATAACAACTTCTTTTATTTCGTGAGTGCAAAGAAGTTGTTAACCATTAAGTTTGTCAATATTGTACTTCCCAACTTCTAAAATGCCACACAAGGAAGTGCATTTATCTGTAACTGCGTTTCAGGTTTGCTCGTGACATTCCACAGCTCCATACTACAAGCCCTGCTGCCTCAGCTGTCAAGCCCTCGACTGGCAGTCAGGAAGCGAGCCATCATTGCTATAGGTACTTCTGGTTTTCTTCATACTTACGGTGGAGCAGTGGGGTAGCCTAGTGGTTAAGGCGTTCACTCATCACACCAAAGACCCTGGATTGATTCCCCACATGGGCTCAATGTGTGAAGACCATTTCTGGTGTCTCCCGCCATGATTTTGTAGGAATAATGCTAAAAAGCAGCATAAAACTAAACTTACTCACCCATACTTAAGGTGAAATGATACAGAAAGAATATGATGTGTATCACTATACAAATTGATAGGACCTGGTTCTTGATGAAAGATAACTAGACTGAACAGCAGGTGTAACACTGAATGTTCTGACTGTGCTATCTTCTCAGACACTGGATTGTTGCTCTTGCTATCAACCACTGGCCTGAGACATTGATCATGTGATCAACAACTGGTTGATTGACTGGTTCTTGAGATGTCACTTTTATGTGGCAGAAGTGTGTCACTGTATGGCTGCATAATAGCGTAGGCTACTCTGATTTGTGAAATTGTGACACTTTGTATGCATGTAAAATAAAAGTTGAAAGGAATTTGTTAAAATTGTGCTGAATACATAATTTATTACATGATAAACCTGGTTACCGAGAAGACATTTCTTTAGCAATCCGACATTTTGATTGGTCTATTATTGACGGAATTTGTTTTCATGTGTATGATGTTAGTGAGAACATCTCGGATGTGACACTGTTTTCTTGTTGGTGATGTGTAACTATAGTTTGTTATTTCCAGGTCATCTGGTAATGAGTTGTAACAACCAGCTGTTCCTGGAGCTGATCGAGTTCCTCCTCACCGAGCTGTCTAAGAACACCTCCACCTCCACCACCAGAACATACATTCAGTGTATTGGAGCCATTAGGCAAGTCATTCAGAAATGTTGTATTAGCCTAATATGTCATGTAAATGGGTGGATGTTTAGAGGTGGATCAAGTAATGCATGCTGACTCAGCCAGAGTTTTCATCCTTATCTGTCTGCAACTTTAGCTGCTTGTCCAAAGTCAGATTCTGGTATAATTTGCCTGTGTTACAGTGTAGTATGTTCTATTTGGGATTACACTTTCTTAGTAAAGTACAAATTCTAGCACTTTGTCAGTTTGTGTGAAATCCCATCCAGGATATGAACTCCAAGCCAATTTATGTTTGTCAGAGGGGTCCAAAAAGTACAGCCAGTGATCCACTTATCCAGAGATTCACTCCTAAAAGTTCTTTACTGAGAAAAAGTATATAACATGTTACATTTGAGTAACCCGTGAAGATTTGGGTTAGAATATGATCTTCAGTAACCCATGCTTGTCGTAAGAGGCGACTAATGGGATCAGGTGGTCAGGCTCGCTGACTTGGTTTGACACATGTCATCGGTTCCCTAATTGTGTAGATCAATGCTCATGCTGTTGATCACTGGATTGTCTGGTCCAGACTCAATTATTTACAGACCGCCGCCATAGAGCTGGAATATTGCTGAGTGCGGCGTAAAACTAAAGTCATTCACTCACTACATTTGAGCACTTTCCAAAAGGCATTGTCTATTCACAGCTTATGATAGTACATTACAGTATACTGAAAATGAAGCAGGAAAAGTACTTGTTTGGACTGGTCTTTTAGTCACTGATTGTTAACTTCACTGACAAATACTTCTTTATTGATAAGTACCTGTGATTGCTAAACACAGTCGCCATACCATTGGAGCATCCTGTCAGCTCATGATTGATTCCTAACTCTGATTGACACTTGCTGTCATTTTACAGACTTAGATTAGGGTTTGGATAGTATTATCCAGTTCTGACTCCTACAGTAGAGAACACTTGTGTGGTTATGGAGACAGGGCATTTGGGTAGCCTAATGGTTAAAGTGTCCGCTCGTCATGCTGAAGACCCAGGTTCGATTCCCCACATGGGTTCAATGTGTGATATTGATGGAATATTGCTAAAAGCAGCGTAAGACCGTACTCACTCACTGTTATTGAGACCTAATGATATTTTTGTTGATAACGATAAGGATTAAGAAGTGTATTGGAAAATAAATATTATCTCATCCTTATGTCTTTACATATTAACTGACCGCACTATTATCAAGGTTTCTTCTGTTAATTATCCCCCGCTGCTCGTTTAGCATGAAGCGGGGGATATAGTAATAGGCTCCGTCCGTCTGTCCGTATATACGAATTGGAATATCTTAAGAACCGTTAACTAGATTCTTTTCATATTTGGTACCTAGGTTCATCACAGTATAAGAAAGGTCCCAGTCAGGTTTGGTGACCTTGACCTTAATTTCAAGGACTTTAACGTTTTACCCTTGTTAGCAAGATACTGTAAATCGACAAAGTTCCCCATCAATGTTTTGCGTGATCAACAACCCAGCCAGTTCTACGTCGTGTTTGTTTTGCGAGTCCTCCTCTTGTAAAAACAAGTCAAATTGTTGACAATACATCGTATCAATCGTATCGCTTCGCGTAAACGAACATACAAGAGAAGACCAAAGACGTCAACTTTGCAATTAAACATCCCTTTTAAGGATTATTTACCTATTCAGTTCCCATTTGTTTTTGTTAGGCATTGTCCTATATGAAGGGATTAAGATTACCATGCGTAATTGTCTCGTGTACAGCGCCGGAAATAGCAATCAGCTGTGCAGTGCACAGGTTCCCCTACCGGTGATTTAGTTAAAACGTACCCGATATGAATTCTGATGCAGTGATCTTAAAAAGATAGTATCTGAAACTATTGTTTTATATAAAGAGAAATATATTCGAATATTGTCAATTTTTTCTTATCCTGACTCATGATCTTTTGCTTATCTCCTTTTTCCTTGTGAATGGTAGTGGAACACTTGAATCCCTTGAAGTTCCCGAAGCGGACGTAAAAATACACTCGCCCACAAGTTACCTCCCTTTTCCCACTTAAAAAGTGATGTGACCAGCCTTACTTGTCACTTTCTCCCTTTTTGTCCAAGTGGATGGTTGGGCGAGCCACTGGAGTCCCGTATACGGCACTATATCCTTTTTTATTTAGGTCCTATTCTTCAAAATTACGCTTTGTATGGATTTGGCAATAACTACTATGTATTATGTGTAAAAAGTATTTGTATTTGTGTCATAATTTCACATGGGTACAATGTGTGAAGCCCATTTCTGGTGTCCCCCGCCGTGATATTGCTGGAATATTGCTAAAAGCGGCATAAAACCAAACTCACTCACTCACTCTTCCAGCTTGCGTTGTACTTATTGTGTTGATTTATCAAATCTACAATTTAATCAATATTTGTCTTGTATCTATAGACGTGCCATGGATCTGGTGGTGTACTTGTGCCTTTTTGTAGTTTTGGAATTCTGAATAAAATATTTTTGGCGTTTCCATGGCAACAAGTTCGACTTAGACGGAAATTAGTGGTAGTGCTCTTTTCTGGAGCAGAACTCTAAAACCGTTCAATTTTTCTTTACCAAACTTGGCACATAGATAGAGCTGGTGGTGTACTGTTGCCTTTTGGTAGTTTTGGAATTCTGAATAAAATATTTTTGGCGTTTCCATGGCAACAAGTTTGACTTTGACTGAAATTAGTGGTAGTGCTCTTTTCTGGAGCAGAACTCTAAAACCGTTGACTATTTCTTCACCAAACTTGGCACATAGATAGAGCTGGTGGTGTACTGGTACCTTTTGGTAGTTTTAGAATTCTGAATAAAATATTTTTGGCGTTTCCATGGCAACAAGTTCGACTTAGAATGAAATTAGTGGTAGTGCTCTTTTCTGGAGCAGAACTCTAAAACCGTTCAATATTTCTTCACCAAACTTGGCACATAGATTGGTCTGGTGGTGTACTGGTGCCTTTTGGTAGTTTTGGATTTCTGAATAAAATATTTTTGGCATTTCCATGGCAACAAGTTCGACTTAGACTGAAATTAGTGATAGTGCTCCTTTCTGGATCAGAACTCTAAAAACCGTTCAATACTCTCCTTCCACTTTTCTATATACACACCTAAATATTTGATATAATCATAACTCGTAGACATAATCATGAAGAGTATTTTGCCATTGCGGGGGATATTGATGACTTTGTCTTCTTGTTGCATGTTTCATACACCATGACATTCATGTCAAGGTCAAAGTCAGTCTTGAAAATATTTGTGTGTTTGAACAACTAAAGAGCAAGATATCCAGAAAGGTTGACTGGTCATGTTTTTGTTGACATTTAACTTCATTACTTTTTAAGTTTGATTTGATAATTTGCGGTTGGGGATTATGTCACCTTAGTGACAATGCTTGTTGACTTTTAATTTTTATACCAACGTGTACTTGCATGAAGAGCCTATTTCTCGTAGAAACCCATTGAGATTTTGTAAGTGAATATTATACTAATTTTTTGTTAGCTTTATTTGTTATGCAGATGTTAGAACATGTGCCAACTACTAGTATGGCTTTTGAAGGAAACTTTCATTCTGTTTGTGTTTTGTAATGATATTTTTATCATTTGAACTTCCAGTCGACAAGCTGGCCACCGGTTTGGAGAGCATCTTGAGAAGATTATTCCTCTGATTGTGAGGTTCTGTAAAGAAGATGATGATGAACTAAGAGAATATTGCTTACAGGCATTTGAGTCATTTGTGAGAAGATGCCCAAAAGAAGTTTCACCTTTTATTGCAGAGGTATTTTTACAAAATAGTTTTTACAAGTAACATTTGAACCCGGAAATAGTTTTTTAACTGATTTACTGTAATATTTTGTTGTAAGTGTGACTGTTTATATATTCCTGGGTAGGTTTTATAGTGTTTGAAACATAAGCAGTATTTGAGTTATCACCTTGATGTTGATGAAAACTAGCAGGGATGCAGGTCTTAGAAATTTGTTCCATAGGTGAAACCCACAATGTCATGTGCAGTGCTCATAATGAGGGTGATTGGAATTCAACCCCACTGCAGCTGGTTCCTGTGCCACATACCCGTGAAGATCCGGGTTAGAATTGGTCTTCAGTAACCCATGCTTGTCGTAAGAAGCGACTAAAAGGATTGGGTGGTCAGGCTCGCTGACTGGGTTGACACATGCCATTTTATCCCAGATCGATGCTCATGCTGTTGATCCCTGGATTGTCTGATCCAGACTCGATTATTTACAGACTGCCACCATATAGCTGGAATATTGCTGAATGTGGCGTACAACTCCACTCACTCACTCCTGTGCTACATGAGGGAGCATCTCTGTACAGTGACCTGCAGATGATGGGACCACCTATGTCCCGATTCAAAAAGTCAAGTTGCCAAGCTAACATTTTGTGATGAATATTTGAATAAGACTTAGTTCTTTAGTACATTGACAAATGTTGAATTCTGTCAATCCCCAGATCATCACAATCTGCCTGCAGTATATCTGCCATGATCCCAACTACAACTATGATGATGATGATGAAGAAGCCATGGACACTGAAGCTGAAGAAGAGGATGAAGAGTAAGTTGTTATTGTCGTTGGTCCTGTCTCATGAAAATGTTACTGGAATATTGCTAAAATCGATTTAAAACCTCTTCGACTCTCACTTGCCTGCCCGCCCGCCTGCCTGCCTGCCCGCCTGCCCAACCCACATTTATAAAGTGTGATTTTTCCATATCCTGATTCATGCTAATTATGCTTGTCTCCTTCCTCTTGCGAATGATAGTGGAACACTTGAAATCCCTTGAAGTTCCCTTTAAAAAAGCGGACGTAAAATCACTCACCCAAGAGTAGCGTCCCTTTGGGGCCCAAATGGTCAGATGATCGGCCATATTTGTCACTCTCTCCTTCTTCACCCTTGAGGACGGTTGTGAGAGCACCTGGGTCCCTATATGGCACATTGTAGGTACCCAGTGTCTGCGGCAGACCCGCATTTATTATGTCCTAATTGCACTGTTTCATGTTCTTTCAGCTCTCGCTGTAAGTATTGTGTAAATTTAAATTCGGTTGAATTTACTAATTACCTTTTTTCCATCCATAGACGTGCTAAGGACTGGGTACGTACGTATTCACAATTCATGTCTAAATCGAGTGATTGCACTGATAACTTTGTGTTAACAACTGCTGCAGATATTCATAATTTGAGTGAATTACTGAACATTTCTCAGGAGCAGGTCGATGTACCAGAGGTGAACGCCGGAGGCCATAAGAGATCATCGTCTACTGAGCTGACCTCATCGCAGATAAAGAAGGCCAAATCTTCAGCTTCAAGCAGAAGAAGAAGGCTACTACTGTGAAGACTTCAGCGAAGTCTAAGATCAGCTCTGCTCAGAAGACGAGGCCTTTCTCAGCCAAGATTGTTCCTCCTCAAGAAGCAGATGCTTATGATGATCCACCCATCCTCAGACCTGAAGTCGCCATCGCCAGTAAGAAGATGAAGCCTGCTTTTACAGCTACATCGACATTGGTATCAGCGCAGACATTGACAGAAGACCTACTATCAACGCAGACATCGGGTAGCAGAGATAGCAGCAGCGTCAACTCTTCACGAGGGCAGCGAGCCTTAGATGAGCGTCTCTTCAGTATCAGATGCATCATCCCTGCAGCAGTCTCTTCAGACAACGCAGAACTTCAACCCGGGACTGTTCAAGCAACAGTTTACAGACCAGATGATGTCGATGATGGAACGTCGTTTTTGCTCAAGAAAAGGCTGCTATAAAGACCACTACAATGTCTACTAGCCTGCGTGAAGGCTCCCCACCACATCAAGATGAAGAGGGAAGCCTGCACTGACGATCTTCCCCGTCTGAAGTAGACGCCCCAGAGAGTGTTGCTAAGAAGTCTCCACGTAGGAAGGAATCTAGATGTTCTCCCGAACCCTACAAATGTTGCAGATATGAGTCGTCATCTCCATCGGACTCTGACGCCCATCAAGAGCCTGCGCGAAGACACTCCTACAGAGGGGAAACTACGTCAAAGAATCCACCTTCGTGAAGATCTAGAGAAATATCTCAAATCTCCAGGACATCGGGATCGTTCAGCTGCGCGAAGCTCATCTTATAGATCATCCTATAGAGACTCAAGTCGTCGTGCATCCTTGGAGCGAGAAATGTCTAAATCAGAGGATGAAGGTGAAGGCGTCTTCTCTGATTCGGAAATTAACTCCTGGAACACCAATGGACTTATCATCACCTTCTAAGGACACAGATGAGGCGTTTACCTACAAGATGTCCAAAGATAATTTTGACACACTCACCTTTCTACCAACCATCCCGATCTCTCAAGTACCAGACAACCTCAATGCAGCTTTTGATAAAGCCAGCAAGTCGCAGAGTCAACACACCTCGACATTCAGTGCCAGAAAAATTCCCTCTACATAGGATGGAACCCATTCTGAAGGCTCCAGAGGTTGATGATGACTATGAGATTATCACCGATTCACGTCAAAGAACTTACAAGATTTAGCATAAGGAGTTAGCGCAGCTGGATACAACCACCAGACGTACTTTCTTCGGATTAGCCAGATCGAGGGCTATCAACGAAACTCTCATCTTGAAGTTCAAGAATTCCTCGGCCGAAGAAGACCGGATGATATACTCCGCTTTACTTATGCAGAAGAGAGACCATCAATTTATGTCGGAGCACCTAGCATCCACCTCAGCGGGTTTGACTCTCCTGAGAAGACAAGGGTTATTGTCAGCATGTACTTGGAGTGAACGTTTCACCAAGGCTCTATACAGAACACCATGGTCATCATCTTACATCTTCGGAGGAGGAATTGAAGAAGTCGCCAGAGAAGTTTCTCACGACTCCAGGGAAGTAATGATGATTAAATCCATCGACACTTTGGCTAACGTGATTCGTCAGACGTCCCAACGCTACTCCAACAAATCTAAGTTTGCTGATCCCCACTTATAGACCTGTTTGCAACAAAGTTCAACAAACAACTACCAACGTTCGTCTCACCGATTCCAGATCCTCAGGCATGGGCAACAGATGCTCTAAGCATCTCATGGGAAGGACTAAACGCTTACGCGTTTCCGCCTCCTGCACTACTACCACAAGTACTACAGAAAATCAAGCAGACGACTACGTTGCAACTGATATTGGTCGCGCCCTACTGGCCAGCGAGGGAATGGTTTCCCATCCTCATACAAGAACTGGGAAGTTCAACCCTGAAACTACCAGAGTGGTCGAACCTACTCGTCCATCCTCACACCAAGCAAGCTCACGGGAACCCGACACTGTTCCAACTACACGCGTGGAACGTAGTAAAGCTTGCCTGAAGACTAGAGGGTACTCCGCCAGAGCAGCGGAAGCAGTTACACTAGCTCTACACAGATCAATGCGCAACTTGTACAACGACAAGTGGCAGAGATTTGAACAATATGCAAAGAGGAAAGGCTTTACAGCGGTGAAAGCAACACATCCTCAAGTGGCGGAATACTTATGTCATCTACGACAGAGGAGACACTTAAAAGGTTCAACACTTTCAACGTACTTAGCGGCCCTCAGTACAGTTATCACCATGAAAACGGGTATCAAGCTGACCAAAGTACCAGAGATTCTGGCACTATTACGCTCGTTCAAGTTGGAAGACCAACAAAAGAAATTTAAGGCTCCTGCCTGGGATCTCAATGTAGTTTTACAACGTCTCACCAGTGATGCCTACGAGCCTCTAGAACGGACATCCTTTGAACTACTAACTCAGAGAAAACGCTGTTCCTGATCGCCCTTGCAACAGCTGCAAGGATGTCTGAAATACATGCTCTGGATTTTGAATGAACACGATTTGAATCAAGACATTGTGACATCGTACATCTGTGACTGAGATGGGATTTTATCGCCAAGAACCAACTGCCTGGTCAGCCTGACAGACAGTTCCACATCCCAGCACTATCTACAGTCCTTGGGCCACAGGATACACAGGATCTATCCATATGCCCAGTCAGAGCACTTAAAGTCTACTTACAAAGAACCAAAACAAGCAGACGAAAATTCAAGCGCCTATTCATCCCCTTATCCACTGAGACGCCCACTGAAGTCCATGGACAACAATATCGATATGGATGAGAGCCGTTATACTAAGGGCCTATAAAGCAGCAGGACTTGAGCCTCCACGAGCCTCCAATCCACACAAAGTCTGACCCCTGGCGTCAACACTTGCTCTACATAGAAACTGCTCGATTACAACTATAATGGAGGGCTGCTTTTGGAGATCGAACACGGTGTTTGCCAACCACTACCTCAGCGACATTGCCACTGAAGACGTCTCAGGCATTCACCAGTTTGGGCCACTTGTTGTAGCACAACAACTAACGGTTCCACAAAGGCGCTGAGTAAATCTCACCCCTTTTATCACGTGACTTGTGAAAACCAACGCTCTTGGGGCAATGGCTATAAGTCCATGCACGCGTCTAGGACAGACAAGCATGAGTGATCAGTGAATCCAGAACGTGGCTTGACCCACCACCGTTTCCGGCAGATTCTGCAAGCATAATTAGTATGAGTCAGGATAAGGAAAAATATGTAAATTTCTGACTAAAATTGATATTTTATACTTATTCTGACTCAAGAGGTTAGCCCTCCCAACCTCCCCTCTTATGGCACTCTGGATTTCCCTGTAAATCCCGGGTGTCGGGCTTACATACGGAGAGAGTGACAAATATGGCCGATCATGTGACCATTTGGGCGCCAAAGGGAGGAAAGGGATGCTACTCTTGGGTGAGTGATTTTACGTCCGCTTTTTTAAAGGGAACTTCAAGGGATTTCAAGTGTTCCACTATCATTCGCAAGAGGAAGGAGACAAGCATAATTAGCATGAGTCAGGATAAGTATAAAATATCAGTTTTAGTCAGAAAATTACATTTTGCAATTTTAACTAGAATTCTGATACTTGAAAGTCTTAAGTGGGAAGGTTTATTTTATTTAAATATTTGTTTATGACAGCTTGTTGCGTTTGTCTCTGTTACATAACTGTAACCTACTTTCTGTATTTGATTACATTTTTATGGTGACTTTCAGTTTTGCAGTTGTTGTGTATGAGACATGCTTTTCCAAACTGGAAGTGATATCATTACACGGGAGATACTTAAAGTGCTGATAACCTTGTAGTTAGACTTACTGTTTCACAAGTGCACTGCATTTAGCCACTTACAGTATCTTTGGTATTTTGGTGGTTAGAGGCACAATTGGAAGTGGGGTGGGGTGGGGTGCAGTAAGGTAAGGAGGGAATGGGGCTGCTTCTGTTTGTGCATTATGTTTATACTTTTCTGGTTATATTCCTGCATCTTGTTTCAGAGGTTCAGAGGAGGAATACAGTGATGATGATGACATGAGTTGGAAGGTGCGCAGGGCGGCTGCAAAATGTCTTGATGCTATCATGGGCACTCGGCATGAGATGTTGATCGACTTCTACAAAACTGTGTCCCCAGCTCTCATACTCAGATTCAAAGGTGAAGTATTGTCAGAGCCTTGTTTAGTATTTTTCACTATGAGAATGTTTCAAAGTGTCCCCCATATGGAGTGACCGCCTCCGTGGTGTAGTGGTTAGAGCGTCCGCCTCGAGAGCGGAAGATCGCGAGTTCGATCCCCGACCGCATCATACCAAAAGACGTTAAAATATGGTACTTGTTGGTCCCTGCCTGGCGCTCGGCATTAATGGGTACAACAAGGACTGGTCGGCTCCCGAGTCAGTATAATGTTTCTGAGTGGGGTATTCATGCTTCACTGCGGCATGGTATATCAGTGGGCTAGCACTATAAAACCAGCTTAAGTCTGGGCTAGTACAAGCAACCGCACATACACATACACACGCATGCACGTCGTCATATGAGCGAAATATTCTCAAGCATGACGTTAAACCCCATTTCACCTCACCTCACCCATATTGAGTCCATTACAGAAAAGGTATCAAGGGCTCCTTTCATGCCAGAGTCTGTCATCTAATGAGGATGGGTTGTTACATTGTGTGACCTGACTGATATAGTGTCTATATTCCTCACTGGCATGGATCATTGCTCATGCTGTCAAGCACCTTTTGTTGGGCTAGATCATTCATATGCCAGGGGCAAAGACTCGGGTTCGTTTCCCACATGGGTACAATGTATGGAGCCCATTCCTGGTGTCCCCAGCTGTTATATTGCTGGAATGTTGCTAAAAGCAACATAAAACCATTCATTCATTCATTCATTCATTCATTCATTCATTCATTCATTCATTCATTCATTCATTCACTCATTCACTCACTCACTCACTCACTCACTCCCTCTTTGATAGATTTTTTGTGTTTGCATGATTGTTTGTTGACCTTTTCTTTGTCACTGATTATGTAGTGATACCCTGTATCTTTTACAGAAAGAGAAGAGAACGTGAAGGCTGACATCTTCCATGCTTACATTACACTGTTGCGCCAGACTCGCCCTCAGGCCTCCGCCAACCCTGACTCTATGGAACAGGAAGATGGGTAAGAATAGCTCCTATTCTTCTTCTGAGAGTTGTAATGTGTAAAGCTTGTGTCGTTCCAGTGGTAAGGAACCATATATGTTTGATCAGCCTAATGAATTCCTGTTGTTTTGGGGACGGTGGGGTAGTCTAGTGGTTAAAGCGTTGGCTCGTCACGCCGAAGACTCGGGTTCGAATCCCCACATGGGTACAACGTGTGAAGCCCATTTCTGGTGTCCCCCGCCGTGATGTTGGTGGAATATTGCTAAAAGCGGCGTAAAGCCAAACTCACTCAGTCAGTCAGTCAGTCAGTCCTGTTGTTTTCCAGCCCATTGACAATGCTACAGACTCAGGTCCCAGATGTTATCAGAGCTATCCACAAACAGTTGAAAGAAAAGAGTATCAAGACTCGCCAGGGCTGCTTCAGCCTCCTCACAGAGCTGGTTCTGGTTCTCCCTGGAGCTCTCACAGACCACCTTACTGCTTTAATACCAGGCATTCAGTATTCACTTGGGTAGGTGCAATCATTTATATATACTTCTAGTGGTACCATTGTTTTGTTAGTATGGGTCCTTCATTTTGAAGAAAAACCTCTCCTCATGGATTTACTCCAGAGTATTCCCCAGGCTCTGGAATATGCTGTAGAAAGTACCTCTCCTCAGGGATAATCTGTAGAATATTCCTGCTTGAGAAGGGGCGATGGGGTAGCCTAGTGGTTAAAGCGTTCGCTCGTCACGCTGAAGGCCTGGGTTCGATTCCCCACATGGGTACAATTTGTGCAGCCCATTTCTGGTGTCCCCTGCCGTGATATTGCTGGAATATTGCTAAAAACGGCGTAAAAACATACTCAGTCAGTCAGTCAGTCCTGCTTGAGATATATATTGCATGAGAACATAATCAATGTGCAGAGGAATATAAAGTCAAACAATAAGTGTCTGAGTTTTTGTTTCAGACATGCAAATCTTGCCTTGTAAGTGAAACACTGGGCTCTGAACATCTTTGTTAAGTGATAGAATGCCAGTAAGACATGAGAGTGTATGGATGATTTGTTGCTTTAATATTAAGAATATTTGAACTTGTTGCTTTTCAGTGACAAGAATACAAGTTCCAACATGAAGATTGACACACTGTCTTTCCTGAATACGATCCTCCTTCACCACCCACCTGCCGTGTTCCACCCACACATCCGAGTTGTTGTGCCAGTATGTATATGCTTAGATCTGTAGCAATCTGGGATGAATTAGAGATATGCTAGTAGTGTTGGTTGAGTGGTATAATCAAACACTGATGGATGGGTATTGTTGTTCATACATCACAGGTCTGTCTGGCCTAGACTCAATTATTTACAGCCCTGACATCTTAGCTGGAATTTTGCTGAGTATGGTGTTGAACTCTAAACAAACAAAGCACTTGGTTAAACACCGATGGGCTCTTAACTGCCATGCTGGCTCTGTAAACATGTCCGTTTATAGGTGTGTATTGCATACATTTTAGAGAGTTACAGTGTGATTCCAGATGTAAAGTGTGTCATGGTATACTGATGATTTCCAGACTATCAACTCGTTTTCTTCCTGGACATGATTACTATCTGGTTGCTATCTTATAAATGGCTGGATTATTTCAACCTGCAACACTGACAACATTCCACTCATGTTCTCTCTCTTCCCCCTTCAAAATATCCTGTTTGTCATAGCGACGAAGTTAACAGCCGTAAACTATTGTTCACTCTCATATCATGTATGTACATTCTTTTAGTGCTTTTTTCATCTTATTTTAGTCATCAGAGACATATTCTCATGATGAAATAAACCCGTGAAGATCAGAATTATGCTTTTCCAGAAGAAGTCCTCCTTGGGGTACATGTATGTTCTCCACAAGCGGGATTGGATTATCAAACACAAGAAATCAGAACTGGTGTCTACACAGACTGGTTTTCTGGGGAGAGAGATTCGGGACACGGCGTAGCGTGGTATCCCCGTCTCCAAACCGCCTTACCAGGGTTCAGAAGGGTTGCTTTGCAATCTCTCGAGTTCCCCGTGGCATCGACACGGACATGGCTCCAGTTGCTAAGCAACATGGCGACAGTGGTCATTATCTGGCGTGCGCGTCCGAGGATGCGACCTTTACAGCAGGCTTTAGCAGAGCTGTGGTCTCAATCGGAGAGTTGCGAGATTGTTTTCCACTTTCAGAGTGGTTGGTTCCTCACTTGAAGTGGACAGATGCCGGAAATCTACCCAGGGGGTTTCACGGGAGACCCTGACGCCATCAATCTTGAGTCAAACAGGGGCCTCCCTCACAAGCTGACTCAGCCTCCTGTTCCATTACCCTTTCAATCGAATCTGCTATCCCAAGTGGAGCGCCCCAACTGAATCCCAGGATTCAGCAGGTGGCTTGGCCACTGTCCGGAATCGCTTCCAAGCGAGCGGATTTCCTGCACTAGTTGCAGACAAATTCTGGCTTTGCGGAGGGATTCGACAAGCGTTCAGTGTGGGGGCAGATGGGCCTGTTGTGCGCGCTGGTGATTCTCAATCCCTTTTTCTACAGATTTAGTCAGAGTATTGGGGTTTTTGCAATCTAGATGAGAAGCCAGCTTTGCCGCTTCTTCTATCAGATACTACTCCTGCCGATGGTGTACTCTTGGGCCACCACCCCCATTGTGCAGCGTCAGAATCCATCAGGCGGATTAGTCCCCCGTGGGACTTGTCAATCGTTGACTTGATTGGATGTCCAGTCCTCTCTTTTTCAATTTGTCGGCTCTTTCTCAAGCTGTTAAGTTTGAAGGCAGCTTTCCCTGTGACGGTAATGTCTGGCAGATGGGTCGGCGACATTCACGCAATGTCAGCGGATCCTGAACTTGACCGTCTTTCACAGGGTCAGCCCAAGGTTCGAAGGCTCCTTTCAAGTAACGGCATCTATGGATCTCCGGCTTTTACTCAGCCTCCTTTGTCCAGTACCTCTCTACGACGTGGTACATGTCTTAGATGTCCATACGAATCTCAAGGCTTATATCACAAGAACGGTGTCTATCCGTAAGGATAAACAACTGTTCTGCTATGGTTACACAATGCCATTTAGAAAGTGGTCAAATGTAACACATGTTCAACTGTTCTACTGTTATGGCAGTGGTACGGCTGGCATTTCAGCGAACAAGCAAACCATTTCAAGGTCTCTGCCATTGTTTGGGCTATATTCACCATGGGTTTTATTCTCCAGATGGGTTGTAAACTCATTCGGTTAGGGCAGTGACCACACCAAAGGTATGCCGTGGCACTGCCCATTGTGGAGATCTGCTCAGCGACTATTTAGAGCCGTCCGAGCACGTTCATCCATACCTTTTAGCTGGACAAACACTTCAAATTGGCTTTAACGCGTCACATCGCTTCACTTTCGTAATTTGGGCAGACTGTTCTCCACACAGAGGGCGGAGGTGTAACTCACTATCTATGGGAGTCTGTCTTATGCTTATATGTACCCAAGGAGGACTTCTTCTTAAAAAGAATCGAACAAACCTGTAGAGGTTTCTGATTCTTTGAAGAAAGTCCTCCTTGGGGTACGGCCACCCGCCTCCCCACATTCTGTCTGATCACGAGGTAGACGGCGAGAGTTACCTGCTTTTGGCTGTAGAGGCCCTGGAGGGCCCTGTAGGGGTGGTCTCACAAGACAAAAACAAGTTTTTTATTAAAATATTGTTACAACTGTCGTAGGAATTTAATATGGACATGCTTATACGTACCCCAAGGAGGACTTTCTTCAAAGAATCAGAAACCTCTACAGGTTTGTTCGAGTTTTCAGTAACCCATGCTTGTCGTAAGAGGTGACTAATGGGATCGGGTGGTCAGATTCTCTGACTTGGTTGAAACATGTCAACGTATCCCAGTTGCATAGTTTGATGCTCATGCTATTGATCACTGGATAGTGTGGTCCAGACTTGATTATTTACAGACCGCCACCTCATAGCTGGAATATTGCTGAGTGCAATGTTAAGCAACAAACCAACCAAATGACTATATGAAATAAGTAAATGTATATATGTCTAATCCTTCCCAGCAAACACCATCTTGTAAAAGAAATCATAAGAAGCATTCAGTAGTCGTGACACAACTGGTTTTGTTCCAGCCAATAGTTCATGCTGTTGGGGATCCCTTCTACAAGATCACTTCAGAGGCCCTTCTGGTCACCCAACAGCTGGTCAAGGTCCTCCGGCCACTAGGTATGTGTGCTGTACTGGTTTCTCACATGTTATGATTCAGAGCAGCTTAGCTAGACTATGACAAATTTCATATAGCTGGATTAATTCTGTTTGTGACACAGTGCAAGAAACAATCGATGTATTGAGGTTAGCTGAAGTTGACAGCTGCCACATATGTATATTTTAAAAAGCTAAGGACAACGTTGCTCTGCATTTGACAGCACATATATTGAGGGTAAGAATGTCTTATCAGCCACATGAAACATTTTTGGGACAGGGGTATAAAGTATTGTTCACAATGTGCCAGGACAAGCTCTCAACTTACTCTCATCCTTTGTGTCTAGGTTCAGCTGTTGCCAGTAGTTTGTATCTGACAATGTCTGTTTCAGAAACCCAGGTATCATTTGACTACAAGCCATATGTTAAGGACCTCTATGGCTGCACGCTGAAGAGGCTCAAGGCTGCAGACATTGATCAGGAAGTGAAGGAGAGAGCCATTTCATGCATGTGAGTTGATGAAATGTAGGGCTGTCAAATCTGTGAGTTTAACCTGTTTCCTTCTTGTCACCTTATGGTAAATATCTCTGATCATCTCATAGTGAACATGGTGAAATCTAGCTCATGTTCAGTACCATGACAACCACTGTGGATAATCTAACTATTACCAGAGTTGATGTGCAAGCTAGTCATTTTACATGTGAAATTAAAGAAAAGCCAAAGAAGTGGTTACAGGATTTTAGGCAAAGGTAGTCAGGCTGGGCATACTCTCCAATCGGTGAAACTTCACAGCTCATTAAACACTGCCAATCTGTTTTAATCCCACTAAATGGAACACTGAAGCAGTTGTGACAGTATTCCCTAAAGTATTAAAATGGGCCAAGTCTTGAGTTACCCTGTGGTGAATACATGTTAATTTGACCTGAGAATAAATTTCAATACTTACAATGTTTTGGTGCTAATGACTTTACTACAATATCAACCGATCAGTATCTGTCAGCCCACCAGTTCTTGACATGGTTGTGTCTGTGTGGCCAGACATGTTTTTATGGTGGAAAATTAACATTGAATCGTCTTCAGGACTGATGCATGTGCGTCAAATCCTACCAAAAGGTTCAAACAAGCTGAGAGCCTGTCAGTAATGTTGAGGTTTTCTTTTCTTTAACCTGTGATATCAAGTCACATTCATAATCCTGTGTTTTGCTCTTGTATTTATGGGTCTTGTTTTTTCTTGTATACTTCTTTCAAAGACAACATGTTTAGTATCACAATGTGTATTATTAGATTTACTGTTTGATTTCAGGGGTCAGATTATTTGCAATCTTGGAGACTCTTTAGCAGCTGAGCTTAGAGAATGTTTACCAATCTTCTTGGAGAGATTAAAAAATGAAATCACACGACTGACAACAGTGAGAGCTCTGACCATGATAGCAAGGTGAGTGTTGAAATGAATGCGTGAATAGATTTCCTGCTATTTATGTTCTTAACCAGCTAGTAGTGCTCAACTTGACATAATCAAGTGTCTGATAGGTTATGTTCATTTTTAGCATTTATTCTTTAAAGACAAATGGTAAACTATGGTCAATTTTCTGAAATGAGTAAAAGTCCTTGTGATGTTTATAACAACCTGTTAATCTCTCATTTCAGTTCCCCCCTAAAGATTGACATAAGGCCGATCCTTGTAAGTATCTGCCAATGCTCATATTCTACCATACAGAAGACTTACTCCCTGATCAGATTGGGGCTGTGTAATTGCTGAAATAGTGTTTTGCAAGATATTTGGATCTTATATGTTTGATAGTGATTATGTTTGATTTTGCACACACATTGTATTGTCTGTCTTATGGTAGATGATGATGTTTTTGTATTTTTGTTGGAGGTGCTCCCAGTATATCAGTATATCACAACGTGATGATCTAAATTCAACAAGGTAGTGATATGGTTTTGAACTAAAAAAAACAGTGTATTCTACAGTAATTAGAGTCTAGATCAGGTTGAAGGCAGTGGGGTAGCCTAGGGGTTAATGTGTTTGCTTGTCATTCTCAAGACCCACCCCCATGGGTACAATGCACAAAGCCCCTTTCTGGTGTACGATTGCTCCAATATTGCTGAAAGCAACGTAAAACCATACTCACAGTCCTAGATCAGGACGGAACACATGCTATTTTCATAATATTCACCTGTCTTTTTTGCAGACTGAAGGCGTTCCTATTTTGGCATCTTTCTTGAGGAAAAACCAAAGAGCTTTGAAACTGTGCACACTGCTGTGTCTAGATGTCCTTGTGAAAAACTATGGTGGGTATATTATTGTAGATCTCACATGTACTCGCGATGACATTGCGTGATGAATGTTAGCTGAGTAAGAATTGAGACAGCGCTGACTTTTGTTTTTAGAATTGGTGAATGACATAAGTATCTGTCAACCCACCAGTTCTTGACATGGCTGTGTCTATTTGATCAGACCTGTTTTTATGGTGGAAAACTGACACTGAATCGTCTTCAGGACTGATACATGTGTGTCAGATCCTACCAAAGGATTCACACAAGTTAAAAAATGGATGATAAATATGACAATGCAATTTCTGACTAGACAAACAGATGGCAAAGAAACTATGACACACTTAATGCACACAATGCTTCTCAACATAGTCCATGGGAATCTGAAAAATGAGAAGGGTGTGATGATCTGTTTTTGTGGCAAGGAAGTTTGGGATTTTCAACACAGCAACTGCTTATCATACATGTTTATCTCATGGCAAATGACATTCATCAGATGTTTCCAAAGTTTTCTAGTTGTCACACTCATGTTCCATATGGCATACTTGATGAGATAAATCTATCACTGGATAAACACCTATCCATTGGTTTGTTGAGAAGGCACTGATGGTGAGGCTATGATATTGATATAGATCTCTGTGATTGATGAGCTCTCAACATCAGTACCCATGAAGATGCTGATTAGAATTGGTCTTTAACAACCCATGCTTGTTGTAAGAGGTGGTGGTCAGGCTTGGCAATTTGGTGGATCCATGTCACAAATTTCCAATTGTGTAGGTCAGTGCTCATGATGTGTATCACCGGATTGTCTGGTCCAAAAGCTTATTTGCAGATCGCCGTCATATTGCTGAAATATTGCTGATTGGGCGTTAAGCTTAAAACAAATGACTTTGTACACAGTAGGATACAGTGACAGTTGAAACATTGGTGGGAACCAGTAGTGGTGATCCCATTAATTGAAATAATCGAAGATTGGTCACAGGGACTAAACGACCAAGCAATCGATCATGTTTTCTCATAAGCGAACACAAACAATTCTGGAACACTTGTTTTCGTCAACAATAGTTTTCATAAGGTTGGTTTTGTCTGTTACATTTTATAAGCACTATAATAAGCTCGTTCCAAGTCATGATTGAATTTATCTTAAAGACACCAAAAAATTTATGTTCCTAACATACTAGTCATCCTTTAAAGATGTGAAATTTTGCCCAAACACCCAAAATAACTACATGTTTTTTCCTTATTTTTTTGTGCATTAACAAATTTCATAAATGACGCTAACCAATTATTTTGGATGATTGATCAGTGGTAATTAACCAATCATCAATTATGAGATTTTAACCAATTCCGAACACTAGGAACCAGTCACATTTCCTTTATCCTGTCTCAGGTCCAGCCTTGACACCTGGGATGATCGCGGACATGATGAAGGAGATGCCATCACTCATCAATGAGAATGACCTTCACGTGTCCCAGGTAGGTCAGGAACCATTCTTGTATAGACTCATTGATCACATTCAAGTGGAATAAAGTTGTCAGCTGCTTCCTAGGCGACTTTATTTACTGTCCAGAGTCAGTTTAAATTACGAGATAATCTGTATGAGATTTTCTGTTTGGTGTTTTATATGAGTATTTAATGCCTGGACATTTAATTTGGTACACAGAGAGATTATTGTCCCCCGCCGTAACGCGGAACGGGGGACTATGTATTCAGCGGCGCCCGTACGTCCCGATTCTTGTTAACGCGATATCTGATGAACTGTTGTACCCAATGTCTTCAAATTTGGTGACAGCCTACATTGGGGGATTACACAGACACCAGTCGATTTGGGTGACCTTGACCTTATTTTCAAGGTCACCACGACACTGTGACCACTTTTCAAACTCTTGTTAGCGTGATATCTCATGAAGTGTTGTACCCAATGTCTTGAAATTTGGTGACAGCCTACATTGGGGGATTACGCAGACACCAGTTTATGTTGGTGACCTTGACCTTATTTTCAAGGTCACCATGACACTTTGAACACTTTTCAAACTCTTCTTAACACGGCATCTCATGGACTGTTGTACCAAATGTCTTCAAGTAGTATATACACTGGGGGTACGAGATCAAGTCCAACAAAAGCCTCTGTAAAAGCTTCATTTATGAAATAAAGCTTTTGTCAGGCCCTTATCTCTCTCCGCTATTGTATATACCACTGTTTGAACCCCCAGTTAACTTCTTGGTCACTATGACCGCGAACCAACACTTTCCTGATCACGTGATGCTATTGTCGCCCTATATCATGTTGACCTCGAGGAAACAGTTTAATGTGAATGAGCTGGTTACAGGATACTATTGGGATTACTTGGTAAGGTAAGTGTTAAATATTTTGCTTGGGGGGTAACATTGTGTCGTATGGTATGACCAATAATTCCTCTCTGACGAAACCTCCCTGGCCCATCTTTCAAGTAGTACAAGTTCGTCTCGTCGGTTTTGATGTCCACTTTATCTATGTTGTAAGTTTTGACTGACCATGTCGGGTCGGTGGCTCGTTTCCGAGTGTCCCCTTCATGTTCTCCGGCTGGTAGAGGTACCTCACGAGGACCCGGTCGGGTATCTGTTTCTCCTTCCCACACGATGGTGCAGCCGGTTCGGCTATCACTGATTTCAGTTTGATAGCGTCGGCCGGTTTCTTGCCGGTTTCGTGTCCATCCGTGATAGGGACGTCTTGTTTATCGTCAGTCCGTATATCTTGTGTCCATCGCTTCTGAGCGTGTTCATCTGATGCCTGAAGGTGCGGGTCTTGAACAGGGCTTCCTTGAATCTGGCGTGTTTGATGTGTTGTTTCACCATGTACTTCTTGACACCCTTCGCCTTTCGGATCTTGTTATTGTCGGCCTTCAGGATAGAGTACATCTTAGGCCTCAAGCCTATGTACTCGGCGATCGGCGTGCCGGCACACTCATCCATCATCTTACCGAGGACCATTTTGTTAACCGTGCTGTGCATGGCATGGTCCTTGGGGTAGTCACTGGTGTCGTATAAATGGATGTGTTTTGTCATGTCCTCGTACACGTCTTCGGTTCGAATCTCCATCAGCAGGGAGTCCGTGTCCGTGTACAGCACTTCACACCTGTCTCCGTACTGCTTCTTGAGCTCGTTGTAGTAAAAGTCGTACATCAGGTGCTTGGAGAGGTCGAGGATGCTCATCCCCATGTAGACGGGCCGGTTGAATTTGATGTGGCTTTTCCTCATGTGCAGGGCCACCAGGTCGTTGGTGAATATCTTGCTCCGGTTGAATGTCGGGCTGGCTATCAGTTTCCTGAGCTTGTCTTCTTCTTCGACCGAACCAGCTTCACGGTCACGCAGCGTGTTTAAGTAAATTCTCCATCGTCTTACCGAACACTGAGTTGTTCATGAGCTTGTAGAGGTTCTTCTTGAAGTCACTGGTGGCCAGCTTTCGCAGGTCTGTGATCATTCTGATGTAGGGTTCCATCCAGGGTCTTTGGTTGAACTTGAGCACCCTATGAATTTTAGTCAGCCTCATACCCAGCGACAGGTACAGCTGCAGGTTGCGGTAGTGAACCATTAATGCTTTGATTCTTTCCCTGATATCTTTCAACACGAGCTGAACTTCGCGTTGCACCCAGATGCTATGCTTTTATGCGTCGCCGGGAGAGCCGAGATATGAATACGTTCTCTTTTGTTATCTCATTACGCTGCGCAGTCGTCCAGGATAAACAGCCGTTCCCCTTTAATTTCCGGTGATAGTACCTTCGAAGCCAGTCCCGCAGACGTGTTCCCGGTAGGTACCCTGCGTACGTCGGTCGGTCATCACAAAGCGTCTTTCCGTGGCATCGCTTCTATTCATGTGCACAGTAGGTCACATGATAATGATATTATCCAGAACACATCCTGGTAGTACCAGCGATATCCACTTCCCAAAAACGGGTCTTCCCATTAAAGCCCGCTCCGCTCCGCCTTCACTCAGGCAGTCGCGGTCGCGGAGGTGAATCAATAGATGGCTTGCCACGAATCTCCCATTCTCTATATTAAAGTTGCGCGTCCATAATCGATACAGATATAATTTCAACTTGCCAGCGGGTTGAGCCTTCTTAATGTGAAATCTGGATGGTTATCCCTGGCTTTAATTGTTTGTCGATGCGAGGAGACGCTGCCATGTAATTGATCATCGTCCGTGGATCGCATGTCCAACCATAATGTGGCGATACTTTGGTGGTCAGGTATTCACCGATCTGCGCGGAGGATAGGTCAGGTCTCTTGATGAGCGTGTTGGTGTATTAATTCGGTAGTTTTAGTTATCTTGTCCACTGCTGGTGTGCCCCTCATGCGAGCTGAACAGCTGGTTAAGGCAATACCTCGATAGTCGCTTCCCTTTTTCAATCGGGGTTGAAAAACTTCACTCTCCCGCGCCGGAACTGACTTAGCAATCCTTCAGGGGGCGATCAAATTACCTTTCATCGTCGGCGCCCGACGCGTTTAAGGTTGATGTTCCACAGCGTGTAGCATCTTATCCTGTATGATGGCTCTATGCGCAGGAACCTATAAAGTAGAAGGATGGCGCATACGATCCCGAAATTCCTGGTCGAACTTTGCCTTGCGCCAGCTCGGACTGAAGTGACCATGTCGAACTCAGAGAGATGTTGTCGATTAAGAAGTGGCTTTCGCCTTCATCACTGTTCAGCGTCGCATACGAACTTTGCTGTAGTCCATTTGGAAGCTTGAATCACGAGGCTCCGCGTTTATCACCAGCCGTCTTGTTAAGCGTCCGGACGCTTCGGCAGATCAACTGGAGCATTATTGATGGCATCCTCGGCGTTAACAACGAACTGTTTCTGGCGTCGTAAAAGCGAAGTCCCCATAATGGGGATGTTGGAAGCGTTTGCTTCTGGCAGCCCCGCGTCGTTCCGAATCAAATCGTTCAATCTGGTTACACCCGTACGCAGGTGAACCCTCTCGGCGTGTCCAGCATGAACTTTTCCAGTCATCCGCGGCTGGCTGCTCGAACCTCTAGACTTCGGTAATCCTTGCTGTTGTCGAAATAGCCATGTAGCGGTCATCCACTTCGTTTGTTGTGATGTGATGATATGCGACTTGTACCCCATTCTTTCATCTTTTAAGCTGGCTTCCACGAGGGCATATTGTGAGCGATGGGGATACCCAACCATGGTTCGGGCCCGGTAAGCGTAATCCGTCTTGGTCTAGTTGAATTCGTTACCAGCGGCGTTCGTGAGGCGATCTGTCATTACAGGTTGTTTACTTTCGTCCCATGCTTTGTCCTGTGGGAATGGGCTGCTGATCTTTGAGGATATGCCGCCTGACCTGGTAGTACCGTGAAGCGTGAACACAGAACTTGACTCAGCGGTCCCCGCCCGGTATACGATTAGCGTCAAGCCACATTCAGTTAGTCGCATTAACCACAGACTACGGTAGTTGAGTTGACTCTGCCAGAACTGCATAGGGTTGTTGAACCAGGCGTGGACTACCTTGGCGTTAGTCACCCGAAAACCTATACCAGTCAAATACATCTATAGAACTGGGCTCCTGAAATACAACCCAGCAGCGACCACGATCTTCGTAATGCGGAAATCTATGTCCAGTTTAGGGGTAAAACACTCCCCGGTTTGTACATTTTTAAAGTATTATATAATGGGTATATATACTCTAACATGTTCGTAACACTTAACAGGAATAACGGCGGTGAGTCCGTTCAGCCGAGGGTTAACTCCGGGGCACCATCCCTGAGTTGGTAATGCTCGGGTTTTAGATATAAAAGCATAATCCTGTGAATATAGGATACCTCAGCATAGCGCTGCACATAAAATGACTAGCGCTGGAGGTCGAGATGAAGTTGAAACAATGCGTCAATGTTGGGATCTCCGACCTTGCTTAGGGAACCTACGGATTACTGACCGGAGTAGATGGTAAACTATACGCCTTGCAGCTTAAAGTAGTATTTACAAAGCGCGTTGAAGTCCCTCCATCGGTAGAACCCTGGGGATATAATTACATACCTCAGGAGGAAGCTGACCCTCAACACTTTCGGTTTGACCCTAGTCCGCGTCGGTGATGATAGATGGGCGGTATACCCATGCGTTCGGAGGCAAACTGTTGACTTACTTAGAAGATGTTGAGAGGAAACGGCGTTGTTAGAAACAAAGAAGTATACCCTCATCTTCACCGGCCTTGACAAAGTGGGTGTTGTTGCACCCAAATCAAGTCGACTGGTTTTCTCAACGTTAGTCTGCCAAAGCTTCCCCTCGTGTTCACGGAGAACAAAGACAACTGCCTAAACAAAGTCGAGTGAACAAAGCGGAACCCTGCTTCGTGAAAACTTCGTCCGGGCATAATCATCAGCCCACTCCTCGTAGTATGGCCCACATGCTATCGAGTAAACCGGAGTGCAAGGCGGTAGCATTACAGGTTGGTGTCTGGAATTCGCCAGTGTGGTCAAAATCCTGGAAGATCGACCAGAAAATTCCGCACTGGCCATCCAAGTCTGCCCTAGGGAACCATCGCGCTGGGGCCAGTAGATGTAGTGAAGGGAATCAAACTCCGGTGGCCCAAATGGCGCCAGTATCGCGTTTGCACTGTTTCACGATGCGGGTGGAGTCGACTCCCACACCAGTCTGCAGAGGGTCACCGTGACCCGTGGAAGACCGATATCCCTCACCAAGATCTTCCTACCCGACCAACATACCACCTCATGGGGTGAGGTGCACCTCCCTGAACTATCACGAGAGTAAGAACAAAAGCGGTATCTTGCTCGGGCGTTTCACACACACCCACACACCCCACCCCTCCCCCAACTTTCAGAGTATAAGGTTTTCCAAACACCAAATGCACCTGGGCTACATGTTAAATATATCCAGTTATACACATTTATCATTTCGATTATCACGCTGGCCTACTATATTTCTATGGTTATACCCCAGGCTCCACATTCATCATAGAATTCTTTTTCAGAGAGCGATATTGATGAGGGGTGGTTACCTCCTAGCACCTTTTACCTGGGGTGGAAATAAGATGGTCACATTCATATCCATTTAGGGACCCACATTGTCGTATTGTCCTACAAGCCAGACTCGGACCCCTCACTGGGGTTGCTGCCTTCCATTAATAAAGCAACCATATAGTTAGTATAGAACAAGAGTTACCTATTGACCTTTCCACTATTAAGCCTACCACGAGCCGTGAGGCCTTATAAACCCTCAAGTACATTGATCGATATTAAATAAAAGCCCAATTAAAAATATCTTTGTAGTATATGTTATACACGCTGGGATGGGGGCTGTACCCAGTCAATGAAGAGATGGCGAAGACACTGGAAACCGTGAAGCGGGTTTCGGTTTAAACAGTTATGTGGCGATAAAGCGCCAACTAGATCAAGACCCGACACCGCACGGGCGGCATTGTACAAGAGGTACCATAGAGCTTTCAATGCGTGGATGGGGTTGATACAGCCCTTATGACAACCAGCATGGAACTAGAGGCGGTGGGTGTCGAGTTGTTTGCCACCATAAGTAGCCGCACCCATAGTGCTACAGGCATCGAAATAACAGCTGGGGTGTCAGGGTTGGTGGGGTTGGTGTTTTAAGTTTGCATCCACAGACTGCATCGTAAAGCGTTGAAGCACTCCACGGATCAGGTTCTGGCGAAGCAAAGCTGAACCGCGGTGGCGATCACATCTCCACCGCACTCACTGACAGTAAAGTCTCCGAGGAGGAGTTTTCGTTTGCAGTCCTCTCTGAACTCATAAAATATCATGAAATGAAACAAGAGATTCAAACAAGTCTCAAAAAAGCACTGTCATCAGCAGCTGGAAAAAAGTCACATTAGAACAAAGGGATACAACAAGCCCGGCAAGCCTTCATTCACGAAAACCAAAGAAATCATAGGAGATTCACGTTAAACTGTTTTGCTGAGATCAACATCATGTAGGCAGCCACTGGCGGCCGTCAGAGAAGGAATCACGGCACAATGTTACCCCCCAAGCAAAATATTTAACACTTACCTTGTCGAGTAATCCCAATAGTATCCTGTAACCAGCTCATTCACATTAAACTGTTTCCTCGAGGTCAACATGATATAGGGCGACAATAGCATCACGTGATCAGGAAAGTGTTGGTTCGCGGTCATAGTGACCAAGAAGTTAACTGGGGGTTCAAACAGTGGTATATACAATAGCGGAGAGAGATAAGGGCCTGACAAAAGCTTTATTTCATAAATGAAGCTTTACAGAGAGCTTTGTTGGACTTGATCCTCGTTACCCCCAGTGAAGCTGGTGTGGCGATAATTTTCTTGTCCTGAATACTAAAAAAAATGAGCTCAACTGGAAAATGATAATAGACTTCCGGACTAAGAAGGAAGATTTACTGCCTGTGACTATTCATGGCTGTGATATAGAAATGGAAATGTGTCAGACTATAAATATTTGGGTACTGTTATAGACAATGTAGAACTCAACTGGAACAAGGAATATATCGGACAGAATCTATGCTAAGTGCCTGTTTATTCACGGACTGTGGTTTGTTTCAGTGGATACGCTGGATAAAATTCTGTTCTGTTGCAGACAAGCATTTGCCGCTGACTTGCATTTAATATTATGTCTTCTACAGCCATGTTCATTTTATTCACGCTTGCAGCTGCGGTACCTAATTTATCCATTTCTGCCTTTAATAAATAATTACTTCTATGCTTTGAGACGCTGCAGCAGATAGGGTCATGTAGAGTTCCAGCTTGCTGGACTGATACACCTGAACCCCGCCAGTCTACTGCCAGTTGGATCAATTCCCGCTTCCGCCTGGTGTTCCGCTAGAGTGCTGATGGACGAGTCCGCCTCCAAGAAGCTGCCCCGTTTCCCCAGACATCCCATCACGCAGCCGAAGACTAGAGTTTTCTACTGCATCTCAACGCTGACCTCTGAGGGGGAAATCAACTAAGTCTGTTTTGAACTTTCTCAGCCAGATTGTTCCCCGCCGAGATTTAGCCTGTATGATGATCAGCCGACCACGTCATACCCGATACATCAAAAGAATGACCGATGTCGGTAACAGTGATGTCATTGGGGCGTAGATCAACATGCAGCCTGATGCACAACGACAAATTCTATGATCTTCCTGAGGGTCCCTGGCTACCAACACTCAACGAAGACTTCAGACTCCAGGGCAGCGGCCGACTCTGAGGGGAAATCAACTAAGTCTACTAGGGACTTTCAACCGAGATTGTCTCCAGCCGCTGAATCCGATTCTCCCCACGATGATCAGCTGATCATCATCCCCACGCATCGCCACAAGAAGAACGAGACATCTGTGTGACATCAGACGCTTATGCAGCTCCGATGTCTTACACTGACGCCAGATCACTTCCCTGCGGTCCGCTAATATCAAAGAGAGCAACTTCATCACTAATTCGGTCGCAGACCATCCCAGATGAAGTTGCGGCAAATCAAGGGATCAAGGGGATGGAGGGCCACCACAGACTGGGAAGCAGCCAGCCTAAGGTCTTCAAGGTCTCCAAACGCAGGACGACACCCCAGAGGCACTCTATCAGAAAGCAGCCATCATTTAGCCACCTCGCTGGCGCTGGAAGTCGTAGACCACTTCCAATGGCTGGACCTAGATGCGGCTGTAGCTCAAGGCGGATAGATCTCTTCAGTACTTCCTGAGAAAACTTAGATCATTCAATGTTTCAATGCACACCCACGCTTTGTTTTATTCTACAAAACGTTTATCCAAAGTGTTCTTTGTTTTTCCATTGAAGCGTGGTCGGAATTATATCTAAAACTGCTCTCTCACAATAAAACAAAGAAACAAATTCTCCAAAACAATAACTCAAGCAGGCAAAATTTCAGGTACAACCTTCGAGGACATCACATGTCTAGGTCAGCGGCAAGTCAGAAATCTAGCACTCAAAATTTTTGTACAGATTCGAACCACTTTCTTCATCATCGAATATAAACTTCTTCCTTCAGGCATTAAGCTATCAAACTCCCCTCCATGCCTCAGGACAAAGAGAGCCACCGACTCATTTATCCCATACAGTGTTGTTATTTTAAACAAACAGAAGTAGTTTTATTTATTCTTCTGTGTTTTATGTATCTGTTCTGTATCCAGTGCTAGTCTTAAAGTGTTATACATTGTAGTTTATTTATTTATTTTCTTAATGTCCAGTTTTATCCTTCCCCTTTACATTCGTTTAATCTGTGAAAACAACAACATTTGGTCATGTTATAACGTACTTTAAATCATTTTAACCACTGTTGATTGCTCACTGTGATCTGTGAGAGCTCCTCAGATCGTGTGACTGATGTTGTTCGTGTTGTAATGTGTGTGTAATGGATATATGTATTCATTGTAATTCCAGCGTCCATAACGCAAGACAAATTCCCTTCTTGGGCAATAAAGTATTATTATTATTATTATTATTATTATTATTATTATATATATACTACTCTTCAAATTTGGTGACAGCATACATTGGGGGCTTACGCAGACACCAGTTGATTTTGGGTGACCTTGACCTTATCTTCAAGGTCACCACGACACATTTCACACTTAACTCTTGATAACGCGATATCTCATGGACTGTTGTACCCAATGTCTTCAAATTTGTTGACAGTTTACATTGGGGTATTACACAGACACCAGTTTATTTGGGTGACCTGGACCTTATCTTCAAGGTCACCACGATACTTTGACCACTTTTTAAAGGCGATATCTCATAAAACATGGCACCCAATGTTTTCAAGTATGTTGACAGCCTACATTGGGTGATTATGCAGACACCAGTCATTTCAGGCATCTTGTATGTGACCAAAAAATAAAAAGTAGTAAATATAAATATTCCATTCTTTAGCGGCGGGGGACATTGCCATATCAGCGGCAAACACTTTAACAATGCAAGAATAAACAGATACTCTTGAATGCCATGAATGCATTGACATGCCATATACACATAAAATGCTTCTGTGAAAACTGAACACAGCATTATATAGGGCGTGGTAAGAGAAACTAAATCGAATTTCTTTTAAATTTTGATAGAAATGTTTGTTCAGAACAATGTTATATCTATTTTGTCAAGCTATATTGGATGTTTTTCAAATTTCGGATTAAGTACATACAAACATTTGTCCCATAATTGCAGGCACTTGTCCCATAATTGCAGGCACTTGTTTGTTTCATCAAAGTCAGCATTGAGAAATTGTCCAGGATGTGGATAGATTTGTGACTAGTTTCTTTGCTTGTCACATCAATATCTGTCAACCAGCCAGTTCTTGACATGGTTATGCCTGTGTGTTTTTATGGTGGCAAATGAACACTGAAATGTTTTAAGGATTACTCCATTTGTTTCAATCCATATTGATCACAATCCATACTGATGTGTTATACTTGCAGTTAACACTGAACCTCCTGACGTCCATCTCCCGGATACAGAAATCCTCCATCTCCAACATACAGTCTGAGATTCTGCCACAGATCCTGGTTTTGATACAGTCTCCCCTACTACAAGGCGGAGCACTCAAAGCTCTCTTAGAATTCTTCCAGGCTGTAGTGAAACTTGGCTTAGCCAAACTAGGCTTCAAAGATCTCTTGCAGGTAAGGTTCCTATACTGATAGGTGTTTGGGACTAAACCTCTGTCTTGAATCGGTTTATCTAGAGTTATCCTGAGGACTAGCAAAATATAAAGCAGTGTAGGAGGTTTCAAGGGATGTCTCTTTGTGGATACACTATTCAAGTTAGTTTCAGGGTAATTTCTGCTGCTTTACTTCATGGTAGGCTTGGCTTCAATCGAAACTGACAACTGAATCTTGGTATCTTATATTGATGTACCAAGTAATTGTCATACTCTGTTTTGCAGTACATAATCTGGAATTATCTTGTTTCAGCTCTTGATCATGCCAATTTACAGTCCTCAACAGACAGGAACTGGATTTGCTGTACATAAACAGGTCAGTCTCTGTTTAAGTCAGTGAAGTGGTGAAAGCTCATTTACCATGTTTACATTGGTTAGCTGAGAATTAGACTCCTTGCATTGCACATCAAGTAATGATGAGGCCCACGTTTCACAGAGTAATTGCAGTATACATAAGTTGTATTACTTGAACAGTGCCAGTTGGCATACTATAGAGACATTTTAATGATGTTGTTTTTGTCTAATTTTCCCAACTGTCTTTGCTGGAATATTGCTGAAAATGGTGTAAAATCTTGACTCACTCAAAATTATGTGAGTGAGTATTATTTCATACAAGTTGTGTAAATCCAGCAATGTAAATCTTGACGAGAAGAGTGAATATAGTTCAGAGAATTACCTAAGAATGGCAGAACATGGTGTGATCATTCTCATGTGGTTGTTTGTTCCAGGCCTTTCATTCCATTGCCAAATCTGTAGCAGCACTAACTGTAATGAGCCCTGAAGAGGCAGGCAATGTGGTCAACCAGTTTGTTAGCGATGTTAAGGTAAATGAAGAGTTTCATAAATCCATTAGGATATTAACAATATGTACATTCAGATTTGCTGTGTCAGTTGATGCCCAGAGGTTTCATGTGGAATTGATTCCTCTGCTTGAGGCTTCTAATTTGTAATAACCATTAATCAAATGCTCAACACCCATAAATCTTAACCTAAAATTAGAATTTAACAGTTATCTGTAGAAATCAGTGATGAGATGATGTCTCACTCTGAAATGGTAATATTGTAAAGATTTCTGGGATGCAGTCTTATTTAACAATGTTTTTGGTCCAATCACTTTGTAGGTCCCACTCCAATAGGTATTAAACAATTTCATGATTGCAATTAACTGTGGACTTTTTGTTTGTTTCAGAATGCAAAGTCAACAGATTCAATAGTTCTATTCTCATTATTAGCCCTCGGCGAAATAGGAAAACATGTGTAAGCATATTGTCCTACAGTCCTTATTCCAATGACCCGTGAAGGTCCGGGTTAGAATATTAATCTTCAGTAACCTATGCTTGTTGTAAGAGGCGACTAACGGGATCGGGTGGTCAGGCTCACTGACTTGGTTCCCAATTGCGCAGATCAATGCTCATGCTGTTGATCACTGGATTGTCTGGTCCAGACTCGATTATTTACAGACCACTGCCATATAGCTGGAATATTGCTGAGTGTGGCATAAAACTAAACTCACTCACCTTATTCCAATGTTTAGTCAGGTCTTAGAACCTTATTTTTGTAAATAGACCCACCGCTTGAAACCTATGTTAGAATTTGTGATATAGTAATAGTAATAGTCCGCTTATATGGCTCATATCCAGGCACATTGCCTGCTCACGGCGCTACCGTACATTACTATCCCCGGTCATAGGACACTATCGTACTTTCCGATACATCGTCAACTCCCTGGGGATTATACAGCCATGCTGCCTGTTAGGCGCAACGAACTAAACACTCACATTGCCAGCACATCCTCACGGGTACCCATTTTACAGCTGGGTGAACTAAGACAATGTGGATCTAAGTATCTTGTCCAAGGATACTACGCAAATGTGCCCACCTCGGGACCCGAACCTAGGTGCCTCCACCAGGGATCGAACCCGGGTCTTCAGCGTGATAGGCAGACGCCTTAACACTGCACTACTGCGCTTAATGGCTGATTAAGTGTCATATTTACTATAGATTGCAAGCAAGTGTGAAATATTTATTGTTCTGTATATGTGTGATTTTGGCATAATACGTTCATGCCACAGAAAATTTGGAAATGCTTTTACGAATGCTCAAACTGTACTAATGACTTTCTCTTGCAGTGATTTAAGTAGCCAAGGAGAGATTCAGAATGTAATCCTAGAGTCTTTTTCATCTCCCAACGAAGAAGTAAAATCAGCAGCATCATATGCTTTAGGTGAGTAGAAGGAACATGCTGGGTAGCTACAAAATGCTGTATTTGCATTAAGAGCTGCTGTAACAGTGATGCTTTTACATGTGTCACCTGTGAAGATATGGCGTAGAATATGTCTTCAGCAATGCATTATTGTCGCAAGATGTAAAGGTCAGACTCCCTGACTTGGTCAATGCATGTCATTGTATCCCAATTGCAAAGGGGGCGACGAGGTAGCCTAGTGGTTCAAGCGTTCGCTCGTCACGCAGGTTCGATTCACCACATGGGTAAAATGTGTGAAACCCATTTGTGGTATCCCCTGCCGTGATATTGCTGGAATATTGCTAAACGCAGCGTAAAACTAAACTCACTCACCCAACTGCAAAGGTTTATGTTAAGGATGTTAGTCACTGGATTGTCTGGTCAAATCTTGATCTTTCACAGACCAACTTCATACAGTTTTCCTGTGGTACCAGTGTTTGAAAGTAGCTGCCAGCCTGCTTTTCCATGGGTACAAATATTAGTTTCTTTCCTGTCAAGGGGTGGTGGGGTAGCCTGATGGTTAAAGTGTCGGCTCGTCACACTGAAGACCTGGGTTCGATTCCCCACATGGGCACAATGTGTGAAGCCGATTTCTGGTGTCCCCCACCATGAACTATCAAAGAGCTACTTGTCTGTTTTGCCAGCTGCAAATGAGTTTCTTTGCTGACTGTGTGTAATTCGGGTGTTTAAGCTGTGTTTTTTTTTTTGAGTTATCTTTTACACATTCTTCATTTTCAGGCAATGTCAGTGTTGGAAATCTACCAAAATTCCTTCCATTTGTATTACAAGAAATAGAAAATCAGCCTAAAAGACAGTATCTGTTACTACACTCTCTGAAAGAGGTAAGTATAACACTTGTTCTATGTAGTGTTCATAGACTTGATGGTTTAAGATTCCCAACTAGACCCTAAAGGTAATGAGAAGAGTAGGGATTGTATGATGAGCCAAAAGATATAAGCATGAGTAATTCTGAATATCACTCTTACATTTGCAATTATTGATAATCTTATTAATTATAGAGAGAAAACCAAGTTAAAGATCTGTGCATGCTATAGTTAATCTGTCATAGACTTTCTTTGTCGGCGCCTCCGTGGTGTAGTGGTTAGAGCGTCTGCCCAGAGAGCGGAAGGTCGCGGGTTCGATCCCTGACCGCGTCATACCAAAAGACGTTAAAATATGGTACTTGTTGGTCCCTGCCTGGCGCTCGGCATTAATGGGTACAACAAGGACTGGTCGGCTCGGAGTCAGTATACTGTGTCTGAGTGGGGTATTCATGCTTCACTGCGGCAAGATATCTCAGTGAGCTAGCACTATAAAACCAGCTTAAGTCTGGGCTAGTACAAGCAGCCGCACATACACATACACACGCATGCACGTCGTCATATGAGCGAAATATTCTCAAGCATGACGTTAAACCCAATTTCACCTCACCTCACCTTTCTTTGTCTGTTTTGTCATATTTATGTCTCTTTTCGTTTTGAAACCTATTACTTTATATGTACATTGATGATACTTAACATCAAAGCTATCAAGTAACAAGATTTTGTTAAAATGGTGTGGTGCTGTTTTTCTCAGATCATCAGCTGTGAATCTAGCTCGCCATCTGGTGTGGAAACCCTCAGCCCCTATGTACAGACAGTATGGTGAGTGAGCTGATACTGTAAGGTATTTACCTACATCATGCATATTCATTTGAAATGTTAAGAAGTGATCTGGAGTATTTCAAGATAAGAAATTTGGTATTTCAAAGACGTCGCATTTTCAAAGACCTTGGTGTGATTATCGACTCAGATGTGTCACTGGATGATCACGTTTCCCATCTAGTCCAGAGCTGCTTTGCTCAGTTGCGTACTATTGGACATATCCGACCATATCTCACCACCGAATCTGCCACCACTCTTGTCCTGTCTCTAGTTATGAGCAGGATTGATTACTGTAACTCCCTTCTCGCTGGTGCCACTAAGACACAGATAAGGAAACTTCAGCGTGTGCAAAACGCTGCTGCAAGTATAGTGACCCAGTCACGTAAATCTGATGACGCCTCTGAAACTCCTACATTCTTTACACTGGCTGCCCATTCACTGTAGGATTCAATTCAAGCTTCTGTGCCTCACTTTCCGCTGTCTGTCTGGATCTGCCCCCTTCAGATCTCGGCCCAGTCCCTCACACAGCACCGCCCATGTCGCTCTCCGTTCACAGGATAAACGCTTTCCCTCGTTATCCCCACTGTTAGGACTTCATGATGGTGAAAGGTCCTTTTCGTGATGCAGCCTCTACAGCCTGGAATCAACTACCTCAATATCTCACGTGATTGTACAGAACTTTCTAATTTTAAATCTTTACTAAAGACGACTTTTCAGATTAGCTTATGAGTGTACACTATTATTTGAATTCAAATATTTGTTATCTTTTGAACATGGGGAATGGCAAAGTCCTTGACGTTCATCCTTTTTATCCAACACTTTATTAACCAAGTTCTGTTTCTTTGATAAATATAGGTTGTATTTTGCTCACGTAACAAAGTATTCAGTTCTAGGTTTAGTTGGCATTTTATGTTACAAACATTCACAAAATATGTTTTGCCAGTTCCTGTTCTCCATTTGGCACAGATCATTCCTACTTTTTGTACAAAGTTTTGACCTATGCTCCATGCTCTTAAGCCTGTTGCACACTCTGTGAAATGGGAACAACTTTCCTCAAAAACTATTTAGGTCAGACAATTCAAATTTCACACAGTGACTTGAATGAATTCTTTACAGAGTTGTGGCCCTTGCCCAGTGCTTTTTAGCTTGGTGTATGCTTCATGTAATCGGGCCATGTTTTCTGAGATACTACTGAAATTACATGCTTATCAAAAAGACAGTTATAAAATGTGAGTTTTATGGTGCCATATTTATTTTTTATAAATTCTGCCATTCTTTCCTAATTTTTTAATCTTGAGAATACACAGTGTCGGATATAGTGTCTTAACGGGACATGTTGTTCCAGGACAATGTTGTTCAACCACTGTGAGTGTCCTGAGGAAGGAACGCGGAACGTTGTGTCAGAATGTCTGGGAAAACTGACCCTCATCGACCCTGGGAACCTCCTGAGTAATCTGAGACAACACCTCAATCACCAATCTGCTTTGACACGTAGCACGGTTGTCACAGCAATCAAGTTCACAATATCAGACCAGGTAGGTCCTTCAAGAGAACTTCTAAGTTCTAAACTGAAATAGTCTTGCTTTCATGCAGAAGAGAGCTAGAGAAACCAGGGGTGGAAATAACTTTAAAATTGCTAGTGTACTCTGGTACAGTGGCACATGTAAAATCACTTGCCCTGATCAATTTTCCACTATACCGGCCGTTTTCTTGTTGATTTTTTTAAATAAACAACATAATTAACAGTGGAAAGTCAACTGGACACAGGTACAGCGTGATATACAAATTTGCTTGCCCGAAAGAAAAAAACACTGGACTAGGACGTCGGGCAATGGGTTATTTCCACCCCTGGAAGCAATTATGGTTTCATCAAAGTAATATTTTCCAAAATAGTGATAGATTCCAGCACAAAAATGGCACTGTTAGGAGTTGCTACAGAAGGATGGCCGAATTTTCTCCTTTTTCTTGCCAGGTTTTGCCGGTCATGCAGTTGATACCCAGATCTGAACTAATATTATGACACATTGAGAAACTTGTGTTCATCACCAGAGTGGTAAATGACCACAATCTGTGTAACATTGGGCTTTACTGATAGACCTCACGTTTTCACTTAAAATACATGTCAAAGAAGCCTAAAGATCTCAACCATTTTACATGTTGTATATGTAAGTATTTCATTATTTTTCCTTATCCTGACTCATGCTTATTTGCTTTCTCATCCTCTCTTCCGAACGGTCAAGTGGAAACTTGAATCCCTTCAATTCCCTTGAAGTTAAGGTACAATCACTCACCCTGAATTACCTCCCTTTTCCCGCTAAAACTGGCACGTGACCTGCCATGCCTTGCTCCTCACTCTCTCCTCTATCGCCCAAGCGGACGGTTGGGCAGTCATTTCAGGGTCCCTTTGCGGCTTATAACTTCAAATATTTTGGATATATAGCACAAATTCTGCCGTGATTGTGTTTCTAAATATGTTGTTTATCATGTTTATAACAAAATTTGTACATTGTATGTGATTGAAAACCCGCTGGCATGGGCTGTCGACGACTTAGCCATATCCTGGGAGGGAATGAAGGCCTACGCCTTCCCTCCACCGATCCTGCTACCTCAAGTATTACGCAAGATCAACCAGACGAGGGTGCTACAACTGATTTTGGTAGCACCTTATTGGCCAGCGAGACTATGGTTCCCAGACCTCATAGATCTTCACGGCGAACCAGTTCTACGATTACCAGATTGGCCGAACATACTCGTCCATCCTCACACCAAACAGTGTCACGGCAACCCAGAAGCGTTCCAGTTACACGTATGGAGCATATTACATACTGCTTGAAGAATCGAGGTTACTCCACTAGAGCAGCCAAGGCTGTGACCTTGGCCCTACGAAGATCTACACGTAACCTGTACGATGACAAGTGGAGAAGTTTTGACCAGTATGCTGTTCAACAGGGGTTCACAACCAGAAAGGCGACACATCCATAAGTAGCAGACTACTTGTGTCATCTGAGGTCCACTAGACATATGAAGGGCTCTACGCTGTCTACATACCTTGTGGCAATCAGCTCAGTCACACCATGAAGATAGGGATGAAGTTAACCAAGGTGCCTGAACTAGTGGCCCTGCTGAGATCTTTAAAGTTGGAAGATCAACAACAGAAGTTCAGAGCACCAGCATGGGACCTCAACATAGTGTTGCAGCACCTCATCAGTGATGTATACGAACCGCTGACGCAGACGACATTTGAGTTATTAACTCAAAAGACGATATTTCTCCTCGCCTTGGCTACTGCTGCTCGGATGTCAGAAATACACGCCCTTGACTTCAGCCATACAAGATTCGACACGGGAAGAAGGGAAGCAGTCCTTCTAGGCCTTAGATGGGACTTTATAACCAAGAACCAGCTACCGGGCCAACCGGATCGTCAGTTCTACGTTTTCCGGCATTATAAACAATCCTGGGTCCAGACGACACTCAATATTTATCTTTATGCCCGGTCAGAGCGCTGAGAATCTACTTGCAGAAATCTGCTACGAGAAGAAGGAAGTTCAAGCGTCTATTCATCCCGCTATCAACCGCTACGACTGTAGAAGTATCTCCTCCTTGATCAGAGCCTATAAAGCAGCAGGGTTAGAGTCTCAAAGAGCATCAAACCCACATGAAGTTAGAGCTTTGACCTCGACACTCGCCCTACATGGAAACTGCTCTATATCATCTATAATGGAAGGCTGCTTTTGGAAGTCAGACACTGTCTTCGCTAATCACTACCTGAGAGACATCTCCACAGAAGACGTATCAGGGATACAGCGGCCAGACTTTGAAGAAACTCACCCTTGTCACGCAGATTCGTTGATGCCAGGCAACTGTCCATTGCCACCGGCTGAGAGTCCATGTTCCCCTGACTTACGAGATAAGTCAGGGCATGAGTGATACATAGACTCAGTTATGGTATTGTTCTTGCCTTAACAGATGGGTCGCGATTCCAGTTTCAGTAAAGTTCTGACCGTAACATATTGGGTCGTTGCAGATATCTAGACAACCAGGCGTCTAGTATACTAAATCCACAAAACTTAAGAAGTTTACTTCTAATACGAATGTATAAGAAGGTAGTCCCCCGACAAGCATCAAGAAATATTGAAGTTAGCCGCAGAAGAAGAAAATTCCTAGGGGGTATATATATGAAGCGAACGCTGACGTGAATACAGTCATACAGGGAATCATGTTAGGTGGTTGACCCACCACCGATTCCGTCGGATTCAGTAAGCAAATAAGCATGAGTCAGGATAAGGAATAATATGTAATTTTTATGATAAAATTAATATTTTATACTTATCCTGACTCATGACATGAAGCCCTCCCAACCGTCCCCTCTCACCACACGGGTTTCCCTGTAAACCTGCGTGGGGCTTATATCGGAGAGAGTGAGGAGCAAGGCATGGCAGGTCACATGCCAGTTTTGGCGGGAAAAGGGAGGAAACTCAGGGTGAGTGATTGTATGTTCGCTTCAAGGGAATTGAAGGGATTCAAGTTTCACACTTGACCGTTCGGAAGAGAGGATGAGAAAGCAAACAAGCATGAGTCAGGATAAGTATAAAATATTAATTTTATCATAAAAATTACATACTTTTGGCTTATTAGCATTTTTACATGGAATAATACAACTGCTTTCAGCCACAAGGTATTGACACATTGCTGCGAGGTTGTATTGGAGATTTCCTGCGAACATTACAAGACCCTGACCTGAACGTGAGGCGAGTTGCCTTGGTAACATTCAACTCTGCCGCTCACAACAAACCCTCTCTAATTAGAGATCTTTTGGATTCAGTTCTTCCCCATCTTTATAATGAAACAAAGATAAGGGTAAGTAAGATCTGTTACATCTGTCATCTTCAGTGACTTACGAGATCTTTGTAGTTATATCTGTTATCTTCAGTGACCTTCGAGATTTTTGTTAAAGATATTACTTTCCACAAGCCTTTTGACAAGGAAAAATGTGATTTCAGTTATTTTCATATACAAATATTCATTTGTTATAAGCTGTCACATGGTTGAGTATCTGTCATTTTCTTCCTTGATGGCCAAAAGAAAGAGTTGATCCGGGAAGTGGAAATGGGACCTTTCAAACACACACTAGATGATGGTCTGGACATTAGAAAGGTATGTTTCTGATTCTCATCCTATGCCCAGTCCATAAAGCAATGGTGATAAGATTGTAGCTGTATTCCCTGGATACATTTACAGTGTAATAACTAGAAGTAAATCTGGACTGAATTTATCGCTCAAACTTCCAAGTAAACAGTGAAGTAACCAGATTTCTTGTGAAATACCCAACCAGAATGTGAAGCCAGTTTGATATGAGACTTTGCTGCTGTGTGTAAAGAAGGCAGTCCAATGTTTATAGTGATGGTTCTCTGAGCATGACTTTTATTCTACACGTCTGCTGCCCATGAAGATCCGGGTTAGAATTGATCTTCAATAACCCATGCTTGTCGTAAACAGAGACTAACGGGTTTCGGTGGTCAGGCTTGCTGACTTGGTTGACACGTGTCATCATATCCCAGTTGTGTAGATCGATGCTCATGATGTTGATCACTGCATTGTCTGGTCCAGACTCTATTATCTACAGACCACCGCCATATACCTGGAATATTGCTGAGTGTGGCGTAAAGATAAACTCACTCACTCACTGAATCTGCTCATGAAACAGGATCTTGATTGCTTCCTTCCATGTAATCAAGATTTTGATCTTTTTGTGTGTTCGCATAGTGCCAGCATTTGTGTGTTATTAACCATGTATTCAGAAACATTCATCTCAATGACAGGCAGCCTTCGAGTGTATGTACACCCTGCTGGACTCCTGCCTTGATCGGCTGGACATATTTGAGTTCCTCAACCATGTGGAAGATGGGCTTAAGGACCACTATGACATTAAGATGTTGACTTACCTGATGCTGGTCCGTCTTTCACATCTCTGTCCAAATGCTGTTCTTCAAAGTAAGTTAAAACTTTGTCCTTTAGCCGTAATGTTTACAACTATATCTTCAGGAGGATTTCAGATATGAACCTACCTTTAGTATCACAGGACAGAAAGTTTAATTAGAATTGTCACATATTTCTTATGAATGTCTTAATTATTTCATTCGTTCCACGATAAATTGGAGATAATATTGCTCCATCATCCTATCAAATTCCATGGAATTGCTTGTAAGTTGTGTATGAGGGTCCAAATTATATGTATGCAACATCTTAATACTCAACTTTAAGGGTGCCTTAATAAGAACGATATACTTGTGATGGTTGACCTGACAGACTGAGGATCATTGTGCCCTGAAGGTTCAACCACTGGTTAGCCTTGCCTAGATCTAGGCATGAAGTAACACAAACTCACTCACTAAAGTCCCCTCCATGCTGACTGTTTGCTTCAACTTGTGATTGGTTTCAGGACTGGACCGACTTGTGGAACCACTCAGGGCTACTTGTACAACCAAGGTGAAGGCCCATTCTGTGAAGCAGGAGTTTGAAAAGCAGGATGAGTTGAAGAGATCAGCTCTTCGAGCCGTTGCTGCATTGCTCAACATCACTGATGCAGGTTTGTGTGGCTTTCCTTGTCAGATAATGCTGACCTAGTCATTGTGTCTCGTCCTTGTCTTGGGGGCCTACTCAGGGTGAGAGAAGTTGATTCACTGGATTTTCTTTGTCCCCCTGTCCTCTGTAGTAGACATGGGTGTAGAAGAAGAAGAAGAAGTTTATTCAGTATTTGAGGCCACGTGGCCAAGAGTACAAACACAATGTAATTAGTTCATTTTCATACAGGCAAGTTACGCTTTAGAAATAATGCTATTGACTTCAATAGATGTGCATTTGTTGTTGTTAAAAGTTGTTTAAATTTTAATCTTGATGGGAACATATGGTAATAACTAGGTAAGTACAGTTTTCTTTGTACAGAATAGAATGGACACACAAGTAAAAAATGAAATTCATCCTGTGTAACATTAAAATCACATTTGTCACATATCAATACATTGAAATTTAAATTATTATTATAACGTTGTTGTTGAAATTTAACTTATGGCTTAAACAGCGGAATTTGCATAAAATGCGTATAAGGTCCTTGTTATGACAAAGTTCCAATATGTATTTTTCAGGTTCGAGGGCAGACTTGATTGCTCCATAGTCTTTTAGAAAAGATGATGTTCATATATATACTTGGACCCTCGCGATACGGCTGATCTCTCATCAAGATGGGCCAGCAAGAGCACTCGTAAATTCCATCTCCAATTAAATCAAACAGGGAGGAAAAAATGCAAATAGATTATTTCATCATCAACTTACTTTAGAGGAAGTCTCATGTACTCATATCTCCATTTGATCAGAACTGTCATACTACGCAATGCATATGGATGGACCTTATTCCACCCTCTCCATGAGCTTAATACTCATGATATTATAGCCAACTTATAATTGTTCTACAAATGTGATTTCAAAAATGGAGGGTTTATTTCTGAACTGACATGGTGGAATAAAACCATTTATTCGGAGAGGATATCACCACCGGCGGACGCCCCCAGGTATAAGCAACACCATTCGGATCCCCATGGTCCTCGCGACAGACAGCCAGCTGACAGTTCCTCGAGAAGATAAGTCAATCTAACAGATCTTTTACTCTATCTTATAACAACACTCAAATAGCTCCATGCCATATATAATTTACTTAAGTCTCTTCTTTATAATTACCACAGTACTATGATTATTAAGATCATACAATATATAAGCAACAACTCCTACAGAGTTTGTTATTATGGTATATTTACCCTTAAGTTATTCATATCTTAAGAGTAATACTATGGTTACATGATAAATGCATTAGCTAACAAACTCTACAGAGTTTTTATTATTTTATACACAGCTTGCCATTCATTAAGCAACAAACTCCTAATGGATTTTTACCATCATTATATAGGTAACTTAAGCTAATTATACCTTTTAAGCATAGTACTATACTCATATTATTAAAATATATTGGCTAACAAACTCTAAGGAGTTTTGCTTATTGATATAGTGCAGCTTCTAAGCTTATTCATATCTCAAGCTTAGTACTCATGTTTATACTCATATAAGTAGATTAGCTAACAAACTCTAAAGAGTTTTTGCTATTTTGGCTTAAGTAGCATCATATTTCTAAGCAATATGGTTATATTATAACATGTGGCTAGCTAACAAACTCTTACAGAGTTTTTAGCTATTATACATGTAACTTAAGCTTATTCACATATCTTGCTTATACTATGTTTATATCATATAGGTATATTAATTAGCTATCAAAACTCTAAAAGAGGTGCTTTTGCTATTATATATTCTACTAATTTCATCATATTTTAAGCTTTATAGTTACATTATAACATGTATTAGCTAACAAACTCTAATGAGTTCTTAAGTATTATATATGTAGCTAAGCTTTTCCTTCATAAGCTCAATACTAGGTTTATATCATAGCAATAATGTCCCCTAAAGGGTTGTTACCATGCCAAATACAATTAGCTTCAAGCTTCATCATATCTTTAAGCAGCATGTTTACTATAAAGGTATTAGCTAACAGACCCGACTGAGTTTTGTTATTATATATATATAGCTTAAGTTTCATCATAACTTAAGCTCAGTACTATGTTTTAACACATAAAAGCTCCTAAGGAGTTTATCTTTTACATATACATTTAGCTTAAGTCTAACCTTATCTTAAGCTTAGTACTATGGTTACCATATGTTCATATATTAGCTAATAAACTCTACAGAGTTTTTACATATCCTAGAGTGCCAATTTTGAATTTCAATATCTTGACATCTTTGTCTAAATTCATTTATAAACGTTTCTATATTCCCACATTCCTGTGTAATCCAAACGTAAGAAAATCCAGTTCGAATAAAAGTAGAGCGCACATGCATAACCCAGTTGCAGCTGCCACTATCGTCTTGCAACTTTAACATTTCATAACATGATTTGGGATGTCGATTATTGTCCATATGTAATATTCTGCACCAATATTTGATACATCTGCGTAATATTTAACGCATAATTGGGTCCTGCCAATTTCACCAAGTACAGCATTGGAAGAAACATTTTTATTAACACACAGAAAACGTTTGAAAAAGAAACATTGGGTTTTCTCAATGTGAGGACGATATGAATGCCCCCAGATTTCACTACCGTACAATAATATTGGGGATATCTTACTATCAAATATTGCTGAAGCAACTTTCAAAGATATATGTGGAAGATCTTTAAACATTTTAAATATAGGGAACGAGGCTTTTTTGGCTTGAAGACTTAGTGTTTCACATGTCGTCGACCATATCAATTTTGTGGTAAAAACAACACCTAGATATTTATAGTGTGATACAACATTCATTTGGTTTGCATTATAGAACCATTTTTCTGATTTCTTAAGATATCCACCATTTCTAAATACTACTATACAAGATTTGTCAAGATTAACTTCTAAACCCCATTTTGAGCAAAAACGATACAATGTATCAAGTTTTCTTTGTAAACCAATAACAGTGTCATCAAGTAAGGTAACGTCATCTGCAAAAAGCAGTAATAGAATATCATTTAAACCATCTTTGACAAATATTCCTCTTAATCCACAGTTATTCATTTCATCCACAAGCTCGTTGATAAAAAGTATAAACAGAGCTGGGCTAAGCATGCAACCTTGCTTTACTCCAGATGATGTGTTAAAGATTTCAGATCTCTTATTTCCAACTTTAACACAAGCTGATACCTTGTCATACATATCTTTCAGCAACTTGAACATTTTACCATGGACACCTTTGGTGAGGAGTACATATAAAAGCTTATTTCTATTTACAAAATCAAAGGCTTTTCTAAAGTCAATAAAAGCTGCATAAAATCGATGTTTGGGTTTTCTTAGATATTTTTGGCATAGAGATTGAAGGACAAATATGTTATCGACTGTTGAATAGTCAGCTCTAAATCCTGCTTGACACTCATGTAAAAATCTCATGCAATTCCATCCAGATACGAATTCTGGAGTCAAGGATAGAAGTGAAAATTTTACCCATCACATTCAACAATGATATGCCACGATAATTATTCGGGTCATGCTTACTACCTCTCTTATACAATGGTATAATCATACCGATGTTCCAGGTGTCTGGAAATACACCAGTGTCTAATACAGCGTTAAACAGTAATTCTAAGTATGGAATAATGAAATTTGCTTTTTTTTAAACTCAGGTGGTATTCCGTCAGTGCCCGGGGATTTTCCGGTCTTAAGGGATTTGATAGCCTGTTCTATTTCATTTTTAGTTATTGGGTCTGATAAGAAGTCTTCGTTGTCACAGTCTGAACAGTCATGACTTGATATATATTCACGAGCGGTTTCATCAAAACCTTTGTCATTTACATTGGTTGCAGGATTAAGTAATTCCTTGAAATATGTAACCCATTTACAAATGGGAATACAATTGTTCCCTCCCGAACCAGTTGTAAGGGATTTTACCTTAGACCAAAACTTCTTACAATCACCATCTGCGGCTGCTGCACGTATTTCATCAGCAATCATGTTATTTAATCTTCGAGATTTATCCCGGCATACACTTTTGAAATTCCTCTTTGCATCAATTTAGCAATTGAGAGTTTCTCTGGACCGACACCTCCGAAACGTGTTTAAGTGAAAGAATTTTTTTCTCTTATCACGCTCACAGTCTTGGTCAACCCACTTGGGTTGTACAGGCTTTTGTTTAGCTACTTTAGGCACGTCAGTTACACGTAAATGGCTTCCTACATGCTGCATTAGTTCTACCAGCTTGTCCGCTGCAGCATTAATATTTACGTTTACCAATTGTTGAAAGTCATCAACAATATTAGATGCTACATCAGACGTTATGTTGAGATCAAATTGATAGTCCTTGCTCTTACATGCCTTGAATTTGTCAATTTGATAACACTACTCTTTTGGGTCATGACAAATTCATCACATGTATATGGATTATGTGGAGTTTTGTTTAATCATTCAAAGGTTTAGGTTGTTTTTGTCTAAATCTTTAAGATAGTACTTTGTAAAATGTTAAATGACAAGTTCTTTCTGTTCACTGGTTTGAATTTTTTAAACAATCTTTAAACATATCAGCAATAGATATCTTAAGCAAATTTAGATGTAACCTGACCCGTTTTCAAGGATTAAACTTCATTGTATGAGCTCACTATGACTGCTCAACGAAATTATGGTAAATAAGTCCTTGTCTTCTCCAGTAAATAAAAGCGGTGTTGCAAAGCACAGGACATGCTGGTCAAGCAGTTGCTGATGTGGCATAGAGCGATAATTACTTAGTGTGCCTGAGCAAGGTTATCACCTGCTGTAACAACTATCTCATTACCTCTATTTGCCTGCCTTACTCCTTTGTGTTTTTGTTGCCCTTGAAATACGCAGCCTTTCTGTTTTCAGACAAGAGTCCACAGATGAATGAGTTCCTTACCCAGATCAAATCAAGTTCCGAACTCTCTTCTATGTATGAAAACATTCAGAAAGATGCCATCTCCACGTCGGACTCAACCACGATGGACACAAGCTGAAAACCTCCTTCCTCTAGCGTTGTAATCAAGTGCTCTTTTAAGTCGGGGTGTGGCTTTGCTGGATACATGTATCTGTATGAGGAAGATATCTTAAGATCGTTAGAAATGCCTCAACAACTGACAATGCTCGAAATCAGTGTTTAATGAATAAGTACAAATAGTTTTGTACAAGTATACTATTCCAAATTAGTTTGAGAAGCCCATTTATTTCAGGCTGCTATAGTTAATCCGTCATCATGGCAGATTTTACTGTAGTATTATGAAAGAATTGGGTGTTCTGTAACTTCATTTTAGTAGCCAACATACTTTAATACAACAATCCCACACCCTGAATGATTCTATAAAAAGTACTGTCCCTATTTGTTTCTGTTCAGAAAATGTAAAAAATAATGCGATGAGAATCCATGTTAAACATGCTGTTTCCGCATAAGTCTCATGATGGATTGAAATGTTTATTAAGCTGATACTTCATCAAGCACTTCATAAGAGCTCCTTTCACGCGGCGAGACTTGACTTTGTCAAGATTATGTCATGTTCTGGTTTGTTGCAGACATATCTGCTTTGATGCTCAATTGGTAGATATTGTATAATACCTACATCTGGTAGTATGTAAAGGCCTTTGATATGTGCACGAGCACACACAACTTCCTCCGATGTCTTCGTTGTCACTTCCACGAACCAGCAACCTGTTCCACAAAACAATGTTTGTGCCAAGTGACTAAGCTAGTGCTTAAGTAAAGGAGTTGTGATCATCTTTGGGCTATGACCACTTTGTGAAGCAGGGTCCTGAACACAATGAGCCACTGCTCAGACGATGACTTGAATCTACTCTAAGGGACAGTTGGTTATCATTGAAAATTATGTGAAGTCTGACTGAACTGAGTGTTATGGTTTGGGTTGTTTTACTTGTTAAGGTTACAGACTACGAAAGTCGACAGAGAGTGGCACATTGATGCTAATACTTTTGTGTATCAATGCTTAAGTCAAATCCTTAATGTTTTATGATGATCAGTGTAGCCCTTGCAGAATTGTTGTTAAAAGTAACAAGCCCATTACATAGCTAATGGAGAATGTGTTGCACATTGAATCACAATATGTTTATATTCCTTACACAAGTGTAGCATTCATCTATATCTGAAATTGATTAAAGGATATGAAACCAAATTCCCAGATATCAATAGTTTATTATAACACAATAAAATCATGAACTGTAGCAGATCATGTCAAAATTCAGATGGAAGTCAATAATATTTTTGAGAAGATATAATCAGTATTCTAGAACAGTGTTAATTAAAACGGTATTGAAGCCACATCTTGTTCATGTTCAAATGATGTGTTTCCTTCTGTAAATAGCCCCGGATAAGTGGCTTTCTTGATCAGATTATTTGATGATACAAGCTTTTAGCAAGTTTGTCCCCTCACTTTTGTGCTTGCTCCGGTGGATGCCCACAGCTGTAACATGCCTATGTGCTCTTTTCACAGATGTAATGGACAGGCATTAAAGACGGCCATCTTGCAGTGTATATATTGAGTCCCTGTGACTGGTTATCTTCACTTAGTTTGTACTATCAGTGTGGCAAACCTGCAATTAATAAATACAATGTTTATCTACATCAAGTCTTTGGTGTTGTGTGTAATGGTACATATCTGTGCACTGGAATATTTCCTACCAAAATTGCTGACATTTATGCATTTGTTAGCTGAGATGGCCATAAGACTATACAAATATCTTCTGAAAACTAATTGTTAATATTGGAAAAAATGTCGGTTTCAGGATCTAGTAATGTCTTTCACCAGTTTCATGATACTAGGGTCAAACCATGAACCACTGTTTTGACTGGCCCAGACGTAACTGTCTCCATAGGCTTTTGGACTGAGCAAGCTGTATTGGTCAGGATCAAAGATTCACGCTAACAGATGTCCTGTCTTCAAAGTCAGTTAGCCTTTCAGGTTTGGGACTTTTACGAAAGTGGAAAATCTTGACAAACAGCAACCCCTGTGACTTGACTTCCATATTAAGCTGAAACCTTCTGGAATATAAGATAGGTTCAAAGCAGCCTTTAACCTAATTCTCTCGCACATGCATACACCGAAGTCGGCTACAGACATGGTTCTTCCCAGGATGAAATCATACAGCAGCTAAAATGTATACCATGATTTCAATCTCTGAAATGTGCCCAGACTCTATTATTTACACACAGCCCTCACATAGCTGGGATAGTCATGCTAAAAAACAAAGTAGAAAGGCGTTCTCATTTTCGACATCAACTCTCCAGAACAACGAGGAAAGGTCTATGGATATACAAGTTCGTTAATATTGATATGAGCGACGTTTTGGTGTAGCTACTAACACCGTTATCAAGGAAGTGATATAAAACATAGTTATTTGATAACAGTGTAGGTAGCTACATCGAAACGTCGCTCATATCAATATTAACAAAGTTACATGTATATCCATCGACCTCTCCTCGCTATTCATCACGCCAACTTCTAAATGCTATTCAAAGAAGTTACTCCAGGAGAAGTTGCACCTACTTCTTGGGCTGACATACATGGAAGCTGTTAGTGCCTCATTCTTCGACAGTGTATCTTCTGCCAAGACTATTCATCTGACCCAAATGAAGGTGACACTTTACAAGAATGATATCAACTTCAGTCACCACAAAGGGCATGTCTCAGGCAGGGGAACACAAAGGATATGCCCAAATAGCGGTTTTATTCAGGGGACTTTTGATCTCAAGTGACCAGGTAGTCAAGTTTGATTTTTTTCCAATGGCAATTTTAGGAAGTTCAGATATGTCTTGATGAATACACCTGATACACATTGTCTTACCATTTAGCAATGGATACAACCTTGGGTATAAGGTATTCATCTACAGAATGGTACGTCAGAAGAGCAGACCTTCCATTTCCGTCACAGACACAGATGACCGATTCATTGGACTTACAAGCAGGATTTGGAACCGTGAAGAATGGTAATGAAATTGGTTTTCTGTGCTGTGAAGAATTTCCATCGAGATTAATCGTCTGTTTGTGAACGGGGATATTTGTCCTTTAAACGTTATGTTTCATTGAACTTACACATAATACAAGTTGGTCCGAGTCGACAAACAGAAAATGGGGGAAACACATTGCATCGAGTGGGGACGACTCGGCGTTCTCACTGCCAGGTCGTCGCAGGCCATAATTTATTGCATATCGGTTTAAATATCATTATGGGGAAAATGTTAAACAAATATTCGTCGGCTCTATGGCTGCAGTGCACGGTTAAAGTGACTTTAAGCTTTCGAACCTGCGTAGTCTGCCTAATCCAGAAATAACAGACCCAGCGAAAATATTTCCCAAACACCTGAAGAGTGGTTAACGCTTGATACCCCATGGAATTGTTCATTATTGGTACTTGTTAAATACAAATCAAAGTAAGGAGATGAACATTAACAAGAAGTAATTTTCGTTTACCTATTTTACACCCCTTGTATTTTTTCCAAGGCCAAATTATTATAGTGAAGAAAATCTGCCACTTGATGTACATACTGGCTATCATTTAGGGGCAGCTTGATGAATTAACTGCTTTGGGCATGTACTCTGGAGCCATTGTCTTTATAAATTCCCGTGTAGGGCGAGTCTCATGGTTGACCTAACTGTTGCATTCTCATCTTGTCAGATAGCAGATCTATCCATGTGATACCATCCTATCAAAAACATTGGTTGGTTAGTTCGATGGTCAGAATTTCCAGAATGCATCCACGTGTCTTTGGTCCTTCCTTGTTTCATAGTCCACGAAGCTTGTAACCTGTGGTCCTTAGGGACTGTCAGCTACGGAATCAGCCCATATATTTTCCACCTTGTCTTGAGGCAATAGAGTTAGTACACCAACACCACTCTCTTTTCACTGACTTCGGGATTGGTTGTGTAGTCTGCTGCAAGACCTTCCACAGCGCTAATATACACTATGTGTAGCAACAGAAAAGCAGACACGAGTGTTTGTACTTGTTGGAAAAACAGATAGCATACGGTGTTGTAGGCACCACCACTTCCAAAGTCCATCTAGAAAGCCTGAAGAGCATTGAGGAAGCCAACTTGTGGGTAGACTCTTGGATGTCGTCAGGCCTTTTACGCCACAAACAGCAAACTAAAGAACACATATCCTTTGAACTTGGCATGCAGCGTGTTCAACAGATCAAACGGTGGGGGATGAGAAAAATGTGCCGACATACACAATCTTGGCTTGGCACACAGGTACTTAATTCTTCTCAGTTGAGAAGATCAGAGTAAGTCGCCTCCCTCCGTACGGGCAAGTTCAGCATCAAGTTTGCCCAGAAGTTGAAAATGTGGCAATCTGTAAATAGTCTTATGGTAATGGTGATATAATTCCTTCGTTGTGGCAACAAAGGTCGGTATCTACGCTAGGAAACCGTAGGGTACCTGTGACAATTCGAAAGAGTGAGTGCATGAGTGAGTATGGTTTTATGCCGCTTTTAGCAATATTCCAGCAATATCACGGCGGGAAGATCTCAGAAATGGGCTTCACACGTTGTACCCAAGTGGAGAATCGAACTCAGGTTTTCGGCGTGACGAGCAAACGCTTTAACCACTAGGCTACCTCACCGCCTCCACAGCTCGAAAGAACAACGAGTTATACATGTTGGGAACATTTGGTTTCGATTTCCCGGGGCATATACAGACGAAGCGGAAATTAGCAATCATGTCAACTCTGTCTCGACAATTGATACATGCACCGTTATGCAAGGACATGGAGGAGAGACAGGCAGACATTCCCAGATATGCCGCGTGTGACGTTAGCTCAGCTGGGTCTGTTCCAAAACGAGAGATGATGATCCTGGAACCATTCAGGTCAGGACTTGGAACCCAGTGTGCTAGCGGGTGCGTGTGTGACAGAAATGCAGCAACATGTTTACTCATCATTTTCCGCCCGGGTCCTCACATAGGTGAAGTGAAATGGGGTTTAACCCCCTGGGTGCCACAGGGACATATATGTCCTTCCCCTTCAACTCTCAATTTAAAGTCCAATAAAAATCAAAATATCCCACGCACACAAATACACTTCACAGTTTCGAATTCTGCGGGAAATTTCCTGTTTCGTGATACCATCCACTATTATTTTAGACAAAGCTCAAGTGCTGAAAGTGACTTTTCAAAATAGGCTTTCCTCGAAAATGTCGCCATTGTATACACAGTACGAAATCGCGATTCACAGTGTTATTTGCTGTATGTTTTGAAATGTGAAAATCAGATAATTACTGGGAGTATTGAATTTCAAAAATAACATATTCATGATCACTGATATCAGTTTTACATGAAATCGCTAATGATAATTCTGAAACGTTGCCGATGAATCTAGAATCGGTACGTAGAATCTAGCCGTATTGGATCCAGGACCACGCCAGCGCAATTCTTGCACAACGATCACTTTTCAAACGGTATGAAAATGTGCGCCTGAAAAAACTCGGCATCCAGGGGTTAACGTACTTAAGAATATTTCGCTCATATCACGACGTGCATGTGTGTGTTACATGTGGCTGCTTGTACTAGCCCAGACTTAAGCTGGTTTTACAGTGATAGCCCACTGAGATACCATGCCGCAGTGAAGCATGAATACCCCACTCAGACACAGTATACTGACTCCGAGCCGACCAGTCCTTGCTGTACCCATTAATGCCGAGCGTCAGGAAAGGACCAACAAGTACCACATGTTAACGTCTTTTGGTATGACGCGGTCGGCGATCGAACCAAAAACCTTCCGCTCTCTGGGCGGACGCTCTAACCACTACACCACGGTGGAGGTTGGGTTCTCACATAGTAACACCTACTTGTTTGTGCCGTTTGGATAATCATTAACCGTTAGTGCCAGGTTCACACTAGTGTTCACCCAGAGTGAGTGAGTATGATTTTACGTCGGGTTTTTTAGCAATATTCCAGCAATATCATGTCTGGGAACACCAGAAACGGGCTTCACACATTGAACCCATTTGGGGAATCGAACCCGAGTCTTCGGCGTGACGAGCGAACGCTTTAACCACTAGGCTACCCGCACCGCCCCAGCTCACAAAGAACAACCAGAACAACCAATAAGGCGATGTCATCTTTAAAGATATTAAACACTTACCACCCAAATATTAACAACAGATAAATCGGAAAGAAATTCATACACTATAAAAGCCTTCCAGTTTCACGTTAAGGTTGATGTTGTTCGGGTGTTGATTTTATCATTAGCCAGCTTTTATTATCTAAGGTATGATATCCATGCTAATTGGGTAAATAAACTGAACGCCTTCATTATAAAATGGAGATGAAGAGTTGTCATGCTGTCACTTGTAGCTTAAATCTGTGGTCATTTCATAATGTCAACAAACAATAAAGAATCTGAAAGCTCAGCCAGTTTGGCTTACGAGACACTTTTAAAACATTGTACTTAAAGTAAAATCGCCATTCTAATGAACACGTATAATTAAAATACAACATCTTCCGTCCCAGTTTATACATACATCTATGCCAGTCAAGGGGCGATGGCGTAGCCTAGTGGTTGAAGCGTTCGCTCGTCATGCCGAAGACCTGGGTTCGATTGCCTACATGGGTACAATGTGTGAAGCCCATTTCTGGTGTCCCCCACCGTGATATTGCTGGGATATTGCTAAAAGCGGCGTAAAACCATACTCAGTCAATGCCAGACACCGCAGGACAGCACAACCATATTACAACATAAATACAACAAACACACATAATTGTTATTAATCCCGAACTGTTTCGCTATTCATCCATAGGTAGATTCTACATTTAGACAGGAATGTGTCTTTTATCCATACATATGATGAGAATCCATGAGACACAATTTTAAAATCTCAAAAGGTGATCACTATTTATTGTCTGAGTGCAAGTGAAGTCATTTGTGTCTTATCACATTTACCCATGTAGCTTTTCGAACATAATTCAAGCAAAGAGTCACAATTACTGTCATAATAATAAACGTACCCATTTGTTTGAGTGGCATTTAGAAGCTGGTATGATACACAGGAACGACTTCTTATGGATAGACAACTTCTTTATTGCAGGGACGGTGGGGCAGCCTGGTGAGTAGGGCGTTCGTTCGTCGCTTGAAGAGCCGGGTTCGATTCCCCACATGTATACACTGTGGCAAGTCCATTTCTGGTGTCCCCCGCCGTGATGTTGCTGGAATATTGCTAATATCAGCGTAAAATTTAACTCGCTCACTCTTTATTGCTGTTGTTATTTGCTTCAACACAACTAAGGTATTTCGGCGACGTGTCTCTCTGTTGCAAGGAACAGCAGGCATATGTGAAGAAACGAGACTCCAAAGAACCATCTCCGACTACACCCAAACCCACCCGAATCATACCATCCTTTGGAACAACATCACCATCCTTTAAGTCAATCGGTCAGACTACAAGATAAGAAAATTCTTAGAGGCAGTCAACATCAAACTACTCAAACCGACATTCTACAGAGACCAAGGTTATTACATCCCTACGGCTTACCATCATCTAACCAAGGCCAATCAAGATCAAGCGGCCCCTACCCTTTGCCCATCTGGTTTCTTATCTATTAGATATGAGGGGCGGTGGGGTAGCCTAATGGTTAAAGCGTTGGCTCGTCACGCCGAAGACCCGGGTTCGAATCCCCACATGGGTACAATGTGTGAGGCCCATTTCTGGTGTCCCCCGCCGTGATGTTGCTGGAATATTGCTAAAAGCGGCGTAAAACCAAACTCAGTCAGTCTATTAGATATGACATCACACTGTACATGAACCTCTTTAATCGTATAAACTGAAATATCTTTCATGCTCATATTACTACCCATCAAAGGTTTAGACTCACTAGTGTAAGTGTAGCCACTTACTTCAGCCAACTGTTCTTAAATAGATTTTGCAAAATATTCCATAGTATCACTCGTTTGATAACGGTGTAACATCTACACCGAAATGTCGCATTTATTGCAATAAGGAAGTTGTCAATCCATAAAAATAGTTCCTGTTCAAACGTACACGTCGGTTAACTAAATAAACTGTGGGCTGACCGACCGCTGGATTAGCGGTGTTACACATTGTTACATCCAGGGGCGGATCCAGAGGGGTTGTGCGGGGATTTACATCAAAGGCATGCCACAGGCCTTGCATGACCTGAAAGGTCATAATCAGCGGACCTTGACCAGGAGCATGACGATCGTGCTCGAAAATCACACTATAAGAGAAAATATTCACTGATTGCAATTATACTGGTTTTATGATATTGGGATGCGTAGGCTATTGGATTGAAAAGGGATTATGTTTGCCTCTCATGCAGACCCTGAAACAAAAACATCGATCAACTACACAATACTGCAAGTGCTTGGGTTTCTTAAAAATGAAGGGACACCCATGGTCTCCTCTATGGCTGGCATTTAAGTCCTACCAGAATGAATGAATGAACGAACGAACAAACGAATCTGGTTATGGCCTGTCGTTATAGACTTGAGGTGGACTCCCTTCTAGTCTGAGAGACAGATATTTGATGTATCCAAAGACAGTTTACAGAAAAAGAACAAATAATAGCATTTATTTCTTTCAGAGATAACTTTGAATAAAAAATACCGATAGGAGTTTAAACATGGAGTGGGGTAGTCAAAGAAGAGAATAGCCTTTAAAAAAGGCGCTGCTGAGATGTGTGGATATATATAAGAACATAGTGTGGGTCAGGCTCGACAAGGGAGATAATGCATGGACCACTGGGGTGAGACGGCGTGGTTAGGCTTCCCGCCTTTTCGGTCAGTGGGAAGACATACTCCCTCTCTAAATATATACACGACAGAGGGATGGCGGTGGGAAGAAACCGCACTACTAGCTATCGTTTGTTATATATAATCATTCGCAATCACATGAGAATATCTGCATTTCATTAAAAACATTTAAAAACGTAATGGGGGTAAATATATTCAAGCCTAATGAATTATATTCCACGTAACAGTCCAGAGTTATAAGACATCGTTGTGTGATAAAAGATTTCATGGATAAGAAGTCAAACTATATTGGCGCGTATTTTAGGAATTTTGAAATATTAAGAAAGTGACATTATATGGTGAGAGACCACGCGCATAAGCAGCATGGATCTTGATCCATATACGTTTTTAAGAACATGTTTCCCAATGAAATAACATATATTCGCCAAATACAAAAATGAGCGTTTGTGTAGATTTGGCATCGAAGGAAATACACTCCCTTCGGTATTTTAATCCATTCTAACATCTATTCTTTTTGGTGTTGTTGTTTAGAAATTATAACCTACATATTGCTACCATTATTGTTATGCCTAGAAATGCCTATATGAAACAGATGGAAACAACATAGTGTGTTTTAATCCTGCTGTATGTATCTGTAACTAAGGTATACCAACCATTTCCCTGACCAACTTTCGACACATGAGATAACTACAAAAATGATTGAAATTGTTAATAGCAAAATAACTTGATCATGACTAATTTCATTCAGGAATCGTGTGGAATAAAAACGCACTAATTGTCCTATATTTTGTTTAACGGGAGGCTTAGAGTTCTGCCGAGTTATGCCCCTTTGAATATGAAGATCGAAAAGTCAAGCACTTCCGGGACATTGTTTGCAGATTGAAAATGTGCGAGGTTGACACACATTTTCTGCTAATATTATGGTAAATATTTGCTATTAATTAATTGCACTGGCGAAATTATCAATTTTATATGTTGTTTATCATATTTTGAGATCAGATGTTTGCATGACATTGGATATTCAAATGAATCTGGCTTTTCATGCGATTTTCAACGCAGGATTTATTGTCAAAACAATCACCAAATGTCTGTCAAGATGCATGCCATGAATACACGTGTTTTCTTCGTTTGTTCTTAACGGTTGAATTAATTTAACGATTTTCGTTGAAAAACTGATATTTACAGATCGGAATAAAACACGATTATTTTGTTTAATGGCTTTTCATCTACATTGACCAGTAAGGTTGTGGATTCAAACTTCACGGCCGAAATACGCTAGTTTAAAACATTTTAAAGTTAACAGTTACTGCTAACTACTCACTTACATTTTACACACATATGCAGTGCAATCGTAAGCATACAAAAATTGAAGTCACATTTTGAGGCAATATGACAAATACTTTCATATGCTATTCCATTTCGTTATTTCCATTAAATAGTAACACCATTCTCTACGTGACTTACGTCATGCATGCACGTATACTGGATGCAAAATGATACATTGCCTTCAATAATCCCACTTTTGCAATCAGATAATACACCACCTTTCTCCTTTTAGTTTACATTATTGCAAAATTGAAATATCAGCCTTCACATTTGACAGTTTGAAACTTTATTCAGACTGAGTTACATCTGCAAATAGATGTCTATATCTTGTTTATGTTGAAACTAAAACCTAATCATAGAGGTGCCAAAGAAATAGAATTGATGGATAGAAAAGTATTTCAAGGACAAATATGTTTGTGTTTGCATTGGGTTGATTTCACTTTTAATGCATTGATGTCCTTACTCATGCTACTTGTAAATCAGTTTTGTTGTGAAGTCGCGTGGTATTACTAATCATATTAAGTATAAGAAAATGTCAATTTGCAGATATGATGGGATATGAAATATGGGAAAACTTTGTTGATCTTCTATTTATCTTGCACCAAATGTGTGGAAGTAAATTTTGACTGAATATAATTTTTTGAGTGCTATACTTTTAATGTTGAAATCTTTCTTTCATATAATGTCTTGATTAATGCTGAAAAAATGATTGACTTGTGGTCTCACCACAGGTGAGTTACCGGTAAACCATTTGCTCTAAGAATGACCCATTCTGGAATGCATAAATGTTTCCTTCAAAACATACATTTTGTCACTGCATCATGAATCATAACAAATATGTCTTTTATCACTTTTAATTAAATCAGAAAATATTCATCTCTGTCAAGTTCATGCGTTCATTATCAGGTGCCCTCTATCATAAGCTACATCATTTTAAAGCCAAATGCTTATTTTGATCTTGTGCGAAACATTCTAGCTGGTTCATAGTACCTATTTTGTCTTCGTAACTGTGTTTGCAATGCCAGTACAAGATTGTTAAACGTTGCCATGGTTATTGGTCATGTTATTATAATGTGGTGAAGAAATGTGTTCAGCAATTATTTGCTTTTGTAACTGCAATGTGTGCATTTTAAAATGTGTCATTGATCTTATTTAGTGTTGTTTTGGTCATGTAGAATGTGTAGATGGTTTGAGTATTTCTAAAAGTGTGATAATTTATCACAACTGGATTAGTGGCAGGGTTTTACGAGATGCTCAAATGTGCGTCCAGTACGCACAAATGTAGAGAATGGATGCAGAAAAAAAATTCATTGCGTCCAGAGGGACACACAATATTATTAACTGTACCCACAACACATCTATGACTTTTTTAAGTGTTTGGTTGTATTTTTCACTGTCAATAATCATCGATCAGTGTTATTCAAATTTTGTAATTTTTGTTCAGATTAAACCACTTGATTTCAATTTTTGCTTTATCAGTCATGTCATTCAGTAACCTGTACAACTATTACTGGCTATTTAAGTTTGTCTCATTATAAATACCACTTGCACTTGTTTTTGTGTGTCACGCAGACTGCTGTTGTCAGGTAGTCAAATGTTTGAGTAACTCCTCACAGGTAGACATTTGTACACTTAACAGGGACCCATCTCAAATGCATGTTGTGTCCTCTACTTTTTACAAAGGCAGACTCTTTTCAACAGTGTTGTTGTTTCTAGTCCTCAAACTCTTCATATCTACAGTAATATACTGTACATTGTAACTGCCTTATATCATGAAATTAATGCTTAATAGCTATTTTCTTCGTAAATAAAGGGAAAAAGATCTGTATCTTATAAATTCTGTATTTCTTCGATACAATATACATGTACTACTATCACAATCATATTCACACATGTTGAAACACTTGTGGATAATTCAAATCTGGACTTTCTTCTTCATCTTCTTCATCATCTCTTTCTTCATCTTCTTCGTTGTCTTCTGCAGTCAGGTGATGATCTGGGTGCCACTCTCAGCCCATTCATCCTATGCTTGACAAAACATACCTAGGTCCTCACAGTGGCCACTCAGCTTGTGAAAACAAAGGTACAGGCGTTCCCACACTGCTAATTACCTCTCTATTAGCAAGTGCTGGGACCAAAGAGATTACCAGTAACAGGATGTTAGTTGTCAACCGGCCATTGAGATGTCGTATTGTACAGATTAATAGTGTCATTGGAACCCCAAAATAGTGTCGAATTCGGAATGTACTGATGTCGGATAATTCAATGTTTAAATGATGATAACATAGAAGAACACTGCCGGGGCCCAAAAATATGTTGGAATTCGCAGATTGTCGGATAATTCAAATGTCGGATTATACAGAGTCCACTGTATTTGCTGAAATTTTGTAAATTTGTCATTGCAACGGTGTGGCCCAGATTATTTCTTACCATTCTCAGTGAAATTTTCCAGTACTATGATAAAAGTGATTGTCTTCTCAATATCAAGCTACAAATGTATAGTATTTCACCATAACATTCTGCATTCTCATTGGTAAGTTAGCAGAATGAAATCAGTATCAGACCTTGGATTCACTAATCACCCAATCACACTGAAGGAACATATTACTTGATGCGATCATCTTTCACAAGCCGACTCTTGGCCAGTTTCAAATAACCATTTAACCAAATACACATTGCACTTGTGCTATGGATGCTTGAATATAAAAATGCTTTTGTGGTGATTGTTGCAATACATTCTACACTGTACACCAGCCACATCATGAGTGAGCTAGTGAGTTTAGTTTTACGCCACACTCAGCAATATTCCAGCTATATGGCGACAGTCTGTAAATAAATGAGTCTGGACCAGACAATCCAGTGATCAACAGCATGAGCATTGATCTGCGCAATTGGGAACCAATGACATGTGTCAACCCAAGCCAGCGAGCCTGATCCTGTTAGTCGCCTCTTACGACAAGCATGGGTTACTGAAGATCAATATTCTAACCCGGACCTTCATGGGTCGCACCGTAAGTAAAAGACATTTGCTAACACCACAAATATATCCTGTGATGGTCTTCCCTGTCTGGGGAATGTGGGGTACCCTAGTGATTAAAGCGATTGCTTGTCACTAAACTCACTCACTCCTTGTCTGTGGTGGGTAATGCTGTTCAGACAATACTAGAGATAAATGTTGCATGTTTGATGTTTTCAAATTCAAGGTTTTGAATTCTTTGAAAACTATATCAGTACGCTTGGAATGAAATGTATTATCTGATGACATTTCAAGGTACATGTATTAAGTCTACAGGATCATGTAGATATCCCTGACATTGCTAATGTTGCAATCTGAACTAACATTACTGACTGGTTTCCACAAACAGCTGCTGAAGACAATTCTGGTCATATTTTTTCATCATTATTATCGACAAACCATTTATCCATTTATGAAACATATATTTACTTGTCCAACTTGTCATGTTTTTTGCAGTAAACCCTAGAGAGTGCTATATCAGCTGTTATCTGTGAACTGATACAAGTCATGGAATCAGGCAAAATGCCTGGGGAAGGAAGTAAAAATAATGGTCATGATGCCGATGTTGCAGTAAAACGGTAAATATGCACACAACATTGTACAAACTCATAGCTTCCTATTCAAACTGTAACTTTCTACAAGTCATGTTAGTGTTTACAACCTTTAGGATCAATCCAAACTAAGACTTGTCATAGAGACTGAGTGGATACTGTATTTGTAAATAATGCACTGAGTTTACACATTGTTGTTTTGTTTCTTGTTTGGGAGGACACTCTGCAATATTCCAGGTACACAAAGAAGGTCTTTAGGCCCCAAAAATATGTCGTGGTTCCGATTACCTGACGGACCCTTGAATTCTGGTGCTGACCCTATTTCTTTTAAGCGGACTGAATAAAAAAGGCTTTCAGATACCATTGTTTTTTCCCGGCACTGACAGATATCAGTCATTCAGAGGGAGAAAGTCGATATGATGGCTGCAAGGTTGATTGAATAACAATTACACATTGATACATGGGTTATTATTTTGTACCTTCCTTCTAAAAAAACATTTAAATGTCAATAGGTTACAAAAAAAAATTCCTAACTACCTACCTACCCTAGATCTTAAAGAAGTGTAATCAGAACCACAACATTTTTTGGGTTTGGCCTTATGTAATCAAATCTGGAACAATCCTTACACGTGTTTAAGAAGAGCAGACTGATGTTAATCACAAATATTAAACATTTTAGTGGATGAATACCATGGCAACTACTGCAAGGTCAAGAAATTGCCATCAGTGCAGCTTATAGTATAGTATAATGCTGCTAGCCATTATTTACAACATTCACTACAGCTTAGGGGCCGGTGAGGTAGCCTAGTGGTTAAAGCGTTTGCTCATCACACTGAAGACCGAGGTTTGATTTCCCACATGGGTACAATGTGTGAAGCCGATTTCTCGTGTCCCCAACCATGATATTACTGGAATATTGCTAAAAGCAGCGACTTAAGTCCTATGTTTAGGATATGTGCACAAATCAGATATGGGTATAATAATGAAGATCTGTTGAGAATTGAAAGTTTTATACTTATGTGTTCATAATGTTGAAATGCTTGACCTTTTTTAGATCAGGCCGCTGTATCAAACGCAGTGCAAAATATGATTCTGATGATTGTGAACCTCTGGAGAAGGCTGCTGTGAATTTCAAGCCAATAAAGAGATGCCCAACTAAAGGATGTGCAGCAATAACTCCAATATGTTTTGCCAAATCCACGGAAAAGTAAGTAATTGCATATGGTTTTCAGGGATGAGAATTTTTCGTGGAATTCCGTGGATTTTGGGGTCATTCTTGTGAATCGTCTAAAGCTGTGGCCCCCAAGAACTCCCGTCTCAGTTTCCTCTTTTTTCACTTGTACCCATTCTCATCCCTGGTTTTATCTTAACATGCTTATAATTAAATACTTGAGAGTTGAAATCAGTCAGTAAATATAAGCCCCTTGTTGTATGCTGCATGATTAGAAGTCTGTGTAATGACTTCAGAACCATCAGTATTTCATTTACAATGGCATCATCCTAACTTATATCAACAGTTGTTTGTATTCTCTTTCACATGTTTGTTATCATGATGCTGATTTCGTGGTTATAAAGGCAAACTTGTGAGGACATGTTTGTACAAATTAGATCATGATGGCAGTGTGTGTTATGGGACTTTGCTCCCAGGCTGCTCCTGATGGTATCTCAGTGGGCTAGCACTATAAAACCAGCTTCAGTCTCTGCTAGTACAAGCAGCCGCACCTACACATACACACGCATGCACATCGTCATATGAGCAAAATATTCTCCAGCGCGACGTTAAACCCAATTTCACCTCACCTGCTCCTGATGATGATGATGATGATGATGATGATGATGATGATGATGATGATGATGATTGTGTCATTTACAAACTATCAAACCAATAATATAAGTGTGTCCATACCAGTGTGCGGAATAGTTTCCAAATTTTGCTAGCCAGTCGGGCTGGCTATGCCTGAAAGTTACTAGCCCACAAAATATTTCACTAGCCTGAAGTTTGAATGAAGACACAGGTTTCATCATTAAGCTGCTTTTATGGTGATCATTTTTATCAGGCCATAATCTTGCATGATTTAAAAGTGTATTATATCTTATCAAGTCGGAGAGAGTGATATAATTACAAAATGACCCCATGAAAATTCACTAGCCAGTCAGGACAATGACTGTAGAGATTTACTGGCCCGACTGGAGTTTTACTAGCCACGGGCCAGTGGCTATTTTGCACACTGGTCCATACTGTCTTTTTAATACTAGTGGTATGTATTTGTGTCTGCAGGTGTTGTGGAAGTGGCTACACATCCCGGTGGTACCACATGTCTTCAGGGGAACACTTCTGTAATGAGTGCTTTGAACATTTCTACAGAGGGTAAATATCTTCTTCACAATGTTTTTGCCTATAAAATCTAGCCTCCATATCTGCAGTCACATTTTATGTGCTAATATTTTTCACCATGTTCAGTCTCATTAACTGCAACTGTAAATGCTCTATTCATCATGCTTATGATTCCTGAAGACCCATGAAGATCCAGGGCGGTGGGGTAGCCTAATGGTTAAAGCGTTGGCTCGTCAAGCCGAAGACCCGGGTTCGAATCCCCACATGGGCACAATGTGTGAAGCCCATTTCTGGTGTCCCCGCCATGATGTTGCTGGAATATTGCTAAAAGCGGCGTAAACCCAAACTCTGTCAGTCAGTCATTAAGATCCTGGTTAGAATTGACCTTCAGCAAATCATATTTGACCGCAGTCATATAACTGGAATAGGGCAGAGTGCGGTGTTCGACAGCAAACAAACATAATTGTTCAAGTCACAGATCATGCTTCAGTTATTATCTTTGGTTTGTCATTGTCCAAGCAATGTTTTGTGGAACAAACTGCCTCCGCGGTGTAGTGGTTAGAGCGTCCGCCCGGAGAGCGGATGGTTGTGGGTTCGATCCCCAGGCGCATCATACCAAAAGACATTAAAATATGGTACTTGTTGGTCCCTGACTGGCTCGGCAGTAATGGGTACAACAAGGACTGGTTGGCTCTCGGCAGTAATGGGTACAACAAGGACTGGTTGGCTCGGAGTCAGTATAATGTGTCTGTGTGGGGTATTCATGCTTCACTGTGACATGGTATCTCAGTGAGCTACCATTATTAAGCCAGCTTAAGTCTGGGCTAGTACAACTACAAGCAGCCATACATACACACTCATGCACATTGTCATATGAATGAAATAGTCTTAAGAACGACATTAAACCCCATTTCACCTCTCTTTGTGGAACAGGTCACTGTTTTTCTGTGAGGCATACATGTGACCTTGCTATGTTCATTAATATTGATATCAGTTCCTTTTTGTTCAGAATTACCATTGTTGAGATATTTTTTGTAACCTTCAGTAACCAAAGTAACAGTAAATGTTTCATCTCTGTTGCAGCCACAAAGATGGGTACAATGCATTTGCTGAGTGGAAGGTGGACTGGTCAACCTATGGTCGATCAGAACCCTCCACCAAGGCGTTCATGAGTGACAAGATGCTGCCATATTGGTTACAGTGTAATAAGCCTCCGTGTCGACGGTGGCGCCAAATGACACGTGATGCCCATGTAACATCAGAATTGGTGCACAACTATGTGTGTGGCATGTCGCCTCTTGGTGTGAAGGTGAGTGTGGAGAGGTATTTGTCAGTGTAGGTTCATCAATGCTTTCATTAAAGTTGAAATTGTTTCCATGATTCCTGAGCATGGACTGGATTTAAGTGCAGGATTTGAGTGACTGAGTGAATTAGTTTAGTTTTACCATCTTCAGTAACCCATGCTTGTCGTAAGAGGCGTGTCGACTTGTCGACTAACGGGATCGGGTGGTCAGGCTCGCTGACTTGGCTGACACTTATCATTGTATCCCAATTGCGCAGATCAGTGCTCGTGCTGTTGATCACTGGATTGTCTGTTCCAGATTCAATTATCTACAGTCGCCGCCATATACTGTAAATCATGAAGTTAATGTCACAAATTTCATGTGAGTGCGAGGGTCTAGTCTAAAATGCGTCAAGAATTTAATGCGAGCTCGGGAATCTGTGTTGATGATACAATGTTAAACCCTGAATCTTTGGTGTTGTTCTTTTTCTTTTCACACTTGTTATTTACCAAATAACCTGAATTGAGCTTGTTAAGCAATGAATGGAAATGAGCTGACGATGTTTTGATTTCGCTGCCATGTTTGATCATGTGATTGCTTACTACTACTTGTCTTATGACAACATTTATAAACGTAATCTGACTTGAAAGACATAAGTCATCTACCAAGGTACAACAAACAATTGGCTGAAGAATGTCCGGTCTGGCTGATGTGTTTGAGTGACTTTATACAATAACCAGTGATTGTAACCAGTGATAATTACATGTAGTTTGAGATACCTGTAATGAGGAAGTGACCTGTATTGGTGTAATGTGTAGTGTCAACAGATATACGCTTTCTGTCTTTTATTAAGTTCTCAAAAGTAGACATGGTCAGACTGAAATGCGTGATTATAATAATGCGAGAAGAGCACAGACGCATTTTTCCCATTAATAAAATGCTTGCATTAATTTCATGATTTACAGTAGCTGGAATATTGCTGAGTGCGGCGTAAAACTAAACTCACTCACTTGATACTGTTTGATTTCTTGATAATTGTACTTCATGTACCTTAACTTTGTGTTTTCCAGAAAGAAAAGCAGTACCAAGCTTGTTCAGTACCTGAAGATGAGGTAAGACAACATTTTATCTATCAGCATTTTCTTGTGGTGCTTTATGAAAGGGGCTGGGTCAGTGTGTAGTTGAGAGGTAAAACTCCCTCTAGTGGTGTATGCAGATGTGATCCTTGGTGATTCAGTTTAATATTGCAGGAAGGTGGTGTAGCTAAAAGTGACATACACTGTTTTAGATTTACACTTGATAGGTCTTGCTCTTATCAGCGCACTTATTTACTGGATGAAGAATTAAGCACCATTCGTTTTGAACTTGTCATGATGTGATTTGGCTAACAGTAATTAACTGTTGTACTGAAAATTGCTTGATTTTGCATTTGTCATCACACGTGTCAAACATTTTCAAGATCTCCTTCAGAAAGATGGTCAAACCATGTCTGCAACTCACAAACACCCTGTTGCTTTATAGCACACAAAATCAACATTAATCATGTGACAGGTCAATACTTATGTTGTGATCTCTCAAATATTCCACTCAATACATGTTAAACTTTTGCAAGCAGACTCCAATTGTTAAGTCAGCACTGAAATGGGGTTTCTTGTCAAACGATATTGATTGACCATTACAATTTAAAGAATCTTAATTGTAGTAGAATAAATAGTATTGAATCATTCACATTGATACATTTATTCATAATGTTTTTCCTTTGTCTAGTAGTGTTATGAATACGAAGCGCCTGTTAGGAAGTGAGTGTCAAGATGTAATATACTGAGAGAAACAAATAGAGGAACACACGAAAATTCAAGTGTTGCTTTCATATTTTCCACTTTTCATTACCAGCTTTGAACAGCATTATGGGGGGAAATCTGAGAAAAAATAAAGGAACACTGCCATAAAGTGGTGTTCCCTTTTGTCGTTCCCTCAGTATATGTTGTGTTTGGAATAACTCTAGTTTGGTTCCCTGTGTGTTGTAGCGGGTGCAGTTATTGCGGGAACCAGTCATGGTACTGCCAGCTGACCTACCAGGTGTACCTGCACAGCTACCCAGGGGTGGGGCTCCTGGCAGACATGTTCCCCGACAGTGTGGGGCTCAGCTGTACAGACCCTGTCATCAAACAACTCAAGGCCAAACCAGTCGGTAAGTGGTTGTTGTGCTACATTATTACCCCAGTAGGAGGATCAGTGTGAACTCAGTTGATCAGTTTTCATTGTCAAGGGGTGTTGGGGTAGCCAAGTGGTTAAGGCGTAGGCTTGTCAAGCCGAAGACCTGGGTTCGATTCCCCAAGTGGGTGCGTGTGTGAAGCCCATTTCAGGTGTCCCTCACCTGGAATATTGCTAGAAGTGGCATAAAACTAGACTCATTCACTCATTTCATTGTCAACACAGTTGGGGTTATACAACCAAGACTTCCTTTTAGACTCTTGAGGCCAAGTTGAGGGTCGACATTTGTGTAGTCATTCTTCCGGATGAGCAGAGGCACTTCTGAACAAAGTCTAAGCAGAACAAGAACTGTTACATTCACCTCATGATGGATGTGTAGTGTTAGGAAGCTTAGCATAGAGCAGTTCTACCCTGAGAGCTGTGTTGGGTCATAGCCTTGACCTCTATGGCCCTAAAATTTGCTGTGCAGAGTTGCATCCCCTAGGTTGTCTGAATGTTTGCAGGTTATGCATACCATAGTCTTCATGGTTATATCAGCACCAAACCTTTACATCTGGGGTCTTATCAAAGTGGAAATCACTTCTGGCGTTCCTTCCACAGGCCATTTATGTGATTGAAATATACTGTTCAAAGCGACATTAAACCAAACTCACTCTCTCATTCAAGTTCAAATCTGTTCTGCTACAGTTTGTTATATGATGAATAATCATGTCCATGTTGTATGAGCTGGCAGAAAACACTCCAATGTATCCTCACAGAAATAACACAGTGCAGTTCACTAAGAGATATCCCATGTGTGGTGTTTGTTTCTGTTTCCAGATTTTGCTGAATGTTCGAGTATGCAAGACCATTCTCTCACCCAGAGGAACCTCAGCATGCCCTGAGTTTCCATGCCAGTATTATGGAGAATGATGAGATTGATGAATTCCCGGTTATGGCAAACGAACACTCCATCCTCTACCTGGCTCTCAGAAACTTTGTCATGGGTCAGTGGGCCCGCAACACCAAGGTAAACTGTCCAAGATGCTTCTGATAACAAGCATCCCATCATATCCACAGGCCCTTGTGTCTTTGCGGGGATTAAAGATGTTAAAAAAATAAAACAAACCCTCTGATTGGTTGATCCTTGTTTAGGAGACATTTACAACTGATGCTTTCTTTTGAGAAGCCATTGCTCGAAAAATATTCTTACATTAAGCAGTCGATGAAAGAAAAACATCCCGCGAAGTTATAAAGACTTGCAGATTTGCAAGCGTTGACCAATCAGAGGGCTTGCTTCGACCACACCACTGTTTTGTGCAGAGATATCGTCATCTATTTGTGTCAAGATCGTTTAGTTGAGAGTCAAAATCGGGTTTCAATCGACTTGCAGAAATAACAATAAAGAATTGGTAGATGTCATGATAGGTGATCGATAGGCCAATTATCCATGATTATGTTCACATTAAGCTTTAATCGATTGCATGCGTTGGTAGCGTAGCGATCAGCAAAGCAAGCGTAGGGTATACCCAAGTGTCCGGCCTTGTCATAATGTATGGTACTGTGAAGCATTTCAAGTCGGGGGTCATCTCAATTTTTAAAATGTTTTTAAAATCTTTAATCCTCGCCAAGACACGAAGGGCCTGTGATCATATCGTGTCAGTAACTCATCTGCCAATTATTTACAAATTTACTTTCTATTTCAAGAATACGTTTGCAGTCATCACATTACTGGAATTACAGTATAACACTGTCATTGAATCTTGTCAGCAATTATTGAGATGTAATAACAGGCGTTTGATTGGTTGCTATGATGTTTGATTTGCAGGAATGGCTGACAGTGGATAAAATTGTTCCTGACCTTATTTGTCGTGGCATTACGCGTATCCGGTGTGTGGAGGATCTGGATCGTATCATCTGGTTTCTAACACGGAAAGGTTACATTAACACTGGTCTTCTGTCACCTCCAACAGACCTCAGACCACAGACCAAGCTGCAGAAGGTTAGTGGAGTTGATACAAAAATTGTACATGACTGGTTCAAGACTTATGCAGGAACTTCTTTGATAAAGTGATAACCCTAAAGCATCAAGTCACTCATAGTCGCACAGAAGGAAATTAAATCCACTGAACATATGTACATGTCTTGCCAGCAAGAATGACAGCATGAAAAGGGAGGTGCGTTGTTTATGCTTAGAGTTACCTGCTCTTGGCTGTTGGGGCCCCCCAGGGGCCCTGTAGGGGTGGCTGAACAAGACAAAAATGAATTTTTGTTTTGTAAATATTATATTGAAAAATATAGTTATAACTGTCGTAGGATTTTAAAATGGACATTTTAATGCTTATAAGTACCCAAAGGATGATCTCTTTTGAAAAAGAATAGTGGAGTTTATACAAAAATTGTACATGACCAGTTCAAGACTTACACAGGAAATTCTTTGCTAAAGTAATAACCTAAAGCTGTACATAGACTTGATAAAGTAGGAAAAAGATGTGGTAGGACATGTGGTAGGACATGTGGTTTTGCCTAACAAGACGTTTTCTGGTTGAAACATTATTAAAATTTAAATATGAAATATTTGTTGAAGTGGTGGTCTTTGTATGCAAACAGGAATTGTGAGAAAGAATTGAAAATGCACTCTCCAAACATCTCAGACTGAATGTTTTCTCCGCTCTTGTTGTACCACTGGATATCATGTGAATTTAACATTCTGGATTTTTAAAACCAATGCTAGATGTCTTTTATTAGATCCAGGGGATTTCCGGAACAGTTGTTTGCTTTTGCTTCAGATTTGACATTTCTATTGAGCTAAGGCCATTATAACTGGCCTTTAGTCTGAGGATGCTTTGGAACTGTTTATGAATGAAGCTTTTGACAGTGCAGTCCAAAAACTGCTTCTAATCATGCAAACTGAATTAAGAATTTGTTTTTGTTGAATTCCTGACATTGTAATGATTCCTTCATCAGGAGGTGTTAATCATTGGAGGTGGGATGAGTGGCCTCTCAGCAGCAAGAGCTCTCAAGAACTATGGTTGTAAGGTCAGTAGGACAAATACATGGCCAGGGTTTTATGCGACAGGCAAATGTGGTCCAGTAATGTGGAGGATGGACGCAGAAAAAATATTCACTGCGTCCTGACTGACGCACAATATTATTCATTCACAACACATCCATGACTTTGCTGAGTGTTTGGTTATTTCTTTCAGAGCAGTTATGTGCAGCATTTCATCCAGCAGTGCATATGATCAATGATTCATTCCATGCTCTAAAGAAATTATCAAAACATACAGTTCTCTACACCGTCACTTCACAGGACCCTCATATTGCCTGCAAGGACTCCTAGAACTAGTAATTGGGGATGCCTGGAGCCCCCATGTTTGCGATTCAAAACCCTGATGTCACATGAAGTTTCGTGATGTTTCACTGTTCACTCCATTAGAGGAAACAATCAAACTCTACCCAAAGGCTTGAAGACCTAAAGTGTCACATGACCATAATACATCACAGTGGAATTAATCTTTCTCCATGCAGCAAATGTCACAACCACCAGTTAGGTAGATTAGGAAATTTCATCATTTAGGGGAATCCAGTAACCTGTTATACTGTTGTTGTAGGCGGTGGTGTTGGAATCGCAGAACCGGCTTGGAGGGAGGGTCCATGATGACACGAGTTTCGGAGCAGTGGTCGGTCAAGGGGCACAACTCTTGGCAGGATGCTATAACAACCCTGTTGCCATAATGTGCAGTCAGGTAAGTGAAATTATCCATCAAGTGAAAAGTTCAATAAAAAGAATTGGGAACTATTGTACTTGACAGACCTGAGGCATATATTTGATGGCACCATGTACTTTGTGTTCCCCGACCTCCTCCGTGGTGTAGTGGTTAGAGCGTCCGCCCGGAGAGCGGAAGGTCGCGGGTTCGATCCCCGACCGCGTCATACCAAAAGACGTTAAAATATGGTACTTGTTGGTCCCTGCCTGGCGCCCAGCATTAATGGGTACAACAAGGACTGGTCGGCTCGGAGTCAGTATATTGTGTCTGAGTGGGGTATTCATGCTTCACTGCGGCATGGTATCTCAGTGGGCTAGCACTATAAAACCAGCTTAAGTCTGGGCTAGTACAAGCTGCCGCGACATCTGCTATACAAGCTGCAGCACATACACACACATGCATGCACATCGTCATATGAGCGAAATATTCTCAATCACAATGTTAAACCCCATTTCACCTCACCACCTGTGTTCCCCAGAAAACAACTGCATATTGTTCAAGCCACCATATAGCTGGAATATTGTCCAGTGTAGCGTTACATGAGAAGCATCCCATGTTCAAGTTTGTCTCAATATGTGTACATTAGCCATTACAGGACCTTTGACTCTTATATAACATGGAGGCCAGACTGTGCATGACTGTTGCTGACTATTACTATCCATGACTTTTGCTGATCTATCAGTAGCTTATGCTGCTAACCATGACTAGGAGATATCCTTGCCATGCTGACTTGTACTCTATGTAGCTTACTTGTACTGTCTGGTGCTGATGTGTACTGTCTGTTGCTGATATGTGCTCTCTGTTGCTGACATCTACTGTCTGTTGCTGATATGTCCTGTCTGTTGCTGATATGTCCTGTCTGTTGCTGATATGTCCTGTCTGTTGCTGATATGTCCTGTCTGTTGCTGATGTGTACTGTCTGTTGCTGATATGTGCTCTCTGTTGCTGACATGTACTGTCTGTTGCTGATGTGTACTGTCTGTTGCTGATGTATGTTGCTGATGTGTACTGTCTGTTGCTGATGTGTACTGTCTGTTGCTGACATGTACTGTCTGTTGCTGATGTGTACTGTCTGTTGCTGACGTGTACTGTCTGTTGCTGATGTGTACTGTCTGTTGCTGATGTGTACTGTCTGTTGCTGATGTGTACTGTCTGTTGCTGATGTGTACTGTCTGTTGCTGACATGTACTGTCTGTTGCTGATGTACTGTCTGTTGCTGACATGTACTGTCTGTTGCTGACATGTACTGTCTGTTGCTGACATGTACTGTCTGTTGCTGACATGTACTGTCTGTTGCTGACATGTACTGTCTGTTGCTGACATGTACTGTCTGTTGCTGATGTACTGTCTGTTGCTGACATGTACTGTCTGTTGATGATGTGTACTGTCTGTTGCTGACATGTACTGTCTGTTGCTGACGTACTGTCTGTTGCTGTCTGTTGCTGACATGTACTGTCTGTTGCTGACATGTACTGTCTGTTGCTGACTGTCTGTCTGTTGCTGACATGTACTGTCTGTTGCTGACATGTACTGTCTGTTGCTGACGTACTGTCTGTTGCTGACATGTACTGTCTGTTGCTGACATGTACTGTCTGTTGCTGACATGTACTGTCTGTTGCTGATGTGTACTGTCTGTTGCTGACGTGTACTGTCTGTTGCTGACATGTACTGTCTGTTGCTGATGTGTACTGTCTGTTGCTGATGTGTACTGTCTGTTGCTGATGTGTACTGTCTGTTGCTGATGTGTACTGTCTGTTGCTGACGTGTACTGTCTGTTGCTGACATGTACTGTCTGTTGCTGATACTGTCTGTTGCTGATATGTACTGTCTGTTGCTGATGTGTACTGTCTGTTGCTGACATGTACTGTCTGTTGCTGACATGTACTGTCTGTTGCTGACGTGTACTGTCTGTTGCTGATGTGTACTGTCTGTTGCTGACATGTACTGTCTGTTGCTGATGTGTACTGTCTGTTGCTGATGTGTACTGTCTGTTGCTGACATGTACTGTCTGTTGCTGACATGTACTGTCTGTTGCTGACGTGTACTGTCTGTTGCTGATGTGTACTGTCTGTTGCTGACATGTACCTGTCTGTTGCTGACATGTACAGTCTGTTGCTGACATGTACTGTCTGTTGCTGATGTGTACTGTCTGTTGCTGACATGTACTGTCTGTTGATGATGTGTACTGTCTGTTGCTGACATGTACTGTCTGTTGCTGACGTGTACTGTCTGTTGCTGACATGTACTGTCTGTTGCTGACGTGTACTGTCTGTTGCTGACATATATTTTCTGTTGCTGACGTTTACTTTGTCTCACTCACAGGCTGGACTGGAGCTGACTCCGGTAAGGGAACACTGTCCTCTCATCACAGAGGAGGGGCATGTTGTTACAGAGGATGTTGATCGCAGAATTGACTTCCACTTCAATGCAATGCTGGATATCATTGCTGAGTGGAGAAAGAACAAAGACATCACAGCTGATGTCAGCCTGTTCGGTGAGTTTGTTGACGAGGAGTACATCGTCAAATAAACATTCACCACAAATGTATAAGATATAATATTCTAATATTTTAGATACCATGCATTGAGTTGCAAGTAAAGGTGTTGATACTATGTCTTCCAGTGCTGCCATATGATACCATGTCATCACACACAACTTCATGCTTTCAGAAAAATTCTATGAGATGCATCAACAATTTGTGGATGAGTCCCAGATTATGTTCACAAAGGTGAGTATCGACATAGGAGATTCCACAACAAATGCCATTCTGTTGTGTAATGTTGCAACTGATGACATGTTTTCTCAAGGGCTCTGAAGCAAAGGTTTTAAGATATTCTTACATTACCATAAGGTTTTAATGAATTAAAGTCTATTTAGATATATCAGTGTCAGTTGACACACAGTGAAAAGACCAGACACAGGTACATTCACTCGGGCGTTCATCAGGATGTTTTTCTCCCAGTGTCTGCAGCAAAAGTCAGTGCCGAGTCCCAAATTAGAATGAAATATTTTCCATTCATGGTTTATATGGTCATAGGGTCCGTAAGTAGGTCATGACACTTCGTCACACCTTATTTCATTCCGGTCACAAACAACGTTTCATGCCTTTTCGAATGGTCTCATGGTTGTCAGTTGACAGTAAGGAACCGATTAGCCTTGCAGGAATAACAAATTTACGATCTAACCATCCCCAAATTAGCCAACTATTATGACTGTCAACAGTTGTGACAGTCAAGCATGGTTGTACACTTTGTCCGGTCTCGTAAAGTCGTATTTGGCGGTCGCCATGAAGTGGTTCGTGAATATTGGCTCGTCATCGGAAGTATGATAACGGAAGAAAGCTGGGCCCTGTCTCGCATATCTCAAGTTGGCACTCGCAAACAGTGCCGGGAACCTGCTCAGTACCGGAAGTAGTGCCTCATGAGACTTACAAGCCCTGTAGTTTATGGAGGTGATCTGTATTTCACTGATCACAGGAGCGTACAATGAAGAAGCTTTAATGCTTAGATTGTCCTTATTGCATTGATTGCATTCTCAGAACACATTTTTTAAATACCTCTGACTTCTTGAAAGTGACATGTATAGTCATGTTAGTTATATAAGTTCTATGAACAATGAGGGCAGGTATATGAATCCCTTTCACCCACTGACTGTGTCTGTCATTATATCTTGTCCGCGTGTCTTTTATAGATAACATATCATGAATGTTGATTAACTTCCCTCCTCAGCAAGAAGAGCAGGTTCTTCAGTTCCACATCAGTAACCTGGAGTATGCCTGTGGTGGTTCTCTTAAGAATGTATCTGCTCTCTCCTGGGATCAGAATGAGGCTCTGCCCCAGTTTGCTGGATCTCATGTCTTTGTCAAGGGAGGTTACTCTCAAGTGCTGAATAAGATGGCAGAAGGGCTTGATGTCCGGTTAAACCATCATGTGAGTACAAACAGAAAGTAGTCTAAATGTTGATTAACTGTTCATATATTTCATGAAATGTGAGTTGTCATTAGTGTCAGCCGTTGATATTTTAACAAAACCGTGAAAATCTGGGTTAGAATTGGTCTTCAGCAACCCATGCTCTTCGTAAGAGGCGACTAACACGATTGGATGACTCACTGATTTGGTTGACATATCTCAACTGATTAGATAGATGCTCCTGATGTTGATCACTAGATTGTCTGGCCCAGACTTGATTATTTACAGACTGCCGCTATATTGCTGGAATATTGCTTAGTGATGTGTTAAACAACAACTATTGATATACTGCGATTATTTTATGAACATTTGTGATGCATTAATGATATGATGTTATTGGTTACTCTGCTTATCTGCTTATGTGAAGATCCTTGTTAGAATTGATCTTCAGTAACCCATGCTTGTTGTAATAGGTGACTAACAGGATCGGGAGGTCAGACTCGCTGACTTGGTTGACACATGTCATCGTATCCCAATTTCATGGATTGATGCTCATGCTGTTGATCACTGGATTGTCTGATCACGACTCGATTATTTACAGACCACCACCATGTAGCTGGAATATTGCTGAGTATTGCTGAGTGTGGCGTAAAACTAAATTCACTCACCTTACTTGAATTTTTGAAATCTATGATGACTTTTTCAGGTATCTAAGATTGACTTCAGTTCCGATCCAGTTGTTGTGACCACTACCTCAGGTCAGGTCTTCCAGTCTAAAGCAGTGAGTACCTCATGTCTCGTATTGACTGGAGTGTCAGGTCTGTAGCAAGGTTTTCACTTCAAACAATAGGTCTTCTTTCTCAGGTCTTCCAGTCATAGATGTTCAAGAAATGGAAGTAATTATGTTTGTCTTGTATGTCAAAAAGTGTTTTTGGTAATAGGGATTTCATGTAGAGTAGAGAATGTAGTTGTGCCCCAAGCATATCTATGAGTGCAAAGGCCAAAATATCAATGGCAGGCTTTCATTTTCTAGTTTTAATCTGAACATGGGAACTTGTCAAAGTTGAAACAAGATGAAGGAGAGGGTTGTGATTCGGAGGAGAAGTTTCCTTGAAATTTCAATTTCCTCATTTTCTTGTTTTCAAACTCTTTCTTGTATTTATCATTTGAGGAACATTTCAGTATGTTTGAAGAAAGAGAATGTTTGTAAAAGGTATGTGTTATAAAGTTTTTCAGTCCAGTTTTATGTAATAAACTGGTGGCTTTGATAATTTATGGGGCCAGAGAGGGCTCTTTGACACAGAGCATTGTTGATGTTCTTGAAGTTAGTTTCCCATTTGTATTTGTCTGCAGGTGATAATGTCAGTCCCCCTGTCTACTCTGAAGAATCATAAGATACAGTTCCAGCCACACCTGCCCGAGCGTAAGCTGAAGGCTGTCATTGCCCTGGGAGCTGGGCTAGTAGAGAAGGTACGGTCATAATGAAAACAACAATAATTTACTTTGGGACAGAAACTTAAAAATGACATATGGGTAGTGAACATTTTTCTATGCAAAAATGATCCCCTGCCCACAAAACCTTTTAAAAAGGCTTTGCCTGGGTAACATGGTGTATTTTAAGTCCAACTATACACACATTCAGGACCCTCTTACAACATGACAAACCTTCACATGTTTTGCTAAGAAATTCCAGTACTGATCTCAAGTTTAACAATACACAGTCAAAATTCATCAGTAGCCTAAAAAGACACCCTGGTAAACATTTAATAAGATTTGTTTCATAACAGATTGATGTAAAATTGCCTATACAAACTGCTTAGGTACACCTGAATTGTTTGAAGTAATTGTGCCAAAATCTTTTAAAATTGGAAAATAACTAGTTCTAATGACATAACGAGACAAGTCAATGTCTTGATAAAACATGAGCTGCGGTAATCAAACGAAAGGTAGTCCCCATGACAGACTGACAATCTGCATTTGTGTAATGATGATTTTGCATTTTGTTTCCTCTCCTTTTCTCAAATATTTTCATGGACTAAGCTGATATTATGACAACTGACCAAAGGTCCAAAGATGTTTCCGTCAACTGGGTTCCAACAAGACCATATTATAAGCAGGGGCATAGGACAATGGAGGTAATATATATTTGTGATGGAAAGATAAAAATCCCTAAGATTTCTTTGTGATAGCAGTTTTCTTTAACTGATTACTAGGTTGCGTTGAAATTTGACAAGAAATTCTGGATCAAGAAAACCAAAGGTGAAGATTTCTTTGGCCATGTTCCTCCCCATGAGTCAAAGCGAGGACTGTTCAGCACCTTCTACGACCTGTCTACCTCAAAGGTGAGCCTGAATAATACAGACCTGTTAAGGAGATAACTGATGTTATCACGTTGTCAGCTGGCACTACCGTGTATTCAAACAAAGGGCGCACAAGGGTTTCAAAACGTTTTGAATTTTAGACTTATTGATTTGCCTTGAAAAGACCTTGAATTACACCCTAGCTACTCACAAATTCATATTTACGATTTGTATGCAAAGTACACAAATGCTTGTGAACATTGTGGATTACTGCAGACAAATGCATTCATACTGTTTGGTACTGGGCGATATAACTGACTTCTGATCATTGTGATTCCCCCTCGGTTGCAGACCCCAGATTGTAAAACTAACATCCTGGTGACACACATCACAGGGGATGCTCTCACGTTGATAGAGGGGAAAACAGATGCCGAAATTGTCACAATGTGTGTAGCAGTGCTGAGGAAACTCTTTCCTGAAGAGGTGAGAAATGATATGCCTAAGTTGTGGATGAGTGTAGGTATGTAATGAGGTGAGAAATGATATGCTTAAGTTGTGGATGAGTGCAGGTATGTAGTGAGGTGAGAAATGATATGCTTAAGTTGTGGATGAGTGCATGTATGTAATGAGGTGAGAAATGATATGCTTAAGTTGTGGATGAGTGCAGGCATGTAATGAGGTGAGAAATGATATGCTTAAGTTGTGGATGAGTGCATGTATGTAATGAGGTGAGAAATGGTGTGCTTGAATTGTGGATGAGTGCACATATGTAATCAGGTGAGAAATGATATGCTTAAGTTGTGGATGAGTGCATGTATGTAATGAGGTGAGAAATGATATGCTTAAGTTGTGGATGAGTGCACATATGTAATGAGGTGAGAAATGATATGCTTAAGTTGTGGATGAGTGCATGTATGTAATGAGGTGAGAAATGGTGTGCTTAAGTTGTGGATGAGTGCATGTATGTAATGAGGTGAGAAATGATATGCTTAAGTTGTGGATGAGTGCACATATGTAATGAGGTGAGAAATGATATGCTTAAGTTGTGGATGAGTGCACATATGTAATGAGGTGAGAAATGATATTCTTAAGTTGTGGATGAGTGCAGGTATGTAATGAGGTGAGAAATGATATGCTTAAGTTGTGGATGAGTGCAGGTATGTAATGAGGTGAGAAATGGTGTGCTTAAGTTGTGGATGAGTACAGGTATGTAATGAGGTGAGAAATTATATGCTTAAGTTGTGGATGAGTGCATGTATGTAATGAGGTAAGAAATGATGTGTTTTAATTTTAAGTATGTGCTTAAGTTGTAAGTTTGTGAAGAGGCGTGGAGGTATGTTATTTAGTTGTAGGACTGAGAAATGTGACTTAATGATTGAGAAATGCCGTGTCTATGTAGTAAGCTTCTTGTAAGGAGTGAAGAACAAGTTGCCATGCTTCCGATCCTCATTTTTGTGTTGCTGTGTGGCTCATGCTTGCACGATAGTGCTCCAGTAGATAATCATGCTCCAAGGCTGACCTTGTATAAACCATTCTAGAATGTCCCAGAGCCGAGCCAGTGGTTTGTGACACACTGGAGGGACCCGTCCAACACAGGCATGGTGTATAGTTATCTGCCTGTTGGAAGAGAAGGCGCTGTCTATGATGCTCTTGCAGAGGATGTGGAGAAGAAGATATTCTTCTGTGGGGAGGTATGCTTCTTTGTACATATTAACAGTGGTTAATAAAGGAGTGACTTTGGACATTTTTTCATAGAAAGTATATGGTGGAAAATAGGTGGGTTTATGAAATAAGCCTCTGTTGTTTCACTATATTGGGTGAGTTTAGTTTTGCGCTGCTTTTAGCAATATCCCAGCAATGTCAGGGGGACACAAGAAAATGGGCTTCACACATTGTACCCATGTGGGGAATCAAACCCAGGTCATTGGCGTGACAAGCGAACGCTTTAACCATGAGGCTACCCCACCACCCCTTCACTATATTGTCTTTCTGGGAGTGTTTCTTTTAATGATTGTGCTCTTTCTTTCTGTGAAAGATTGCAATCTGATAGTGAACACAAGACATTAAGACATTTCTTAATATAGAGTGAAGAATTATAACACCAAGCATCACCCCCAAAATCATTGTTTAAATTGTATTGAGTCTGTTTATATTGAAGTTCATGCTGTTGATCATTAGGTAGTGAAGTTGTTTCCTTTCATAGGTATGATCGAATCAGAATCTGAGAACTGAACTGTTATTTTTCAGGCAACAAACCGCCAGTTCCCACAAACCGTGACAGGAGCCTATTTGAGTGGAATCAGGGAAGCAGAAAAAGTTCTCATGCAGATGATCTCATGACATCAATAGTGACCAGTTATGATGAATATGTTGGTCATGTGACTTTATCATCCAATCCGATTTTCAAGTGTATGTCATGATCTCCATTAACCAATCACAGATCAGAACTTGATGATCAGCTGATCTGGATGACCAGTCAGATGTGTTGCTGAGGATGATGTATATTTAGTTTAGTAGGAACATCAGTATAGCAATTGGTACATATCTAGTGTGGATATTTGTTCGCTGGTCACAACATGCTAGGGTATTGCCTGCAAGATGGACATTGTATACAGATGTATCCATATACCAGTCAGTTTATTTTTGTAATGCAGAGTTGATGTGAAGTGGTAGATCTGAATGAAGTGCTAAAGTGAAATGTTGTGAGCTGCATAGGTGGCAGATGGACTTAACTTAGTGCCGAAAAAGACCATTGTTTGGAGAAACAGCTGACTCAACAGAATTGCTGATCACAGTCAGCGATCCAATACGTGAATGGGTCAATATTCTTTAGTTCTAAATGCGTGTAATGTAGATTGATACAATGCACATGGAAATCAGAGTGTTGGACAACACAATTCCATTGTTCGAGACATGGACAGGAAGAATAATAGAAGATGCCAACAACCTGAATGTCTACTGGGAGTATGGCTATATTTGTACTGTGTACAAATACATGTACAGAAATATCTTGTGACGCTGTGCAACAGAAGACAAATCGAATATGAATCATTTGTTGCAGAATGTGAAGTGATACCTACTAACAGGCAATAGGTTTTGAACATATCATTATGAAAACAACAGGAATAAATTATAACCAATAAAGTGGTTACACTTAGGTCCAGGGCCTGATGCACAAAGGAATCGTAGCGATACAACAGGTAAGTCTAGGATAATGTATGGCAGTTATTGCTATCACCTTCGCACACTGACAATGGGGCCCTTTAGCAACAAGTGATAATGGTACGCCTACTATCACAAAACTGTTTCATAACAATTGTGCTACAATTCCTTTGTGAAACTGGATGGAAGATTTTGCCAAGTGAGTCAGTGTTTCAAGTCCCTATTGATGAAGTTTCCAGAGCCCAGTCCTATTTATTATCATTCTATGGGTAATCCAGATTTTTATCCATGTATCATATTTCTTGTCTACTGAATTTAATTACCGTACATTTTTCTTTGTATGATCCCCTCAGGATAATTTCAGCATGGCTGATCTTTAAAACATTTCAGTGCAATATGTAGGATATCTTTTGTCTGTGGCTCTTCATGCTTGCTTAATCAGTCTTAATCTCATGGCCCTGTCAAACTGTTGAATGTACCGTTAAAATTTGCTTCTTCCATGATATGGCTGGAATATTGGTTACTATGGTGTATTCACCAGAAAGTATGGCGGACACAGCACTTGACCAAAGTGCTTCAGTTTAGCATGTAGAGTTGTGTCCCTTTAGTTTGCCAGAAACCTATAATCACAGCTTTAAATCACAGATTTGCCTTAAAGACTTGCTTGTAGATACTCAGCACCATATTCATGGGTTTCATTGAAGTGATTGTCCAAATCGTGTCACTTTGGACATCACGTCAAGCTGAAAAACCTTCCTATATGCGAACAGTGTTATACCAACTCACCCTGACATACGTATGAGGGTACCTTTAATGGGCACTCTTGGGAAGTATTTTGGCTGCTGGTTCTTAGAAGTTGTCAACACCTTTCAGAGTTGAGAAACAGTGTGATGACTGCTGAAATTTGACAAGGTGGATTTTGGAAATCAAACCCAGTTGACTGTACCATCATGTTAGAAAATTATGTTTGTTGTCCAGTGATATATTTCATTAAAATTATTATTTTTATTGAACCAGCTAATGGTGAAAAGAATGGCCCATTAAAAATACATCTCACTACATACCAGACCTATCATTGTGTGATGTAGGTATTGATTCACCCTCTAGGGCCTTGCATTTAACCACCAGCAGGTGCTTAGCTTTTGTCTGCCTTCCTTAGGTCAAAGGACCAGCATTAAATTCATTTTCCTTTAAACTGCTGCTACTAGTTTTAACCTCGATATATTTCATTAGAACTTGTAACAGCATCATAATCATATCAGTTAGAGTGTGTGGTATATATTTTGTTTGTCAGTGACTAGTCACTAGTCATTGAGTGCTACTTGAAACCCTCTTCACATGTACAAACTACAATACGAAGGTGATGTGTATTAATTTAAACAAATAACATGCAGAGTAGCCTCCCTTAGTTGACAAGTCAACCCAAAGTCCACCTTGAACTAACATTTAAGCATAACTTTCTTAGTTTTAATATAGCGAAGACTAATTGTTGTAGCTGAACTAAGCTGGATTTAGTTTCAATATTTTGACTTTGCCACTTTTTGAACATGTTTTGAGGTTTTATGAACATCACTAGTGTACATAGGCCTTCTTTTATTATCCCTATTGATAAAGAGTCGTACTCCATTTTACCTCTAGTATGCATAGTTAGAATATATTAGTGTAAATCATTGAGATTAAATGGCATTAGATGCTGTTGACATTTGATTAGAGTCAGTAGAACAGTAGCTGATGTTGTTTAGTATCTCCCATTATTAGAACAAAATCTCTTTAATTTCTTGTAGTATCAAGAAATCTGAACAAGATTGTTGCTGTCATGTCTGATCAAGGACTGGGGCTTTGAACTGTTTCATTTTAAAGTGTTAATCTTTCTAAAACTCAAACAGAAGGATATGTATGTCAGTATCCTTGAAAGTTGAAATGATTTCAGTGGAAAGAACATGCATTTTGAGTCTCAAAATATATTCATTTTAAACTTCAAAGGATTGTATATTGTAACTGAATCAATTCAGTTTACTGTTTTGTCCAAGTTGGCACCAAGTGGGTGACATTTTGTCTACATTGTGGATTGTATCCAACATTTGCTGCATTTACATTGTATACATTTTGTTCTTGCACAAAAATATAATGGTGAGAGTATTTTAACTGAAAGAGTTGCAAAAGCAATATGATAAGCAATAATGTGCTATGTCCGTTACATTACCATTTATTATAGAATTTTGTTTATTTCATCATATGAAAAATGAAATCAGAACCCTTATTCTCGAAACGTTCGTAGCCCTAAGAATTCTTAACTTTTATCGTAGCCAGTGTGTTAAGAATGGGCTTAAGAAGTTTGTAGTGTTACGAACGTTTCGAGAATAGCTAGCCAGTTTGTTATTCAGAACAAAATGCCAGAGGTTTGTGTTTTGAAAAGCGGAAAAGAAATGATTGTAAAGTTTGGTTCTCCCTATTGTGTGTTGATAGTAATGAACTTCCTGAAGTGTCCATCAAAGGATTATATTTGTCTTCAGACCCGTCAAGGCATCAGTCTTTATGCCTTAGCTGTACAGTGTCAGGAATCAATTAGTGTGGCACATGATAAAATATGTCTAGCTTTCACCAAAGGATGTTTTTTTTCTGGACATTCCTAAATGTCATGTGACATGCTGAATCGTTTCTGTCATGTTAGGCTTGTTCAAACGTCCGTCTCAACTGTTCTCTTAAGACTTCCTTTTAGTCCATATGATGTCAATGTATGAATCCATGTGTATACATTTGCACAGCAACACATAGGTTATGTGGTGAGGGGCACTGTATCAGTACACAGGCAAATTGTAGCGCTAGTAGGGTTGTGCAACAAAGAGAAAATGACCAGTCTTCATACATGCGATCGAGCGAGCTAGGGTTGTGCAACAAAGAGAAAAATGACGAAGGCGAGCTATGGTTGTGCAACAAAGAGAAAATGACCAGTCTTCATACATGCGATCAAAGCGAGCTATGGTTGTGCAACAAAGAGAAAATGACCAGTCTTCATACATGCGATCGAAGGGAGCTATGGTTGCGCAACAAAGAGAAAATGACCAGTCTTCATACATGCGATCGAAGCTAGCTAGGGTTGTGCAACAAAGAGAAAATGACCAGTCTTCATACATGCGGTCGAAGGGAGCTATGGTTGCGCAACAAAGAGAAAATGACCAGTCTTCATACATGTGATCGAAGGGAGCTATGGTTGTGCAACAAAGAGAAAATGACCAGTCTTCATACATGCGATCGAAGGCGAGCTATGGTTGCGCAACAAAGAGAAAATGACCAGTCTTCATACATGCGATCGAAGCGAGCTATGGTTGCGCAACAAAGAGAAAATGACCAGTCTTCATACATGCGATCGAAGGGAGCTATGGTTGCGCAACAAAGAGAAAATGACCAGTCTTCATACATGCGATCGAAGCGAGCTATGGTTGTGCAACAAAGAGAAAATGACCAGTCTTCATACATGCGATCAAAGCGAGCTATGGTTGCGCAACAAAGAGAAAATGACCAGTCTTCATACATGCGATCGAAGCGAGCTATGGGTTGTGCAACAAAGAGAAAATGACCAGTCTTCATACATGCGATCGAAGCGAGCTATGGTTTGCGCAACAACAAAGAAAATGACCAGTCTTCTTTGTGCAACAAAGAGAAAATGACCAGTCTTCCTCGCTTCGCTCGCATGTAGGAAGACTGGTCATGTTCTCTTTGTTGTGCAGCCCCATTTTGCGCTACAATTTGCCTGTGATCAGTAGGACTGCAAATTTCATGGTGTACAGGTATATTGCAAAACACTTTCCATCCGATATGTATTGCATTATATTTTTCTGAGCCAGTGTATTAGGGACCGTTCATAATTTATTATTTGGTAATTTTAAGGGGGTGTCACCAATTTTTACACACGGTTAGGGGTGTCACCAATTTTGTACATAAACATGTACATTTTGTACATAAAATTATGCTTAGAAATTATGGGGAAGGGGTGGGTGGGTGATTTTGTACATGATGATTTTGGTGGGGTGAGAGACACTTATTTTGTACATAAATTTGGGAGTGGGGGTCATTCATATGCTTCTCCCAAAAACACCCCAACCCCCAACACAGGCCTTCGTGTCTTTGCGAGGATTAAAGATGTTAAAAAAACATATATCATTTGAGTTGACCCCCAACTCGAAAAGCTTCACAGTACAATACACTATGACCTTGTCCGAATGTTTTGTACTGTGAAGCTTTTCGGATCGGGGGTCATCTTAAACAATAGTTTGTTTAATCTTCTATCTTCGCAAAGACACGAGGGCATGTGGTCCCACCATAAATTATGAACGGTCCCTTAGTACCTAAATTCATTATGAAATGTTTTAATAATTGGTTGACACAACTCCAGAAACAAAGTGAGAGAAGTCACTTCCATATCTCCCCCGTCTCCATGACTACAAAATGGCAATGGATAGTGTGCTGTGGTCACCCATCCAGGTTTGACTTGAGCAACACTTCAAAATCCTGCATCATCCTGAAATTAATGGCTTTGCCAGTGGTTAGAGGAGCTAGAATAAAACAGGCCTTATTTCAGTGCTAATTCCTATGTATTGTTGTGAAAATTTCTAGTGTCCCCGCTGTGATATTGCTAAAAGCGGCGTAAAACCCAACTCTCACTCACTCACTATGTATTGTCATGCTGAAGTTGTTCATGGATGACATCTGGTCCTTCTGGTGTTCCTCCACCTTAAGCTGCCTCACCATGCTATGACTGGTATTCTGTTCAAAGCAGGGTTAAAACTCTCTCACACCTATGTATTCTTCTGGTCATTACATTTGACAAGTATTTGAAATGAAATAATGGCTAAATGGATTCTATTTGTGTTTCTCCCTGTATTCCTTCAACCATGTCCTGATGTGTTCTGTGCAAAGAGTAATAGATGTCTGGTTTCAGCTTTTGTTCAGCAATCATCTAATGAAGTTTCATTTTTTATGAAATGATGTACAGGTTTGGTGAACTTGTATCAGTGGTAATATAAAATATCCCACATCATCTTTACAATGATGTACGATTTCAAGATTTACTAGAACTTGGAGGTTGTAATGAGCTTTTTTATTCATTCTCACTTATGTACATAAAGTCATAATAACATCCTAGCATTTCATCATACTGAAAACTAGCTGATCTGACATTTCCTTAATGTACGATATAAAATTGTTCAAATTCATTTAAGATGAAATACCAATACAATTAACAACTTTTGGAATTAAATCTTTTCTGGCCCGTGTTCTTCAAAGAACAAAGCTGCAATATTTTGTTATCATTTATTACTTCATTGTAAATTCATTTACCATATTTTCTATATGCAAATATCAGTAGATTTTCTTTTAAATCCACTGTGAATAAATAACTGAAGCATTGTGTTTGTATTCTCTGGTCCTTCATGTGTCTTCAAAATACATGTTATTTCAGATGATTGTCTGAACAGGCTTTGTGTGATTTCTAACCTTGCAGAGCCAAAAATAATCGAGATTTAGTGGTCAGAGTGAGCATTATCGTAAACCTCATAAGTGAGTGTGTTTAGTTTTACGCCGCTTTTAGCAATATTCCAGCAATATCTCGGCGGCGGGGGACACCAGGAATGGGCTTAACACATTGCACCCATGTGGGGAATCGAACCCGGGTCTTCGGCGTGACGAGCCAATGCTTTAACCACTAGGCTACCCGACCACCCCAAACCTGATAAGTACCAATATAAGTAGGTGCTCACAACACTGACCACTGGTTTGAGGGTTGTGACTCCTAAAAAGAAATCCCCTGAATTGGATTATAAGTCTCACACCATATTCTCATCATCACATTAAGTAGTGAGTGAGTTTAGTGTTACGCCACACTCAGCAATATTCCAGCTATATGGCGACGGTCTGTAAATAATCGAGTCTGGACCAGACAATCCAGCGATTAACAGCATGAGCATCGATCTGCGCAATTGGGAACCAATGACATGTGTCAACCAAGCCAGTGAGCCTGACCACACGATCTTACAAGCATGGGTTACTGAAGGTTCATTCTAACCCGGACCTTCACATAAAGTAACCTAGGTGTCTGCGAGTTCTATGTTAACGGCCCGTTCCAAAGAGAGCCACCCCGAACCAATGTCTAGTTTTCATGTAGATAGTGAAGATTGTGTATGTTTATCGCTGCTCAGCATTATTCATGGCATAATTTCTCGACAAGACAATCCAGAGACTGACATCATGAGTATTGATCTGGGCAACTGAGATACAAAGGACATCCATCAATCAAGTCAGCGAGGGCAACCACCGGATCCCTTTAGCATGCAACAGCCTCATAACTAGCTTAGAATAAAGTTTCTTTTGTGGTCATTTTGGCAGGTGTGGTCATGAATAATCAGGTGTGGTCATAAGCAGATCAAAAAAACATTTTTTGTGTACAATATCCTGACATCAATGAATATCTCGACACAATTCTAAGACATTACATGAACGTTTGCAGTCCATTCAGACTCTTGACTTCGCATCTAGTCTCAACCAATTTAGCGAAACCAGATCCTGTCCATTGCCTTTTACAAGAAGCATGGGGTGCTGAAGACCAAGTCTAACCTGGGTTCTCGTAGAGAAGAAAGTAGAATCTGCAGGCAGTTATATGCCCTCACATTCAGTCTCACTTGACGTCTTAACAGAAGCGAAACAAGTTTCGCAAATATGGAAGCACTAATTCAACCAATCATAACAAAAAACACTTTGATTTGCTTCACTCTTTATTACGATCTTACATATTTATGAAGCCTGTTGCTGCTCTGTTGGCATGCTTCTAATGATGTCAGAATCACCTGAAATAGAAAACACATTTTGTCAAGTAATCGAAGTGAAGTAATGATGAGCAAGACATTTTCAGTTCAGACATGGACATGTCGAAAAGTAAAGTCAAATTGCTTTCAGCAGTATTTTAGCTATGAAAAATGGTAAGAGTTCCACCCGTAACCCCCACTTGAAATGTATTTTATTTATTAGGATTATTTCGAGGGTTTAGTGTTAGGCTTTGTACACAAAAAGATCTATTCTTAGGCATAGAATGATAAAAACAAAATGGGGGTTACAGGCAGATCTTTCCTGAAAAAGAACATGTCAGTCCACCAGTTGTCAAATGATCCTACCTGGATCTGTGATACTGAGGGTGCAGACTCTGAAGTACTTTCCACAGGCAGTTCCGAGCTCAATGTTGTTGCCAGAGTAGTGGTGAACGCCTGTCTTTGCCAACATGGCATAGTACTCAATCTCACTTTTCCTACAAAGGAAACATGTTGCTATTAATATAATTAACAGTGACCCTGCAGATCAGATACATGAGAATGTAATAACTAGTGTATGAAATAAACCCAAAACCCAGCCAGACATCAAAGCTGGTAACTTCAAAATGTTACCAGCCCAAAATGGTTTTAACCAGACAGTGAGACACCAAGATATGGTGAATTTACCCAGATGTGTGGAACATCTAAAACTTTTACCAGACCATCGGGCTGGCTAGCTGTAAATTTAGACCATCCGTCAGAAATCTAGCCTGTCGGACGGGCCTTATTTCATACACTGTATAACTACCAGCAAAATAGAGGTACTAAATATACTGTTTAGTCAAACTGTTTTGCTATTTCGTAAGTGACTTCACCTGCTTTAACCCACCACACCTTCTGATCGTGGGTGCAATAACCCATGCATGACAACACAATCCATTTTGCAGTTTCTAACAAGTAATGGTTCCTCTGATACAGGGCCAAGAATCTATCCCTCCAAATCAATCTGAAAAGAACCCTGGTTTCTCTATGGAAATTGAAATATCCATTTCAACAATACAAGTTCCACTTACACCAAAGGTTGCCCAATGCAGAATCAACTGTGAAATGCACCTGGACATGTTTAGTCTCGTGTCTTACAAACCTGTTTACCCAACACACTGGAGCAAACTTCAGATAGAAAGAAGACAAGTGTTAATATGGTGCGACTCCATCTTCACCAGAGCAGGCTCCGAAGTCAAATACAAAACCTACATTAACATTAAATTTGGTATTTAAATTCTACCTCCATACTGGAACATTCTTTCAAACAAAGCTTTTTCGCCTTAGCATCTATCACCATGTAAGAGTTCTTAAATTGTGTTCAATGTTTAGATGATCTTACAGTTTAGAAGATATGAATTGAACCACACGAGTTCTATCAAATGTATATCCAGCCCTTGTTCACTTACCTGAGAGGAGGAGTGTTGTTGGCAATGATAACCAGCTTGGCCTTGCCACCTCTCAAGGTTTTCAAAGTCTGCTTGTAGCCCAACACATACTTCCCACTTTTCATCACCAGGGCCAGACGGGCATTGATATTCTCCGCACTCTTTTTCTGTCATTGATGGAATAAAATTCATGATTACTACTGAAAGATGTTTGCCTTCGACCCTCCCCCCGCAACATTCGGATCCCGCCACGACTATAGCCAACTGTCAATGTCAACGCACCCCAGATACAAACGTAATCTATTACTCAAAGCAGTGTGCTAAAGACCCACTGGCCCGCTCGCCCATGGCTAGTAAAAATTCGCTCTGGACAGTAAATCTCCAGAGTCGCTGGCCCGACTGGCTAGTGAATTTTCATTGGGTTATTTTGTAAATATATCACTCTCTCCGACTTGTTAAGTTATAAGACACTTTTAAATAATTCAAGATAATGGCCTGATAAAAATGTTTATCATATTAGCAGCTTAATAATGAAACTCTTGTCATGCGGACAACATCTTATTCTCATCTATTTTTGCAATTTTTTGCTTAGTTTTTACAATCAAATTTCGGGCTAGTGAATTATTTTGTGGGCTTTAACTTTGAGGCATAGAAAATATGGAAACTATTTCGAACACTGACTCAAAGACGTCAATTTATTTTCCAAAGGTTTATTACAAGTGTCAAGCAACCAAAATGAACTAATCAAAAGGTTATTTGTCTAAAATTAACTAACTGACCCATCTACAGTTCGGGTGTTTTCACACATGGCGTTGTGAAACACACCACGTGGTCATCATGCTTACCGATTTCTTTTGGGCAACCATTTTCGCGGATTTTCTTCTGTTTGGCGGCTAACCCTGCAAAATATGACAACGAATATAAGCCAACTTGCTTAAGAGTACATGTTTTATCTGGATTCTGTTTCAAATAGGAGCACCGAGCTCTCTAAATTTATTCAAAAGTACAGCCAGTGATAATCACTACCTTCCTCGACGAGCACCTTGCGCAAAAAGGAAGATTACCCAGCATGCACTGCGCAACTCTCGCGAGATCGCCTATACATTCCTGAGAAGTATGGCGGCGTCCTGCAACATTTCTGTGTAGTCTGTTTGATTCATTCTGTGCCTTTGGAGAAATAAGACTTGACTATCAGCAATATGTTTGTTTATCTCAGCAAAAAGGTAAGTTTTATATATAGCAGAGTAAGTAATGTCAATAAATGTTTATTGTCATTGACATTTCTGTTTGAGTCCAGAATCCGTTGCCAATGAAGCTAACATGATTCTCTTGGCAACTGACATTACTATTGCCTACTTTCTTGTTTTACAGTGTTTGAACTGCAAGTTATTCAGTTACAAATTATTAGAACATGGGAATACGTTTACAATGGGTTGCATGAACAATTAAAGAAAGATCGAATGCAGCAGCAGGTTTTCATATTTAAACAACAAATCACATATTGAAATGAATCTCTTACATATCTCTTTTTATGCTATAACGTACCATGAGCACATTGTTTCAAATCAATAATGGATATCATTATTCACTGGTGTATTTTTGAGTTGAGTAAGTTTTTGCTTTGTCGCTTATCTGTAACATCACATCTGTTTTCTGCTGTTTATTGTCTCATTGACTCACACCTAATGACCTATGATTAAATGTCTTTTATGTATTATACTACCATGATTACAGATAGCTATACCTAACAACACCCGACTGCGGTGTGTCTCATGGAACAAGGAGCATGGCTACATTGCTTGCGGAGGAGAAGATGGTCTCCTCAAAGTGCTCAAATTGGAAACTCAGACAGGTAAATAATGTAAACACTCGCGTAACCTTGATTAGTGGATATAAGGGAAGTGCGGCGGAATTCATATTTTAAATGCATGATTTCATTTTGTATATGCACTGATTATTTTATTCATTGATTCAGCAAATTGAAAATGCCTAATATTCCACTAGTGAATGAAATGTTTGTTTACGGAAGCCATTTGCAATCATCACCCATTCATGTGCCCACAAAATGTGACGTCACCTTGTTTTGTGGATTATGTAGTCGGTTACTTTATACCACATCCCACTGCAGTAAGTATTGACACCAAGGAAAGCAGACAACGAGAAGTGAGAAGGTTGGAGCTAACGGTACCTTTATTACTTGACATTTTGTAAAAATAAAATTTGGCAATGGTGGTATTAGTGATCTGGGGCTATTTATCTCAATGCTGGACAATTGCATTTAGTGTACTTGCATGATGTAATGCAGAGATTCGGAACTTTTTTGTCAGCAAGGCATGGCATTGTATGTACTTTAAAAGTACCGCTTCGAAACGTCAGTCGAGACTTAATTTATGAGCTAGCATAATAATTTCCGCAATCCACGAATCAAGGTTATCCACGAATTTAGGTTCCGGTTCTGTATTTGTTCAGATTAGAAGTCAAACTAATCATTGAAAAATTGTTCTTCTTATTCCACATTATATGTATCATAATATTTGATGTTATTTACAAATATTACCCACTGTAGTTCATTATAGTAACTGCTTGTTTACCATAGCCAAGATCTTTACAGGCTCCTGAAACCCATGAATTTGTTATAGTAATTAGTTGTAAGGAGAATAATGTAGTAATAGTAAGTGTAATTCTGTTTTTATTGTATTATCATATTTATGCATAATATTATAGTTTGTATTTATTCACATAATTGTAAATAACACTTTGTGGATGTAATTTTCCTTGGAACTAACACCAAGCATCAGTTTCAGATTTTATGGTTATCACTATTTTCTCTTATCTAGGGAAGGACATGAAAGTGAAAGGCCTGGCAGCTCCAAGCAATTTGTCAATGAACCAGTCACTTGAGGGACACAGTGGTATGTAGAAATCATTGGTGTTGCATAAACTTAGGCAGACTCGTTGCATAAAACTGAAAACAAGCATTCATTATTTATTGGTTATTTTGTGGTATGATTGCTTATTGAATGTTTTTTTTAATGTAGAAGTATGTTCCTCTTAAATGTTTAGCTAACAGTCTTGACGTTTTCACATAATAAATACTGTTAACATTTTGAAAGAAAGATACAGTTTGAACTACATGTTGTACGTCACAGATTTTGATTTCTTTGCAAGTGCAAATTAAACAGACCCAAAAATTCAAGAGATTTGCATTTAAAAACACAAAACAAAATAAACCTTTTTAATCAAGTCACCTTAAACTATGATTCTCTTGCCCATCTTATAAAAGAATTAATTAAAGAATTCATTGACACACAAACACACTCGCACGCACGCACGCTACGCACACACGCACAATGATTTCACATTGCTACAAGGAATTGTTGATCTCTATTATTGTTATATATTTAATATATATTATTATTCTAGGTAACTGACACACCTTCTGTGATTTTCTAGAAACGTATTACTTGATGACATATTTTTCATCTTTTGAGATCATTCTTCTTTGGGGCCACAATATACTGTGCAGAGTTGCTTCCCTTGAGGATGTCAAGACCTTTTGATTGTGGACCAGAGTCCTGTTTTGTCCTGATTATGTTTCTAGGCTTTTCAACAAGATACTCATGTCCGTGGGTTTCACCAAAATGGTAAACATCCAAGACCTGCAACAGTTAAGGCTTTTCTCTCACATGATCAAGTTGAAACACCATTGCATAACTTGAATACTGTGAAAGATACATTGAACTCAGCCTATGCACACACTGACTTTGTGACATAACAACATTTGAAAACTATTGTACAGGTACTTTGGGATGGCAGTCTGAAGCCCAGCATTTGCATTTTTATGACAGGTGCTGTTCAGTGTGTGACATGGAATGAACATTACCAGAAGCTGACCACAAGTGACCAGTATGGCCTCATCATTGTATGGATGCTCTACAAGGGTAAGTTAACTTTCTGCTCCTCCCTCTTTATCAGCAATCTGTGTAACATTATCATCATATTTAGATAAATGCATTTCTTTTATACAATGGCAACAACTAGCATAGACTACCGTAACAAGTGAGATATGGTCATTTGGCTTATCTAATTGAAATCTAATCATTACTCTGATTAGATATCTGTTAGTCAAAGTCTGATAATCTCCCCAATGATGATAGTGATTAAAGTACATAAAGATGACTTTGACTGTCCTGTCAAAATGAAGGATTCATCGGATCTTGAGCCAGTCAGATGTCAACATTCTAAAACAATTTGGCTTCCTTTTATTACAACTTTTATTTCAATTTTTTATCGGAACTAGAGGAAAATGCACTCTGAACACAGACATACTCTTGATTGTGTAGACTTCTTGTTGTATGATGCCAGACCGCCTCCGTGGTGTAGTGGTTAGAGCGTCCCCGAGAGCGGAATGTCCTGGGTTCGATCCCGACCGTGCCATACCAAAAGACGTTAAAATGTGGTACTTGTTGGTCCCTGCCTGGCTCTCGGCATTAATGGGTACAATAAGGACTGGTCGGCTCGGAGTCAGTATACTGTGTCTGAGTGGGGTATTCATGCTTCACTGCGGCATGGTATCTCAGTGGCTAGCACTATAAAACCAGCTTAAAGAACCAATAAACTTTGTTTTTTGTTACTCTTTTAACCATTACATATGAAAGATTTGTGGTTAGTCTTATGCGGAACACCAAATTTATTCTTTAAAAACTTGTGGTTAATTAATACCGAGCGATTAAAAGTGGCCAAAAAGTCGCCTGCTTCCCTCTCACCCGCCAACGAAACCACAGACAGGTTACGTAACTCTGTCGCCAGAGCACTGCAGTGACGTCATATGAGGAACGATTTTCAGTTAGTTGTATAGAAAGTGTGTAGCACGCTCATGATTTTGATGATTTCTCGACATCAACGACGACATGCCGAATCGTTGCTTTGTCGTCAATTGCTCCTAGGGTCGGGCGATGGTGTCACCATGCACAGATTTCCACAGGACCCGCAGTTCGTGCTAAATGGGTTATGTTTGTGAATGCGGCGGCGTTGTGGAAGCCTGAAACGCGATATCTTACTTGTGTTCAGATCGCTTCACGGAAGTTAAAGAATCAAAACTACTTACTAGTTGTAGTAAAATATGTATATGATTGATGACCATAAAGATTTTCCATGACACAACTTGTAACATAACGCGATTTCTTCCTCGGAAGTGAGGTTGTGGTCGAAGTAACAATAATATTGTAAGTAGTATTATATTGACACCCACCTCGCTGCCACGAGAGAAATTGTTATGTTATACGCTATGTCATGCAAAATCCTATTGGCCATCAATAAAATACATATTTTACTACCAGTAGAAAGTAGTTTTGATTTTATAACTTTCGGTGAAAACAAACCTAAATAGCATTTATCCTCAGACTGGCGGATGTTCCCGACAGAGCGCCATCATTTTGAAAATCGTAAAGTCTGTTAGAATTAATGAGATTATAGTTTGTTTTCATCAAGTTAGAAAATCAAAACTACTTTCTACTCGTAGTTAAATATGTATTGGAATCATAACCAAAGGGATTTTGCATGACACAACTTATAACATAACGATTTCTTCCACGGAAGTGAGGTGGGTTCAAGTCACAATACTGCGCGATAAATTTCTTACTACATTCACATGGTTAATGTCCACTCACCAGTATGTAGATACTAGTCAATGAGCGTCTTTATATTTGGCTTATAATCATAATTAGTTTATTATCATACTTGTATGCATTTTGAAACTAAATACAAAGCAGACGATCTGCTGCTACTTATTGTGAATTTATAACAGAACTGTAATATCTAGACATTTTATAGTTTGCCAATGTGAATCATAATTCGCACACACACCCTAGTGTATGTTGTCTGTCTCATTACACTTCACGGCGAAAACAATGATTCTGTTGAATGCTACGACAAATGAATAAAAAACAAAATGCAAATATTAAAATTAAAACAGATTAAAGTTATAGGAACAATATCAGGCCATTACCTTGTTCTAGGAATGTATCCATTAATATCCACAAAACTGTTCCAAATGATGTGTCTTTTAAAAGTTTAATATACGAAAAAGTGATAAATCTTTTCAGGTATTGGTGTATAGTCTCATTGGTCACCCAAGATAGCACACCTGGCAACTAATTGCATAATGTCCGCCTTTCTTTAAAAACAGTAATTTAGTTAGCCAATAATGGGCAATCAATCAATGTATTGCCGGTTAATCCTTTGAAAGAAGGACGTTGTTTTTACGCAGACACCGACACGGCAGAGTGTATTCAGTATAGATTAGTAAATCTACATACATAAACACTACCTTTTGACAATTCCGCTGTGTAAGATAAAAGTAATTAATCAATCAGCGTGTTATCGGTTAATCCTTTGATCGATGTTTATAATGTTGAATGTTTACTCCAGACACAAGAAATGCCAAATGGGAACCTTTGTCGGGTAATCTAAGTGTGTTACCACTAATTATACCTGTTTTTATGTCCGCAAAAACAACTAAGAGTAGTTAGGCAATAGAATTTATTAATATGGCAAAAAGGGGGTGCAACGTCTACCATCTATACTGGACGGAAGCTGAGGCTGTCATACATGCCAGCCGTTGCACCCCGATGCATGCTGGAGGTAGATATCACGACACTGTTGACTATTTACAGGAACAAAAAGAAGTAGATACATGAATACTGCGTACTACAGATGGAGTGGGCACAGTAAGACAGGCAGAGTAACTCGCCCATTACTGGCCCATCCACTATCCCCATAATAAGCAAGCCAGGGGCGATGCCCCAGTTACTTATTATATTAAGGCTACCACTACAGCTAGTAGACACTAGCTGTGATACATGCTAAAAACATACTCAAACTGGAGAGAGCGCAGTAAGCCAGGCTGATTTTGACTGCCCATTACTGGCCCTTCCAATAACATGAGAATAAGTAAGTACTTATGGGCGAAGCCCTATTGCATGCAGCCAGTAGAGTAGACCAGGTAGGTGTTACCCCTACTGTTGCATTGTCGGACGGAGCATAGTAAAACGTGCTAGGTATACCTATATGAAAATAACCCGTAACAGCATTTCGCTATACATGAAAGCCTACATATAAAATAGAGAACTTAAGTACACCAATGGTACCGCATTTTGGTACACATGAAAAACATATATATATATATAATGTAATATACCACCTACATACAAAAACGTTTGTGGGTGGCAAGCTAATATGATTTAGCTTACCCGGTGGAAAAAGTTTTGGAGGTGAAAGGGGTGGTGGTGGGTATGACTTGTGAAACCTGCCAGAGGGTATGCTGCTGACTCGTGCAATGCCAAATAGTGCACTTTAAAACAAAGGATAGGTATTACTACGCACATGCTTTAAAGTGAGTACCCTGCAGTGTGAAACCCGAGCCTGAGCAAAGTAGTGCGCTCGTTGTTTTGCCACATAAACCAAATTTGTTCATAAACAAACAAATAACATTTTATGTCCGCAAAAACAACTAAGAGAAGTTAGGCAATAGAATTTATTAATATGGCAAAAAGGGGGTGCAACGTCTACCATCTATATTGGACGGAAGCTGAGGCTGTCATACATGCCAGCCGTTGCACCCCGATGCATGCTGGAGGTAGATATCACGACACTGTTGACTATTTACAGGAACAAAAAATGTTACCACTAATTATACATGTTATAAATTCATTTACTGACCATCAAGTGAATGATGACAAATAACACGTGTAGGTTTATAACACCTAACACGGGTTACAACAAGGGAGTATTAATTGTTGTATTGCATGTGAAAACTTATGGGCCGACACTGTTTTGAGAATACAAACAGATCTTTACATGACATGATTAAATATCGAGGTAAAAAAACACAGAAATGGGATCAATTTGGATCAGTCATTATACAAATAGGGCCTAACGACACCAATCGATTTTGACAGAATCGTCTATGAAAACAAGTTGTAACTCGGAAACTAGGCAAAGCAGGAGACAAAATTAAATGACAGTAGATTGTGAGAACATATAGCTTTCATTTTCCACAACAATTGTCACGATTTCAGGTTTATAAAAGCCTGTAAACAAGATAATTTACCCCCTAAAATGTAGATGAATTCTGCATCGGCCCTCAAAGCTATTCCTCATATGACGTCACAGAGACGCGCCGCTCTGATTGGTTGAAATTTCGTTCGCGGGTGAGAATTGTGCACTGTTGTCAAAAAGGTCGATTTAAGTCAATTAAAGGTCGAAATGAGTAGTTTTAATGACGGGGTTTCATTTATAACGATGCCAGTTAGTGATTTATGTATTTGTACCCCGTAGGGTATATGTGATCTTTAAGTCTGGGCTAGTACAAGCTGCCGCACATACACATACACACGCATGCACATTGTCATATGAGCGAAATATTCTCAAGCACGACGTTAAACCCAATTTCACCTCACCTTGTATGATGCCATGGTGATTGTGAATGGCAGGGTATCTAAAATAGCACTCACATGCTTATTTATTCCCCAGTACGAACTCCTATTGGCATTTGTTTTTTTGAGATACAGAATTCTGATTTATGCTGCAGGGATTGGGAAAGGCAGGGGCCATGGGTCATTTTGCACATTAGAATAAAAAAATGGCCCATTAAAATTTGAAGTTTATTGTTGATACAAGGGCAGTGGCCCATTCAAAATTCAGAAAATGGCTAATAATCCTGAAAATGGCCCATTGTCAAAGTTCTCTATCCCAATCCCTGATGTTGTGATCAGCTTATTGGTACATGGAGAATTTAGAATCTGCCAAATTGTTTGGCTGATTGGAAAGTTCCCTTGATTTTGTCTCCCATGACAGTAAATGATCTGATGTCTAGATAGTTATCTCTCTCTGACACTGTCACAACGCACCACTGTATCACAACATCAGAAGCAGATTTCGTATAACATTGGTGATTAGATGCCTGACTCTGATGGTGTGAGTTCGAATCCTGGATGGGATTCAACCCAACGAAAGTACTAGAATCTGTACTTTACGGAGAAAGTGTAATCCCAAATATACCATATTTTACATCTGACCACTTTCTAAATGGCATTGTGTATTCACAGATTTCGTATATGTGGTAATAGAAGAACATTCCCTGAACACCTGAAATCCTATTAGCATGAGTACAGCTTTACCAATAGGCAGACTTGTGGTGGTGGTAGTCACAATGGTATGTGAACATCTGGTTTGACACTGATGTTGGCAGGTTCCTGGTACGAGGAGATGATTAACAACAGGAACAAGTCTGTGGTCAGGGGAATGAAGTGGAATGCTGATGGACAAAAGATCTGCATTGTTTATGAAGATGGTAAGTTTATTGTTGTTGTTGATGACAACATTGAAACATGATGATGATGATGATGATGATGGAATGATGATGGACAAAAGATCTGCATTGTTTATGAAGATGGTAAGTTTATTGTTGTTGTTGATGACAACATTGAAACATGATGATGATGATGATAAGTCCTTAAACATTAGATGTCTTGACCTAGTTTAAGGAAGGCTTGGAATTAAGCATGAAACTGAAGCTTCAGTCCTTGTCATTTATCTCATGTTTAAAGTTAAATATTTAAGGTGTCCCCAGATGCAAGTGCTATAATAGTAATCTTTACCTACCCAGGCTAGCTATTCTCGAAACGTTCATAGCCTTATGGACTTCTTAAGCCCATTCTTAAAACATTGGCTACGATCAAAGTTAAGAATTCTTAGGGCTATGAACGTTTGGAGAATAAGGGCCCAGGACTCCAATCCATTTCATTGCATTGTTTGTTGAATTCAGCCAAAGCTTTTTATTGTTTTGTGAAATACAACAAGTTCTTAAAACATGTTAAAAGGAAGTCATATACAGCATTGCAGTGAAGCTGACAAGCTATAAAATTGACCCTACAATTGCTATATTTTACCCCAAACTCTATGATGAATTGGTCCAAGTGACTGCTAGAAAATTGGTCCAGTACTTTAATTGCAAAGTTTAATTATACTCTGTGAATACACGTGAGAAAGTGTGGTGTCAAGACAGTGGTCTGTTTCAGGTGCTGTGATTGTTGGGTCTGTGGATGGTAACCGCATCTGGGGGAAAGAACTGAGAGGTCTGCAGCTGGCTTGTGTTGAGGTGAGATGGTCATTGTGCTACAGGTCACCTTGGAGACATATCAGTCCAAGTGCTGGGGTTGATCTGTTGTCAGTTTTTTGTAATTTTTTAAAGGGAACTGCAAGGGATTTCAAGTGTTCCACTATCATTTGCAAGAGGAAGGAGACAAGCATAATTAGCATGAATCAGGATAAGGAAAAATCAGTCCATTCAAACACTCAACTAAACACTGATAATAATACAGCAGAAACAGCACTATCAAACAAATGTACCTCAGATCTTGACTCTTTTACAACTGGTTAAGAACATTACAATTACGGTATATGTAATAAAAAGTTTTAACACAATCATTGCTAAATTACAAAGTACCATTGGGTGAATAAACTAAACCTCAGGATAAGTATAAAATATCAGTTTTAATCAGAAAATTACATTATCATGCCTCTCATGCAAGCCCTTGCTGAGTGTTAACATTTGTTATTCCAGTATATGTATTTTTAATCATCTTGAAACACACAAGGGTAATAATTTTCATACCATATGTCATTCATACATCTATCAAAGTTTGATATGGTTTCATTTTGTAATGTACTTGTGTAGGAGTACAATGCCAGTTTCATTATGAAGTGTTGCAACATGTTGACAGAAACATGCACATGGGCCCTTTTTGACCATATTGGCATTGCATCCATGTATGGAGCTTAATGGTAGTTCCTGCTTGGTGACTATATTTCCATATGGATCGTGGTGCCAAGTTTCAGATTGGCATATAGCACTGATTACAATATTTATCATATGGTAATGCTTTGTATTGAAATTCACATGTAATCTTGTTTCAGTGGTCCCCTGATGGCAAGAAGATCTTATTTGGAATGTTGAATGGAGAAGTTCATATATTTGACAACACTGGCAACTTCATTGTGAGTCTATAGTCTGAGAAAGGAGAACTATCAACCATTGTAAAAAGAATAATTTCTCTTGCAATGTATTATGTCAAAGCAGGAACTGTGGTAGCATTTCTGTAATGATGAGACCCGTGAAGATCCGATCTTCAGTATAGCATGCATGCCGCAAGAGGCGATAACAGGATCGGGTGGTCAGGCTTGCTGACTTGGTTGACACATGTTATCCCAATTGCGTAGATCAATGCTCATGCTGTTGATCACTGGATTGTCTGGTCCAGATTCGATTAATTACAGACCATTGCCATATAGCTGAAATATTGCTGAGTGCGGTGTAAAACTAAACTCACTCACAGTAATGATGGCCTAGTTGTCTAAAGCACTGCAGAAACTTATGATCATGGGTTTGAGTCCCAGTTCACTCGGATTATGGTTTGTCAGCACCAACCTTTGCTCTTGTTTCACCAAAATGGTAAATATGCAGAACCTGCATAGCTTTGGGCTCTCCTCACAAATCAAGCTGAAATGTTGTGATATAACTGAAATACTGTTATGAACAGTGTAAAAAAATACAATTCACTCACTCAGTAAGTCGGTCTCATGATTGTAACTGACAGCAATACTGACAACATTGGCATCTCTAAAGGGAAACTCATTTCAGATGCTATTGATAGCCTGGAAACAAAGCTAGAGAAATGTTTTATGAATCAGAAGATCATGCCCATACTGCAGTAATTGGTTGTAAATGCATCCATGAACTGTCGTACATCACCCCCTGTCAATGTTTCAGACCAAGCTCCAGGTACATTGTCTGTCAAATGTGACTGGCGCTATCCACATCGCTGGGCTGCAGTGGTATAATGGACTCAATGGATATGTGGAGGCAAACTGCCCTTGTTTTGCACTCTGTTTTGACAATGGCCGTTGTCAGATAATGAGACATGAGGTAGATGAAAGTAAGTACAAATCTGTCACTCACAGTAAAGTCTAAAATATTGAATAGTAATAATGACTACATTATGGATACTGAAGAAAGAAGATAGACCGAATGATGTTTGTTGCTGCAAGTTGAAATTGTTGGATTTGCTTGTGTTTTTCAATATGGAGTTGCCATGTTGTCTTCATGTAAGATTCAGGAGTCAGGGGTAGTTACCATGAATCTTGGATATCTTGTAATTGTTTCTACTGCGAAGAAAATATTTTAAGCATGACCCTGTATACTCCATGTTCTGTAAATCTGTGGACAAATTCAGCCATTTCATTCTGTTGAACTGGAATAAGGGTATTGATTATGACATCCAAATTCATCCATCAATTTCTTCTTAAGCATACGCTCTTCCATCCAGTTATGTCATCATGCTATTGAGATAGATTTCCTGGACACATTTGTTACTAAAGCTTCATTTGGGAAGTGATGTCGCAGTCTTCATTATAGTTACTTACACATTAGTATTCCAGTGGACATCCATTTTTGTGTCATATAATTCAGGATGTCAGCCTGTGCCTGTGGTCTCACCTGTGCCAAGGATAGCTGATAATGTTTCTGTGCTGCAGATCCCATCCTGATCGACACTGGTATGCACGTAGCCCAGATAGGCTGGAACCACTCGGGGAATGTGCTGGCTGTGGCTGGCTCCCAGCATGCAATGGGACAGGATAAGGAAGTCAATGTTGTCCAGTTCTACACACCATTTGGAGAGGTAGATAACATGTCATTACAATCCACTGTGTCGATAGAAGTACATATTCATTAACACTGGGACTGACATTGTACTTATTCACATTTATTCTGTTTCTGTTGTAACATTTTGAGCATGTTTTTTTAACTTTGATGCAGTTGCTTTTTTCATACAAATTTCACATTTGTGTTTTTGTGTCGAATTGTGAAGTCACTGCCAACAGACATCCAGGGGAGATATGTCCAAGTAGCCGCTACTCATTTTGCAGAATTGAGACCCTAGAATGTCACAGATACCCCTGATCTTATGTGTGAATCCCACATTTGGGCTGCTTCTGTTGCTTTGATTCTCAGCTGCTTTACTTCAGGCGTTTGGGCGGTGGGGTGACGTAGTGGTTAAAGTGTTTGCTTGTCACACCAAAGATCCAGGTTTGATTCCCCATATACGTACAATGTGTGAAGCCAATTTCTGGTGTCCCCTGTCATGGTATTGCTGGAATATTGCTAAAAGTGGCGTAAAACTAAACTCACTCACTCACTATCATATCATTTCTAAAGCCCATTTCTGGTGTCCCTCCCCGTGATATTGCTGGTATATGGCTAAAAGCGGCATAAAACCATACTCACTCCCTCATTCACATGTGTTTTACTTGTAATCACAAAGAAAATGATATGCCGTTAATGGATATTTGCAGCACCTGCGGACACTGAAGGTTCCGGGCAAGCAAATGTACGCCTGTTCCTGGGAGGGAGGCAGTTTGAGGATAGCACTGGCTGTCGACTCCTTTATCTACTTCGCCAACATCAGACCCGACTACAAGGTCACTCAATCTGCTCTTTTCCCCATCTGGAACCTGATTTTAATATGTTATGTTAATTATACTTTTGATAAGTTGCACCAAAATTCACATATGTTGAAACAGTTGACATTCTGAGAACAAGATTTTCTACTACCTACTTACTGTCTAAACTGAAGGGTGGAAGGGCAGTCACCAATTTACAATGGCCAATGAAAACAATTTAGAAAATCATCCTTATCTTTAGATGTACAAAGTAAATAATGAGGAAGCTATACATGATTGTATCATTAGGTATAATTGTCTAATTTGCACTCTCAGGTATAAGGGGCGGTGGGGTTGCCTAATGGTTAAAGCGTTGTCTCGTCAAGCCAAAGACCGGGTTCGAATCCCCACATGGGTACAATGTGTGAAGCCCATTTCTGGTGTCCCCCCCGTGATGTTGCTGGAATATTGCTAAAAGCGGCGTAAAACCAAACTCAGTCAGTGTTAGGTATAATTGTCTAATTTGCACTGGCTTTTGTGCATTATTCAGTGTAGATGCCTGCATTCAACCAGTGAATAAAGATCTGAAAAACATATGCCCAAACTGTAAGGTTACATTGTGTAATTACTCACTGTGTTATCATCTTATTGTTTATTTGTATTTACCAGACATATTTACATGCAAATGACTCACAATTGGGTTATGAGTGTTATACACATATATGCTGTGTTTATTAACATTCTTCATCCCATCATGTGACTTGTGTTATGGATGATGGAGGTGTATTACTGAGTGTATATATATGTTACAGTGGGGGTACTGCTCCAGCACCGTGGTGTACTCCTTCACCAAGCCCGACAGACCCGAGCACTGCGTCATCTTCTGGGACACAAAGAACAATGAGGTAAAACCTATAGCTGCAACTCTTTTTTTGCTATGTACAGTACAATGTATATTTTTCCTTATCCTGACTCATGCTCTTTTTGCTTGTCTTCTTCTTCTTGCGAACATAGTGGAACACTTGTATCTCCCTAATTGAAGCTCCCTTCAATGTAAAATCACTAATTAGTACTCAGCACGAGTTACCTCCCTTCCACAAGCTCGGGAACGAGGGCGCCACCTCCACCCATGTGCCTCACTCTCTCCTTCTTCGCCCAGTGAGCTGGACGTGAGAGCACCTGTGTCTCCCGACACACTATATCCTTTGATTATATTTAGTTAGTTACCTCGTATAGACATCTATAGAGGTTTAGCTAGTATCCTTCAACAATTATATATTGATATTTAGTCGTGTTTCTACTGTTTATTCACGGGGCCGCCGTGTGTTTGTTTCAGTGGATTACGTTGATAAAATTCTGTTCTGTTGCAGATTACGTTTTTATTCTGCTGCTGATCTGCATTTAATATGCCCTAGTTGTACTGCGCCATGTTCATTTTATTCACGCTTGCAGTTAAGGTACTAATTTATCCATTTCTGCCTTTAATAAATAATTACTTTGCGCTTTGAGACGCCGCAGCAGATAGGTCGCGAGATGCAGAGTCTAGCCATGACTGATACACCTGAACCCTCGCCAGTCTACTGCTGTTGGTCGAAGCCCCGCCCCCGTCTGGTGTTCCGCTAGAGTGCTGGAGAGGGGGCGTGATCCGTCCGCCTCCAAGAAGCGTCCTGCTTCCCCAGACATCCCATCGTCGCAGCCGAAGACTAGAGTTTTTCTACTGCATCTCAACGCCACCTCTGAGGAAATCAACGAAGTCTACTTGAACTTTCTCAGCCGAGATTGTTCCCGTCGCGAGATTTTGGGCCTGTATGATGATCAGCCGATCATCATACCTGATGTACATCAAAAGAATGACCGATGTCGGCAACAGTGATGTCAGCGCAGATCAACATGCAGCCTGATGTACCAACGATGATATTCTATGATCTTCCTGAGGGTCCGTGCGCTACCAACACTCAACGCAGACTTCACACCCCAGGGCAGCGTCGACCTCTGAGGGGAAATCAACGAAGTCTACTAGGACTTTCTCAACCGAGATTGTTCCAGCCGCTGAACTGGGCCTCTACGATGATCAGCTGATCATCATCCCCGGCGTCGCCACAGAAGCGACCGGGAGACATCTACAGTGACATCAGCAGAGATCGCCATGCAGCCTGATGTCTCTACACTGACGTCAGACGACTTCCCTGAGGGTCCGCCGCTAACATCGCAGAGAGGGCACCGACTAATTGCCGCAGACCATCCCAGATGAACTGTTGCGGCAAATCATGATCATGATGGAGGGCCACCACAGACTGGGAAGCAGCCAGCCTAAGGCCCGAGCCTTGCGAAGGTTCCAACGCAGACGACACCCCAGAGGCACCCCCATCAGCGTAGCAGCCACGACGGCCACCTTCGCGAAGGAAGTCGCAGACCACCTCCACTAAGGACCCAGATGTACAGCCTTCGGCGAAGGCCTTCGCGGCGGGATAGATCATCACCTTCCTCGGCTTCATCCTAGATGCGGACTCAGACCGTCAGACCTCACGAAAGCCTTCGCGAAGGTCAAATCGCCGTTCCCCAGGACCGGACGCAGAAAGCTGGCGAAGGCCTTCGCGAAGGCCTTCGAAGGACACCTGACTACACGAGCTTCGGCGGGCTATCAACATTCTCCTCACAGGTCTCCGAAGGTCAACCCATAGACGCGCCAGTTCACCAACACGATCTCCGGCGCCCGTTACCGCGCCCGATCTCCTCGTACATCACCACACAAGTCTGCACACAAGTCTACAGTCAGGTCTCCCCGAAGCCACCCGACATAGAGATAGAAATACACAGTCCACCATCAGAAGAGCATCAACCTCTCATCAGTGATGCTGGGATAGAAAATGATGGAGGCATCATTTTCTCAGACGCTGAGATCACGATATTGGATGGTAAACAACCTAGATCTCTTCACCTCCCAAGAGTGGCAACTTCGGCGCAGACATACCTGATAAAGGAAGACGAGGCAGGCGCCATCACCTTACCTCCAATCGACTTCGATTGCTGCGGTGCCACAGTATGTAGACACAGCCTACCATAAAGCCATAACAGTTCAAACGCCAGAGGCGTATGTTATTGGCATTAATAGATCTAGAACGATCAATGAGATTCTTATCACCAGATTTCGTGACACCGACTTCTGAAGATGATAGGATGATCTACTGCGGCTCTACTTATGCAGAACCAGCAAGAACCACACCCTGTATGAAGCTAACGGCTCATATATTGATCGGTTTCTAGACACTTCGCTAAGGAAGTCCCAGGCCACCTCCGCCAAGGAGCTACAGCCTCACCAGTTACAAGGGACGTCACGGAGGAGTAGCGCTTCACCGACCCACATATTGCTGAGTCGCGGCGAAAACAATACACTCACTCACTCACTCCTGTTGAACACAGAGGTCGTTCAGCGAAGCAAGCCATATATAATATATATACTGATCGGGCTCTGACTCAATACCTTCGCGAAGGTCGCTAAGGCTAAGTGGCTCCAAGTCTACCTCACACAGGAAATCTAGATTGGATACTTGAGAGCTTAGCGAAATCTCCGGCGGCCCACCGAGGAATTCTCCTCCAAGGTCTCCATATATTAGCCACTTTCGTCATATATAGCTACTTTCGTCAGTCCATTCAAGACATCGCATAAGTTGTCTATCAACTGTATGCCATATGCCGCCTATAAGCCTACGCGAAGACAATTGCACAGGCTATTTACAACACAGAACGTCGCTATATTAATTAATCAACGGCGTTGCATAGATCTTCACAGAAATCAACCTTTCCGTATAGATTGCTAGAATATGCAATCCCGACTACGATGATCACGATTATCTACATGCGTGACCATTACGCGAGATCTGCAGACAATTCAATATCGAAATTGAACAGCAGCCTTGTTACAGCGCAGTATAACTCATAATCGTCAAAGTTTCTGAGAAGAAATATGTACAACAAGTTCAGCTTTAATTCTACAATTATGACAATACATTCATGTATACAGTCTACAAGCTGACAACTTGCAAGTTTATTGTACCTTTATATAAGAAAGTCAGAATTATATTCAAAACTGAACTTACTTTCACGACAGCCAGGAAAAATAACCTACCCAGCATTAATATTACACAGCGAGGTATTTGGCGCCCGGAGGTTTCGCTAAGCTTTACCTTTAACCCTCAAACACGTGGTCACTTTCGGGTAACTTCGAAGCTACGGTGAAGACCGGCGATTATGCTAATATCAACGGCGACAAGATTTTTATACAAGGTTTTTTCCTGCTACACGGTGACATCACAGCTGGTATTCTACAGAATCAAAATGCCTTGTTCTGATTGGACCGCGTTGGACAGCGACCTCGCACGAGGTCGATCTTAGTTCACAGGGTCAACACTTACGTTACAAGTGACAACTATATATCAGTGAACGAGCAAGCCTCCTTACAGTCCAGTTAATCTGAACCTTCATGATTGGGCTGCTTTCTTCAGGGTTATAGACCTCCCCTGTCAAGTTAGGACGAGGGCACGGCAGTCAGGCAATTTTACATAAACTTCAACGAGGACAGACACACCTGGTTGTGCACCTACATCGTCAAGGACTTCAGAGCGAATAACCTAGACGACGGGATACAAGTGGATCTAAATCCACAGCGTCTCAGACTACAGCTGAATTTCATAATCAAGCTACTAACACAACTAGATGGTTAGTAAACCTACTTAAACTTTCTGATTGGAGAATTAAAGCGGAAGTTTCACCCTCCAACTTGGGATCTGAATATAGTGCTCCAACACCTCACAAGTGAGGTTTATGAACACGCCTGGATGACATATTTGGACTTCATGATACGATGATTCTATCACGATGGCCAGCAAGAGCACTGTAAATTTATCTCCACCGAACCAAACAGAAGGGAATAATACAACAGATTATTTCCTCTATCATCAACTTCACGCAGAATGAAATCTCACGTGCTATATCTCCGTTTGGATCAGAACTGTCATACTACGTGCATACAAGACGGATGGACCCAATCCGACCCTCCATGAGCTTTTAATACTCATGATATTAGAGCTTAACTTCTGCATTGATCTACACAATGTTATTTGTAATAATGGAGGGTTTATTTTCTGGAGATCCGATATGGTGATTGCCAACCATTATCTGAGAGATATCATCACCGAGGGGCGTCTCAGGTATCCACCAATTCGATCCCATGGTCCTCGCTGACAACAGTTGACAGTTCTCGGAGAAGATAAGTCAATCTTACAGATTTCTACTTATCTTATAACAGTACTAAATAGCTACATGCTATATGTAATTTGCTTAAGTTCTTTTATCATCACAGTACTATGATTATTACATCATACAATATATAACTTAACAACTCTACAGAGTTGGTTATTATATATTTACCTTAACTTAATTATATCTTAAGCATAGTACTATACTCAGATTGTAAAATATATATAAGCTAACAAACTCTACAGAGTTTGGGCTATTATATAGGTAGCTTAAGCTTATTCATATCTTAAGCTCAGTACTATGTTTATATCATATAAGTATATTAGCTAACAAACTCTAAAGAGTTTTTGCTATTTGGCTTAAGTCTCATCATATCTTAAGCAATATGGTTACATTATAACATGTATTAGCTAACAAACTCTCACGGAGTTTTGCTATATGTAACTTAAAAGCTTATTCATATCTTAAGCAGTACTATGTTTATATCATATAGGTATTTTAGCTATCAAAACTCTAAAAGAGTTTTTGCTATTATATATTTGGCTTAAGTTTCATCATAATTTAAGCTTTATGGTTACATTATAATTTGTATTAGCTAACAAACTCTCACGGAGTTTTGCTATTATATATGTAGCTTAAGTTTCCTTCAAATCTTAAGCTCAATACTATGTTTATATCATATAAGTATATTAGCTAACAAACTCTACGGAGTTTTGCTATTATATATGTAGCTTAAAGTTTCCTTCAAAGCTCAATACTATGTTTATATCATATAAGTATATTAGCTAACAAACTCTACGGAGTTTTTGCTATTATATATGTAGCTTAAGGTTTCCTTCATAAACTCAATACTAGGTTTATATCATATAAGTATTTTAGCTAACAAACTCTAAAGGGTTTTTTGCTATTATACAATTAGCTTAAGTTTCATCATATCTTAAGCAGTATGGTTACATTATAAAATGTATTAGCTAAAAGCTCAGTACTATGGTTATAACATAAAAGTATATTAGTTAATAAACTCTAAGGAGTTTTTTGCTATATACATTTAGCTTAAGTCTAATCTTATCTTAAGCTTGGTACTATGGTTACATTATTAATCTATAAGCTAATAAACTCTACAGAGTTTTGGCTATTATATATGTAGCTTAAGTTAATTATATCTTAAGCACAGTACTATACTCATATTGTAAAAATATATTAGCTAACAAACTCTACAGAGTTTTGCTATTATATATGTAGCTAAAAGCTTATTCATATCTAAAGCTCAGCATTATATCTATATCATATAAGTATATTAACTAACAAACTCTAAAGAGTTTTGCTATTATATAATTAGCTTAAGTTTAATCATATCTTAAGCTTAGTACTATGTTTATATCTTAAAGTATTTTTAGCTAACAAACTCTAAGGAGTTTATACTAAGATATTAACAAGCTTAAGTCTATTAGTCTTAAGCATTGTATTAATGTTATATATACTTTATCATAATAAGTACTTTGTAATAACCTTTATATGGCAGCTGATAAGTTAGCAGCAGGAATTCATCAGTTCAGTACCTTTATGAAGTTCCCATAGGGTTATTACAATCATCACAGTTCAAATCACTAATTATTAAAATCCAAAATTATTATATATTTCCCACCTCCCTTTCCGTCCGGAGTCTACAAGCAAAAGAGCATGAGTCAGGATAAGGAAAAATATGTAATTTTTAGAGTAAAATTGATATTTTATACTTATCCTGACTCATGAGGTAAGCCCTCCCATCCTCCCCACATAACACTTTGGATTTCCCTGTAAATTCAAATGTTGGGCTCAGTATATGAGGAGAGAGTGAGGCACATGGGTGGAGGTGGCGCCCTCGTTCCCGCGCTTGTGGAAGGGAGGTAACTCGTGCTGAGTACTAATTAGTGATTTTACATTGAAGGGAGCTTCAATTAGGGAGATACAAGTGTTCCACTATGTTCTCAAGAAGAAGAAGACAAGCAAAAAGAGCATGAGTCAGGATAAGTATAAAATATCAATTTTACTCTAAAAATTACATTTTGTGTCTCTCCTCTTGGTGCTGTTGATCACAGGATTGTCTGGTCCAGACTCGATTATTTATAGATGCTGCCATATAACAGGAATATTGCTGAGTGCGACGAAAAACTAAACTCACTCACTCACTCACTCACTCTCCTCTTGGTATGTTGACCTTAAAAATAACTAGACTCCCCTTACAAATACTTAACTTACTTAATTACCTATTTGCCTGAATAATGATGGAGTATTTGGTTTTATTGTGACCTGTGTTTTCAGAAATATGTGAAGTATGTTAAAAATCTCATCGCTGTCACAGCTTATGGAGATTATTGTTGCCTGGCAACTAAAGCTGACGAGATAGCAGGCCAGGTATGTAGACTGTTATTAACTTATTACAAATAAAGAATGTTTTATTGTTTGATATAATTTCTGATACTAAAAAATATGTTTTATGCTCATTCAAAATCCGACATGCAACATAAAATGACATACCGGTAATCTTTACTTATCTCCCCTTGACAAAGAATGTATTATTTGTTTCATAACAGATCTCTGTCTTACATGAAAAGACATGTGCAGTATATTGACTTATTAAGTAGTAGATGAACTGTCAGCTCTCTTCTACCCTCAGTATGTGTTGGTTCTGTGCAACTCTATCGGCACCCCACTTGACTCCAAGTACATCGAGATGGACCCCATGTACCTGACAATGACCAAGACTCACATTATCACAGCATCAAAGGAGGCCTTCTATACCTGGCAGTTCAAGAACCCCAAGAAACTGGCCACCCTGGAGATGGCAACCAAGAGGAAGGCTGGCTCGGAGAGGTGAGGAAGGTCCTCAGAATAACAATAACGTAGAAGGCTGCTTGCAGAGATACAAATTATGAAGATGATTGCTCTTTACACCAAATATGTGGCACTTGCATGGATTGGAATGTAATTAAAACTATGTTGACAAATATCATGAATCATTATGTGCCCTGATATTCCATACAGGTATTATTGGTACCAGTATAATCAGTAGTTGCTTTGAGAGCATTTGAAGGGCACAGGTGGGTAACCCCTCTGAGGAGCTACTAATGCAGAGATGCATCACTTCTTGCCTGAATCTTTTCACCTTGTGTCAATCCAAATTTCATCTGGATTATGAATATTGGTTTGTCCATGCTTGTGAATTTCAATGTCAAAGACCTGGGTGCCGTTCCACTAACCGATCTTATCTAAGATCAGTCTTAGCAAGTTACGCCAATTTTACAATTGTTTTAGCTAAAGGTTACGCCTGTTCCACAAACCGATCTTAGGTTGATAGTAGCCGGTCCCGATCTATTACGATCTGATACTAGCTAAAATCAAGACTCTTTCTTACGAGAGATAGAGATAGAAAAATGTGAGGCACAGGTTATCTCCCTTTGTATAGTCTAGCAGACGAGGGAAGTAGTTTTGGAACCAAGATACCTTGAGCGAAAGCTTAAGGTAGTGAGCACCTTAGTTTCAGGGGACAATTGAATGCTGGGTATCTGGCATAATACGTGGTTGAACCTTGTTAATCAGCATAAACAACGCGTGCCGAAGCATCCTGCACCTCCACCATCTGATAATGTTTCTGATAATTTGTGAGCAGTCTCAAAAAACACGCTCACAGTGTAGTGCTCGCTCTTCTTCTTCACATAGAATCATGAAAGCCGCCATTTTGGTTTCTCTATTTTGATTTTAGCAATCCTAAGTTGGTCATGAGCAACGTAGACTTAACTTTAGATCTTAACTTTACGATTGACTTGGGAAAGATTGGTTAGTGTAACAGTATGCCGATCGTAGCGTCACGCTAAAATTGGGATTTTAGGGAACATGATTGGCATAGATATAAGATCAGTTAGTGGAACGGCACCCAGCTCTTTTCTCTCATGCCAGATTATTTCATATAGGACACATCACACTTTATGTTGTTACCATGGTTACATATGTAGGGAAATAAACCATTGTTCTTTTATTGTTTCCATGCACCTTGTTAAGCATTCATCATGTGTTTATCAGTTGTCAACTGATCACCGAGAAAATCCACAATAAAACAGAAACTGCCAATTTTCTTTTTGACAAATATTTTTTTAGTTTTAAATGTATTGTGAATCTTTGTTCTTCACACATCCTATCAATTTCAGATTGTACCACATTGATGATATGCCATCAGGAACAGCTCCACAAGAAGATGTGGATTTCAGCAAGGCTTTCACTGTGAGTGTCATGACCATGTGTTGATCTGTCTGATTCTGTCATTTCATTGGAACATTTATCACAACTTGATGAATTATACTATATTTTTGGCAACTGATCAGGCTTGATTACACTGATTATATGAGTCCTGTAGTAAAACGATGTCTTCTTAGACATCTCAGGTGACACAGGTAGCTATCTTGTCTAACGTGCTGCAGTTTATCGTGAGTTATGATAATTTCACCAAAGTGGGAATGACATACGACTTGTAGCTCTTGTGGATTTCTTCCAAACCCAAGCTGCTATACTGTAATATGAGATATTGTTCAAAGAGGCATTACAGCCAACTCACATGTGTTAACTCAGATTCATTTTTAACCATGGTTATTTGATAAATTATCTCAAATGTCTTTTTAGTAACAGGGCCAGTAGGGTAGCAAAGTGGATAATGTGTTCACTTAGCGTGCTGAAGACACAGGTTCAATTCCACCTTTGAGTATAATTTGGTTCACACATTTCTTAGTCCCTAGACATGATTTTGCTGGAATATTGCTAAAAATGGCTCACTACAACACTAAATCTAAAACAGTCTACTAAAATCTAACATGTTCAGCAGAGATTCTATTCTATTAAATCAGGGTTTACATGTCACCATGAAATTTACTAGAATCATGCTGACCATGGTATAAAACAACATTCATTCACTCCACTTTTTTAAGGTACTTTGTTTGCCATCACAGTGATGTTTCTGAATTTTTAGTCATACGATAGTTTTCTTAGTCTTCATTAAAAATCCGCATGTCTTTTATTTGCACTGAAGATGCTGAAAGGAAAACTCCAGGTATACTCTTAATACTTTTTGTTTTGTTATATTTTTGTGGACTTAGTGGTTTTTGTCTTGTTGGGTAGAGTAGTTTCACATCACACAGAATAATTTATTTTCAGCTAATGTGGTGGAGCAAGAAAGCGTGCATGCTCTTAACACTTTCAGATTTTTTATCACATTTTCATTTTATAAGTATGCTTTCATTTGTAATATGCATAAGTTATCAAGCATGTAACATGTTTAAAATCATCTCTACAGATCAGTTTATCATGAAGAAACAATTAGCTTTAAGCCTTTTAGCAAATAGATTATGCAAATGTAGCTATATTCTTAGTTGCTTTTATTTGGTGTTGACATCCATATGTTAATATGAATCAGATATTTGCAATAATAAAATAGAAAGAGTGTCAGTGAAATAGTGTTACACTGTTATTGATAATATTTAAATAGAATCCTTCAATGTTGTATAATGGTTGTTATTTAACATTATACATAGATTATTGTTTATGCAGTATACCAGTTCTTCCTATGTTCAGCTAGGATGAGTCAGTGTCTTTTACTGAAAGTTTTTGACCCTGTATGTTTTGGGTGACAAATGTGATCGGGTGGTCAGGCCGCTGACTTGGTTGACACATGTCATCCTATTCCAATTGTGCAGATCGATGCTCATGCTGTTGATCACAGGATTGTTTTGTCCAGGCTCAATTATTTACAGACCGCCACCATATAGCTGTAATATTGCTGAGTGAGGCGTAAAACAAAACTCACTCACTGTAAGTATTTCTGTAGACTTTAAGACAAGTTGATTCACCCTTTATGGTTGAAAAATCATCTGGTTCTAAGGATCAGTCGGGACACAAATTAAGTTGGACAAGTCTCTTTGGTCTCATGGAAATGTCGCATATTTTCACCAAACCAACTAGCATGATAGCAGGGTATGAAACTCCCAAAAATTTCAGCCAGACCACAGAGCTGGTTAGATGTAAAACTTGCCAGCCGTAACCAAAACTTACCTGCCCGCAAATAATTTAGGTTTGACAAGCAACGTAGTTTAGCAATTCATCATTTATTTTTACAAGTGAATTAATAATGATCTATTATCCTGAAATATGATGAATATCTTAATATATCCCGGTATCAGGGGTTTTCGACGATGTAAGACAAAACCGTAATTTTTATCTGTAATATCAGTTGATGTTTAATTTTACTAACCTTGGGTGATAAAGGATATATTCATCTATTTCACACAAAAATATTAAGTGTTTCCTACAAAAATAAGGTTGATGACATCGTATCGGGGAAACTGTTGCCATTCGCCACATCCATGGATTTTGTATGGGTTTTCGACGACGAGCCATACTTTTCGCTCCGCACTGCGAGGGAGTGTTGTGATAACGTGTCTTTCTATTTAAATATTGCCTGTCACCAGCAGACGAATGATCTTACTGAATTTTCGCTTGCTATTTTTTGTTATAAAGGCAATTGATTTTGCATCTGAAGTGGTATTAACGATCTCGGGTAAATAATATTGATGCTTGTTTGCTTTTTTAAACAACTTAACTTCCGGTTTTCAATTGTCAATACAACTTCTCACGACAGTGACTGGGCATCCGCCCTGCCGATGAAATTGCTTGTGCTCACCGATCGCGCACGTACTCCCCCGATATAGCGCCAGCAACGCAATCATCGAAAACAGCAGAATGTCGACTTCAGCTCGTGTTGGAATACATGTCTACATTTTAACCCGACCGTTGGGCAGGTGAATTTGAGATTCTCGCAGTCCGTGTTGAAAATAACCTGTCCTGGGCGGTCGGGCAGGGAGGTATTTCGAACGCTGATGATAGCTAGTGTTGGGTTTTGGTTGGAATCGTCATTGGTTAGAAAAAGGTTAACAATCAATTTACAATGAGAATAGTAATATACAATAGCATTCTTACACAGTTATCAATAAAGGTAATTAGTAATATTCTAGTGGTGTTTTCCTGTAAATCACATCTGTTTGGAACCATTGAAAAGCAACAATCAGTGTTTTGAATTCAATACAATGAACACATGTCATCGTATCCCAATTGCATAGATCGATGCTTATGCTGTTAATCACTGGATTGTCTGGTCCAGACTCGATTATTTTACAGACCGCCACCATATAGCTGGAATATTGCTGAGTGCAATAACAAACAAACAAAACAAACAAACAATAAAATGAAGTATTGTCTCTGAACAGTTGTATGCTCCCCAGGGAGTTGAGATTGAAAATCTGATGTGCCGTGAGATTGACGTCCAATGATTGAGGGAAACAAAGCGCTTTGAGCATGCATGTAAATGGGACGGACTATAGCGCTATATAAATACCCATATAATAATAATGTAATAATGATAACAGTGATATTATTTACAATATATTCCTGGTTGACTGTTGGGATAACTGAAAAAATCACCTGTAAAATGACTCACTATGAGTAACCAAAGTCTTTAATCACAAATACAAGGATTGGTGGCCCAGTCGTATGAAGCACAACAAATCATTGTGCAGAGTTGCCTCCCTTATCAGAAGCCGATGATTTTGAGTTTGAATCCAGATCCCCAGTGATTCTGTTTCTAGTTTTCTCAGCACCATGCCTTGTGTTTCAACAAATGTTTCAACATCTGAAACCAGCATTACTTTGGGTTTTCCTCCCACATTAAGCTGACACACTGTGACATATCTGGAATACTGTTAACAGCAGCATAAAACACCCACCCACTCAAGGATTGAAGATACGAAAGTTGTAGAGTCATGAATGAGGCCTGGCGATCAGGCAGTTTACCACAGCATGTGAATCTCATATGCATGTACAAGATATGACTGGAGCACTGATTGCTGGTTGCCTGCATGACATTGATGGAATGAGACAGATGTTTCAAATTCTGCTGGTTTTAATTACTAGTAATAGTTAAGACCTAAGTTATACCTTGGAGCAATAAATCAGGGTTTGGGAACACTTTTTACAACAAATTTGTATTTTTCAAATCTTTATTAAACTTACATATACTAGTAATGCATACTGATTTTTATCCACAAAATGGTAATCAGGAACATCACCACTAATAATTTCTCAACAGCTTTGATTCTCAACAGATAAGTATTCTCAGATTTATTCTTAATTTATGAGGGGCGGTGGGGTAGCCTAGTGGTTAAAGCGTTGGCTCATCACGCCGAAGACCCGGGTTCGAATCCCCACATGGGTACATTGTGTGAAGCCCATTTCTGGTGTCCCCTGCCGTGATGTTGCTGGAATATTGCTAAAAGTGGTGTAAAACTAAACTCAGTCAGTCAGTCTTAATTTATGAATTTCTGCCATCACGATGTGACTGAAATATTGCTGATGTGGCGTAAAATTTTAAATCACTTACTCAATAAATTCTCTTTATTTTTAACATGTCTAAACAGTAAGATAATATATTTGATGCTTTTATAAGAGCAATACCTTCTTTGATTGATGTAGGTAAGTATGAAGAGGTCCAGTCTTGTATGAAGTAATGTGACATGGTGTTTATATTCCAGGGTACGGAGGATCCAGTCTGCTGTATATGTGCCTCGGACAAAACCCTGTTTGTTGTGAGTACTAACCATGATAATACTTTCCAATATTTATCAGTAATTAAGGATTTGAAAAAATATGACCGTAAATAGTTGTTGGGTTATTTCTATACATTTATCTTACCTCACACATAAATGTCGCTTTCTGATTGGCTGAGCGCTCTTCTATTATTTTCAATGTACCCCGCTTACAAGCGATTAACATTTCAATGTACGCCGCTGTCAATGGCAACTCATTTGGTACTTTGTGGTAGTAATTCTTTATCTCTAATAGCATTGAATCACGTATGATGTTTGGAAATTACCGATGTTTTGCGAATGCTAATTGATGAAAGGGAGATAACTCTAAATCTGTTTTACTGGTTAGCAAAATCTAGCGATGGCTACCAAAAAATTGTACCAGTGCTTCAAACAATTCAAAATTAACATTAAGGTGTTCGGTAAGATAAATACGTTGTTCACTGGTCCCTCGGGGCCCATGGGTTGATGTACCCTCGATGTTTGTTTATGTTCCCCTCGCCCTTCGGGCTCAGGAAACATAAACAAACATCAAGGATACATCAACCCATGCCCCCCCTCGTGACCAGTGAACAACTTATAATGTAACAGGACTGTGTCTGAGATACATATGAGGAAAGATACTTTTGTGATTGTGAAATACTGCGATTAGGACCCCATCTGCGGGGTTTGGCTTATGTACAAAACATACCATTTTGATACCGATTTTAAGGGTTGAGTTAGGGGATTGGCTTATCTATAAGATCGGTTTATCTACGGTAATATATATTTCATCCCAGGTAAACTCACTCACTCACTCATCCCAGGTGGTGATGATTCCGGGCCCAGGCATTGTTATGCAAAGTGATCCTCGTGTTTAGACAGTTGTAACTCCTATACTTTATCATTTACTGTGTGGAATGGGGCTCTTGAGTATGGGTCTGGGTTCACACCACACACTAGTTATGTTGAAAGAGGAGAGAGTTATTGTCTGTTACCAACAAACTACAGCACATCAGAATACAGCTGCTCGGATAGTCTCCAGCTGCAGGAAGTAATGCGACCATATCACCCCATGTTACATGACTTAACTGGCTGCCCATCCGACAGAAATCAGCTATAAGATCTTGTGTCATGTGTATCGATGCCTGTCTGAAGATGCTCCACAATATCTGTGTGATTTGATCACAGAGTACAAAACGATCACCAGAAAACAAACTCCTGTTGCAGTTCCAACTGTCAAATCTGTGAACTATGGACAACGTTCCTTTGCTTTCAGTGTGGCAATGGGGAGCACTCTCCCAGTCAATCTCAGACAGTCTTCATCTCTTGCCTCCTTCCAACCTGGGACCTTCACACCACACTCTTAATACTAGTTATGTCTTGGAATATGATCAAGGATCCAAATTTAACAGACTTGAAAAGAGGAGGGAGAGTTATTGTGAGTGGAAAGCAGTGAACCAAGTATGAATTAGGAGATATACATTATGTGTTGGCCAATTGCCAGGTATTATTGAGTTTTTAAAGACAGGAATTCATTTGGAACCAACGGTGTTAGTCATTCATTTAAATGATGTCACCACCGCTGAATACGAGAAAATACAATTGTGTGCGATATTTGTACGTATTAATACGTAATATAGTCTTGCAATTTCAGGGAATCGAATACCATTCGCTCATGTATTTCAACCAATCAAATTAAAGAACAGTGACTTTTGGGTTACAATTAGCAAGATTCCAATGTAGTAAGCATGATTGATATAATGGTTGTTTCTAATAGTGTAATGTTTAAGAGAAGTTTTCTGTTATAATAATATGACTCCAAGTGTGACTGAGACAGTTGTTATTCTGTCATATGACTTGTAGAAGGCCCAGCCTCTGAGGCATGTAACTAAGAAAATATTTAACTTTACTTATCAGATGCAAGAAATACACCTGTAACTGTGTTACAACTTTGATACTGAATGTTTGAGATGTGTCAGCAGGTTTGTCATCTTGAACTTTGTGTTGCCAGGGGAGGGAATCTGGGACGCTGAACCGCTACTCCATGCCGATGCTGGCACTCACACACAAGTACGCCTTGAACTGCCGACCCCACCAGCTGGCCCTCAACTGCACCTCCAGGTTAGTAGGTTCATGTCATCCCCGGGGGAATTCTGGTTTGGAATATATCATCAGTATAGCTGTATATACTTTTTTGTATTACCGGTCGACTTTATGGATCAGAGAGGAAGACCCAGTGACTTGCTTGATGAAGTACTAACATTGTGGATGATTGCTCATAATATCAATCACTGGTTTATCTGATCAGGATTAGATGATTTGCAGGCCACCGTCATATAGCTAGAATAGATAGCTAGATTTATTACTCACCCATTGAAGATATCACTGTTTAATAATTTTACAATGTTATTACACTGTTTAAAATTTTACAATGTTATTACACATTGTGTAATAACATCATGGTGCCGTACGTATGACGTAAAACTGGTTTACAGTTATGACGTCACAATGCTAATACCTCTGTCACAATAGTATTAGACCTTGCTTGACTTGTGGAAAGCTCAGAGTCATCACACTTGTTGAATTCTTAGGAAAGAATTACTTTGCTCGATATTATTTTGCTAATGTTGGGTGAGTAATAAATAAAATACTAAACTATGTCCCATGTAATACCATATGTATGAAACTTGTGAATGGTATTGGTATCTAACCCGCTTTCGCTCGTTAGATACCAAACCATTCACTCGTTTCATACATATGGTATTACACGGGACATCGTTTAGTATTCTCTATATAGTCTCATATTTCTTGCATCAAAAGAAGCTATTGTTATTATTATTGTTGGCCTCTATTATTGTTGGCAATAACATTGTGGGTATTTATCTTAACAAAAGGGAGATACATGTATATTACCCTGGATAATCAAGATACCCTAAATACTAAAAATAACACCTTCAGAACTACTTCCTATATCCTGACTATGTGTCACGCTGAGAGTTATTCCTTGTTGCTCCTGCAGTCGGCTTGCCATCATCGACATTGCTGGTGTGCTGACCTTCTTTGACCCAGACACACGGGTGACGGATGAAGATGGGCGGGAAGTTGTTGGAGAACATCTCAAGTTTGAGAGGAAGGATGTTTGGGACATGAGATGGGCAGAGGTGATGTCTTTACTGGAGTGTTCCATAGCATCTGTATTAATAGTATCTTAAATATGTCTAATCATTCCATTTCAAAGGACACTTTGAAAAAACATCAATCATTTCATGGGTATATTGTTTCAATCATTTTTCAGAGTTATACTTAGAGGGAGTAACCATTTGATTTTGAGGAAGGATGATGAGATGATGTGGGTTTGAGAACACCATGTCTTTCCGTTTTGTGTTTAGGAGTTAAGTTACTTTTGATAACATAAACAGGTGCTCAGTTGTTTCCATTTATGTCATCTGTTAAACAAACAACTGTGTTTTATGTAAGATATACTGATCATCATTATGTAAGATATACTGATCATCATTATGTAAGATATACTGATCATCATTATGTAAGATATACTGATCATCATTATGTAAGATATACTGATCATCATTATGTAAGATATACTGATCATCATTATGTAAGATATACTGATCATCATTATGTAAGATATACTGATCATCATTATGTAAGATATACTGATCATCATTATGTAAGATATACTGATCACTGATCATCATTATGTAAGATATACTGATCATCATTATGTAAGATATACTGATCATCATTATGTAAGATATACTGATCATCATTATGTAAGATACACTGATCACCATTATGTAAGATACACTGATCATCATTATGTAAGATATACTGTTCATCATTATGTAAGATATACTGATCATCATTATGTAAGATATACTGATCATCATTATGTAAGATATCATTATGTAAGATATACTGATCATCATTATGTAAGATATACTGATCATCATTATGTAAGATATACTGATCATCATTATGTAAGATATACTGATCATCATTATGTAAGATATACTGATCATGATCATCATATATGATCAATTATTATAAGATATACTGATCATCATTATGTAAGATATACTGATCACTGATCATCATTATGTTAGATATACTGATCATCATTATGTAAGATACACTGATCATCATTATGTAAGATATACTGATCATCATTATGTAAGATACACTGATCATCATTATGTAAGATATACTGATCATCATTATGTAAGATATACTGATCATCATCTTGTCATGTCCAGGACAACTCCGAGCTGTTTTCTATGATGGAGAAGACAAGGATGTACATCTTCAGGAACCTGGACCCAGAAGTGAGTACCCTACTGTTGGATACCAAGAGTTAGAAAGTTTAAATATTGTTGTTGTTAGGATGTCCAAAGGTCTCTTTACAGAGTCTTTACATCTTGTTGGTTATATCAAACTTTCCAGTTGAAAAAGGAAGGGCTTAATGTGCCTTGTAATGTACTAGACACTCTTTATAACAACCCATTGTCACACAATGACATCAAGATTCAGTGAAATGTAAAAACGTGCACAATCATGAGTGTAGGGATCCCACTGAATCTGAGCAAGAAAACAGAAATACAATCTTTCATTCGTAACTACTCATCCCTTCCTGTAACCTGAAAGAAGACTCGTACCCCTCTTGTAGCCATTTTACTGTACTTGACTCTGCCTGTGCGCAAAAGCGCAGAGAGAAAGAAATAGTCTAGTTGCCGAACAATTTTCAAGGGCATGTAACTCTAGTTTACTTGGAAAACAAACATGGCACCCACGCCAAGGAAATTACCTAAAAGGGTATGTTTAACATGCTTAAATACTTTCCTACGCCATAATGTTATTATATCCTGGTTATAAAAATTCAGGAAACCCAGGAGGACTATGCAATAATTAAAATGTACTTGAAGTGTCTGGGAAAATTTATGCAAGCCGAAATGAAAATTATTTCAACTAACTATTTTGACCCAATTTCTTCTCTACATACACACATTCTGATTGGCTGGGGGAATATTTCTCTCGGACATGGCTATGAGAGGGGAACGAGTCTTCTTTCAGGTTACGGAAAGGGACGAGTAGTTACGAATGACAATCTTTGTGAAACATCAACTTTAAGAAAAGGAGATAACTCAGTAGTCATTCAAAGTGCATACCACTAGGAAATACAACTTAACACATTGCCATTTTTGTGACTGCGTTGATATTGATTCCAGGAGCCCATCTTGTGCAGTGGCTACATTTGCCAGTTCAATGACCTCCAGATCAAATCAGTGCTGCTCGATGAGATCATGAAGGACCCTGAGAACCCCACCAAGGAGGAAATTGTTGAGATGGAGATCAAGGTAGGAAGACAGCTTGTGGACGTGCTGAAGATGCTAATTTACACTCAGTTGGGTAGCACTGCTGATAGTTAGTTGTGGCTAATGTATTTCCTCCATCTGTTTCCCATTTCACTTCTGGGTCTACAGATCGATCTGTTAGAGATGTTTTCACTGCAGGATTTTCAACACTTATCTGCATCTTATACCACAATTCACTGTTGTAGGGTTGGAATCGTTTGGCTAGCCGTAAATCTGTGACTGAAACCACTATACATATTGATCACAGCAATGTTAACCCGAACACTCATTGACTCTGGTGCCATTCTCACTGCCTTTCAAAATACTTGTAACAAAATTTTCAGTCATTTTGAATCACATGGTTGATATTTCTGAAAGATTCTGTAAGTGAAAGTGAGCCAGTATGTATGAATGATGTTGTTTGCAGTCACTCCGAGACACCCGTGACTTGCTGGACAAAGTGGGCATAGCTGATGCACAGCAGTTTATAGAAGACAATCCTCATCCCAGGCTGTGGTAGGTAGCAGCTAATGCCCATCTGTAGGGACATGTTTGTACTAGGTGCAAGTGTGCAGAGTTATGTCCCTTATGACTCTTCATTTGCAATGGGTGGCAGGATCTGTACAAAATCTTGTCCTAGTTTCATTCATTAATCCAACAGCTTTCCTTTAATCAGGTTTTTGAATTTTGATATCTTTTTGCTGTTAATGATGGGCGTATTATTATTTAATGAAATGATTATACTCTATATTATTCATTGGGTTTTTTTTCTGATAAAATTTACAAAATCTTGGTCTTCCCAATAACAATTTGTTGCACATTTAGCCAGTTTGATTTTGGAATGACGTCACAGAAGACCATTTTAGGTTTTACGAACAATTGATGTGACAACCTGTTGCAATGGACTATTTCCAGACAGTTGAACATTTGGCATAAACTAGCCAATCAGCATGAAGCAAACAATATGACATCACTTTCTTCATAATGATGTTAGGACCTACTGTAATAAACAAGTTGTTCATCCATATATTGTTATCCTTCCTTACTACTCCAACTTCTAAATGCCTCTCAAAGAAGTTAATGTGAGAAATACTGATATGAGGAATATTCCAAAAATTCTTTTCCCAGGCGGCTGTTGGCAGAGAGTTCTCTGGAGCAGCTCAACCTGAAGGTGGCGGAGACAGCATTTGTCAAGTGTAAGGACTTCCAGGGTATCGAGTTTGTCAAGCGACTGGGAAACCTACAGGTAGCTTCTTTCAGTCCTATATATCTTCCGAATTCAAAAACTGTTCTGTCGAGGACATAAATATGTTATGACAGTACTACAATGTATTTGCGTTTTATTAAATGACAGATTATCGAACACTGTTTAACCTGGCTCAGACTTGATTTTATTGTCACAGCATACTTCAAGTCTCTACAAATGCTGCCAATGTCATGATTTGTAGTAGGTCAAAAACACTTACATCTGCCTGCCTATGTCCAGCAGAGTCAGTTTCAGTAAATGTTTGTCTGAACCTACTCTTATATGTTCGTCCTGTTTAACCACTATAACGTTTAGTAGACATGTGGGGGTGGGGTAGCCTAGTGGTTAAAGCGTTGGCTCGCCACGCCAAGACCTGGGTTCGAATCCCCACATGGGTACCATGTGTGAAGCCCATTTCTGGTGTCCCCATGCATGATGTTGCTGGAATATTGCTAAAGCGGCGTAAAACCAAACTCAGTCAGTCAGTCAGTTAGTAGACATGAGGTTTGGACATGGAGCTAAAGTTGAAGACCAGAGAATTGACCAGCATACATTTTCCTTTCAGAACGAAACAATGAAGCAGGCTGAGGTAGCAGCCTATTTCCGACGCTTTGAGGAAGCTGAGAAAATATATGTCGAGATGGACAGAAGGTAGTGTGAAAGTCATTTACTATCAAGCAATTAACAAAATTGATCATATCTTTATTGTTATGATATGAGGGCATGGGTGGCTTAGTGATCTAAGGAGCTGTGTCTTAGTATATAGGGTGTGACTGGTTGTTTGTTCTAGATGTCTGTCTCCACAGATTATCAACATTGGTTTGTCAGTACCATACCCACACTCCGGAGCAGTGATGACTTAGCATAACATCACTGCCACAGGCTAATTTGCATATCACGTGACAGGACTTTTCTCTTGTTTGTTTAACAAGCGTGCATTTTCATAATAAGAAGAGACTGGTCTTAGGCAATCTTTTGGGTGCGCTCTTCACAATGTTTTACATTGTTACCTATATATTCTTCCGAAACTGCGACAGTAACATTTATGACAGTACATATTTAGATATCAAACTGGATTCATCGTTTGCTCTCTGTTGGCTTCGATGACAGCACGTGGAACCGTACAACATATGTAAACAAAGGATCGCTACGCAAATCGAAATAGTGTTACATGTTCTAGGATATTTTCTCAGTGAAACTAAATCATTCTATCAAAGATGTTTAATTAGATGTGAAGACTCGTAAGAAATAAAAGAGTTAAGAAATATGTCGATTATGTTGAATGGACGGTGCAAGATGTGACGAATCGTCACATCTTTCTGGCCTGTGGCAGAGGTACTATGCTGGCTTGCCGCATGGAACTCTGGGTAGGAGATTGTACCATACCTTCCTTGTGGGTTTCAGGATAGTCATGCATGTAAGACCTGTATCTTTGTCAGATTTCCTTACACATTCACCTGATGTTGCTTTTATGGTAGCTGAAATATTGTCAGAAGCATCACTGACTCACACCTCACAGTGATACACAATTCACTATACAGACTATAAAGTGGTTGCTATCCATTAGGGTTTCATTTCCCTTTGTTTTTCTCAATGTCGGTCACAGACCTGAGCTCACTATTGTTGTGGTGTGTTACCTCCTTTATATGTAAACCGCCTCCGTGGTGTAGTGGTTAGAGCGTCCGCCCGGAGAGCGGAAGGTCGTGGGTTCTATCCCCGGCCGTTACGTACCAAAGGTCGTTAAAATATGGTACTTGTTAGTCTCTGCCTGGCGCTCGGCATTAATGGTTACAACAAGGACTGGTCGGCTCGGAGTCCGCATAATTTGTCTGAGTGGGGTGTTCATGCTTCACTGCGGCGTGGTATCTCAGTGGGCTCGCACTATAAAACCAGCTTAAGTCTGGGCTAGTACAAGCAGCCGCACATACACATACACACACATGCACGTCGTCATATGAGTGAAATATTCTCAAGTACGACGTTAAACCCAATTTCACCTCACCTTTATATGTAATTCAAAACAGTTGGTAATTGTCATGGGAATAATTATTTGTTTATACTAGTCCACAATATCAGATTACCTTCTGGTTAATATTTACAGTAATAGTCCTCATTGTCAATAGTTAAGACGAATCTTACGGGTCTTGAATTAACCAGTGCATGTCAATTTTATACCCAGATTTTTCAAGCATTCATCAGCTTGAGAGAGTCAGCCTTGAGTAAACCCCACTATAGTTTAGACATGTTTGCTTATTGTTCCCTGATGCCACATGGACTGGGGGACTATGTATTCAGCAGTGTCCGTATGTCTGTACGTACATCCTGTTTCTTGTGAACTCGATATCTCATGCACTGTTGTACCCAATGTCTTCAAATTTGGTGACAGCTTACATTTGGGGATTATGCAGACACCAGTCGATTTGGGTGACCTTGACCTTATCTTCAATGTCACCGTGACACTTTGACGATTTTTCAAACTTATGTAAACGCGATAACTCATAAAACATTGCACCCAATTTTATCCTCTGAGCTGAAGAATATATTGTCATTTCTTACAAATTTGATGTCAGGAATTAACATAAATGGTATCAGGGTAGGGTAGGGTAATGGGGTACCCAGGTAGAAAATTTGGACCCGTCCCAGCCGTAACACACACTGATACTGACAGTGGATATGTGCATCTGCATCTATACATTCAAATCTACTATATTCCTGAAATATCTTCAGAGTTAGCAGAAGATTCTGAGAAGTGACCATGATTTAAAACTACATTACACTAAACGTAATCTTCTATGTGACCAAAAGATAAAAACTAGTTAATATTTTATATTTCATTCTTCTTTAGCGGAGGGGGACATTACCATGTTAGTGGCAAACACTTGTTGTAGCTGGATGCTAAATAGTTCACTCAGCATCCAGTTCCTGTGCCTGATGCTGAGGACTAGAACATGTCATTAGGACATTACTACATTTCATTGAAAATACCATGTGGCTGGTTTGCTATAGCATGTTGTTGGAGGTGTTGATGAGAGTTGTGACTGGTGTTGGACAGAGACCTGGCAGTGAACCTGCGTAAGAAGCTAGGTGACTGGTATGCTATAGCATGTTGTTGGAGGTGTTGATGAGAGTTGTGACTGGTGTTGGACAGAGACCTGACAGTGAACCTGCGTAAGAAGCTAGGTGACTGGTATGCTATAGCATGTTGTTGGAGGTGTTGATGAGAGTTGTGACTGGTGTTGGACAGAGACCTGGCAGTGAACCTGTGTAAGAAGCTGGGTGACTGGTTTGCTATAGCATGTTGTTGGAGGTGTTGATGAGAGTTGTGACTGGTGTTGGACAGAGACCTGGCAGTGAACCTGCGTAAGAAGCTAGGTGACTGGTATGCTATAGCATGTTGTTGGAGGTGTTGATGAGAGTTGTGACTGGTGTTGGACAGAGACCTGGCAGTGAACCTGTGTAAGAAGCTAGGTGACTGGTATGCTATAGCATGTTGTTGGAGGTGTTGATGAGAGTTGTGACTGGTGTTGGACAGAGACCTGGCAGTGAACCTGCGTAAGAAGCTAGGTGACTGGTATGCTATAGCATGTTGTTGGAGGTGTTGATGAGAGTTGTGACTGGTGTTGGACAGAGACCTGGCAGTGAACCTGCGTAAAAGCTGGTGACTGGTATGCTATAGCATGTTATTGGAGGTGTTGATGAGAGTTGTGACTGGTGTTGGACAGAGACCTGGCAGTGAACCTGCGTAAGAAGCTGGGTGACTGGTATGCTATAGCATGTTATTGGAGGTGTTGATGAGAGTTGTGACTGGTGTTGGACAGAGACCTGGCAGTGAACCTGTGTAAGAAGCTGGGTGACTGGTTTGCTATAGCATGTTGTTGGAGGTGTTGATGAGAGTTGTGACTGGTGTTGGACAGAGACCTGGCAGTGAACCTGTGTAAGAAGCTGGGTGACTGGTTTGCTGACTGGTATGCTATAGCATGTTGTTGGAGGTGTTGATGATGAGAGTTGTGACTGGTGTTGGACAGAGACCTGGCAGTGAACCCGCGTAAGAAGCTGGGTGACTGGTTTGCTGTAGACGTATTGTTGGAGGTGTTGATGAGAGTTGTGACTGGTGTTGGACAGAGACCTGGCAGTGAACCTGCGTTAGAAGCTGGGTGACTGGTATGCTATAGCATGTTGTTGGAGGTGTTGATGAGAGTTGTGACTGGTGTTGGACAGAGACCTGACAGTGAACCTGCGTAAGAAGCTAGGTGACTGGTATGCTATAGCATGTTGTTGGAGGTGTTGATGAGAGTTGTGACTGGTGTTGGACAGAGACCTGGCAGTGAACCTGCGGAAGAAGCTGGGTGACTGGTTTGCTGTAGCATATGTTGTTGGAGGTGTTGATGAGAGTTGTGACTGGTGTTGGACAGAGACCTGGCAGTGAACCTGCGTAAGAAGCTGGGTGACTGGTTTGCTATAGCATGTTGTTGGAGGTGTTGATGAGAGTTGTGACTGGTGTTGGACAGAGACCTGGCAGTGAACCTGCGGAAGAAGCTGGGTGACTGGTTCCGGGTGGTACAGCTGCTGAAGACCGGGTCTGGAGGGGATGATCTACAGCTGGAGGAGGCCTGGAACGCTATAGGGGACTACTACGCTGACAGGCAGAAATGGTAGGTTGAATCACACGTTCAGTTACTGTGTTATAGGGATTTCCCTGCTCAATATTTTAAAACAGCTTTTAGCCCAGGTGCATCTGATAATGTTTTGTCAGATCTCAATGGGGACAGATTTTCTTGGTAAACACTTTGAATGCAGTGATAAATAGTGTATATCATAAGGATCATAATTAGACAAAATGTAAAAACCAGTATTAAGAATTGGTATTTGATCTAAGGGACAGTTATGGCCCTTGCCTTAAGTATTTGATAATGGTGCACTTTATATCCAAATGAGACCAAAAAAAATTTAAAAGCACCATGGATATGAGGATGAAGTTTTGCATACAATATTGCCTTTAAAACAGATGTAAACATGAGAACAGTCTACACGTTACTGGCCCTTGTTTTATCTTTTGGTTGGCCATGATTTATTATGTTTTTTGTTGAAAAGAATTCTTGGCTTAAATGCCAAAAGTTGGAGACAAAATAGGAAAATTGCTGCTTTGTGGTTGAGGTTATTTATTTCAATAAATATTTATGATAATCAAAGATTGCATTTTGATGTATTTTCTTTTACCTCTGTATTATTATGTATATGTTCACACCTGTAAAACAGGAAAGGAACTGGCTTGAAACTGGAATACAGAAAAGTGTATGGTTAACTTCAGTTTCTTATTGGAAAGTGATGGGTCCAAATCATTTGATGCTTCATACAAGATTTCCAGTCAGTGTTTACCCAGCTGATTGTGGAAAGTTGGTTACATATCTGTAGATAGTGACAGTAGATTGGTGTGTGATTCCAGGCAGCAGGCAGTAACGTACTATGTGCAGGGACGCAACCAGGAGCGTCTGTCGGAGTGTTACTACATGCTGGAGGACTACTCAGGGCTGGAGAAGATGGTGCAGGCTCTGCCAGAGAACCACAAGCTGTTACCGGTATGTGGTCACACACATGTCTTCTTCAGTTCATAACTATAGTACATCGCCTCCGTGGTGTAGTGGTTAGAGCGTCCGCCCGGAGAGCGGAAGGTCGCGGGTTTGATCCCCGACCGCATCATACCAAAAGACGTTAAAATATGGTACTTGTTGGTCCCTGCCTGGCTCTCGGCATTAATGGGTACAAGGACTGGCCGGCTCGGAGTCAGTATAATGTGTCTGAGTGGGGTATTCATGCTTCTCTGCGGCATGGTATCTCAGTGGGCTAGCACTATAAAACCAGCTTAAGTCTGGGCTAGTACAAACTGCTGCACATACACATACACATACACATGCATGCACGTCATCATATGAGTGAAATATTCTCCAGCGCAACGTTAAACCCAATTTCACCTCACCTCACAACTATCGTAGAATACCACAGGAATTATGTTTTCCGCCAAGTCTAAAAAACATTTCAGTGGCTCTGCTCCCCACATGGTTGTTTGGATGGAATAGAACCCAAGAACCTATGCTTGTTATGATAGACCTCAATTATGAGGACTTGGTGGTCACCATGTTTTGACCTGGATGGTAAAGTGGCTTGTTACAATTACCATGCTTTCAACAATTTCATTGTTTTAATGGCTGCCACAATACAACAAGAGTACTGCTAAATATGGCATGTAAGCACCTACGTCTTATCCCACTGTTTAGGTTATTTATTTTGCTTCAAGAAGACATATTTATACGACTGTATGCCTGTATCGTGTTTGTTGTGTTGCCAGGATATTGCCGGGATGTTTGTCAGTGTGGGCATGTGCAAGCAAGCTGTGGAAGCCTATATAAGGGTAAGATAGTAGTATTTAATCACTGATACGCATTGTTATGGAAGACAGGCTTACTTTTGTTAAACTCTAATTTTAATCCTATGGTCCAGAACTGCTCAATTTCTAAATTTGACAGATCACACAAGATTATTTGTACACATTGTTTTCCATGTGTAGGTAAAACCGCATTGTATTATTTGATTGAACAAATTACTGTTTTGGAAAATATGTATTAGAACATGTTTCCCTAGTGTTAAGAGTTTGCTATTTAAAAACATATGGCAATAATATGTTTAATGATAAGTTCCATCTAGTCTGAGCAGTTTCCAAGCCTAGGCTAACCTAACTGTACAATGCTCCCAAAGAAATTATCCAGATTACCAGTTGAATTTATCTTGATTAATCTATGATTGTGTATAAACATGCTTCATAACAATTGTCTGTGGTAGATTATGAGTTACCTCCCTTTCCTTATGGGAATCTCTAGTCAATGAAGATTGACTAGTTGTTCTTGTCTGGTGCTAGTTAAAACAATTAAGACATTGTTGTTTTAATTTTCAATTCTTGTAATCTGTCAATGACAAAACCTCTCACACCCATTTGATATATGAAGACATCATAGGCCTTTCTGAAACTGATGACAAATTCAGTGTTTTATGTGTCTCATCATGATACATAGGTAAGCTAGTACAGGTATTCATCCTGATTACAGTGTAACCGAGTGAAGGCCGCCATTGACAGCTGTGTCCATTTGAACCAGTGGAACACAGCTATAGACTTAGCCAAGAGTCACAACGTACGAGAGATCGACTCTCTCCTGGCTAAGTACGCTAGCCATCTATTAGAGAAGAACAAGATCATCAATGCTATTGAGTTGTACCGCAAAGCTGGACACTACTTCGATGCTGCTAAACTTCTCTTTAAGGTGAGTGGTCAGTGTGCATGGTCTGTGAAAGTTTAAATCCCTGATTTGGGGACAGTGATAGAGTTCAGATCACAGATAATGTTTCAATTCTTTGGGAGTAAAAGACATTTGTTGGTGGCATTCAGATGTAACAGACATTTGTCATAGTTATTCAGATTTTAAAAAAATCATGTTTGTATTTGAATTTTGCTACCACGCAGCATATGGTTTTCAGCCTCCAGAGATGTCAACCATTACAGTTTAGGTGGAATCATTATTATATTTTTAACCAAATTCAAATGTTATTATTATACATTGGGTGGTGGGGTAGCCTAGTGGTTAAAGCGTCGGCTCTTCACGCTGAAGACCCAGGTTCGATTCCCCACATGGGTACAATATGTGAAGCCCATTTCTGGTGTTCCCCGTCGTGATAGTGCTGGAATATTGCTAAAAACCTTGTAAAACCATGCTCACTCACTCACTATTATTATGCATTTAAACACATTGCATATTTTGTGAAAAGAATAACAGCAGAAATTTCGAACAATTATTGACTTTGCTGCGGGCATTGTCACATGCATGCAGCCAATTGATACTCACTTTTCCTAGCATATAATGAGGATGATAAACGCTTTCTGAATTGTCTGTCAATGAAATGCTGATCAGTAGATGCAATACAGACAATGATGCTGATGGTGATGAATAAACTATTTCCTAAATGTTTCTAATTGCCTTAATGTGGGGTTGGCATCTCTGGGTGTGCCGTGCAGCATGCACAAATATGTTGTCATTATCACTCAGATAGCAGACGAGCAGATGAAGCAGGGGAGCAAGCCTCTGTATCTGAAGAAGCTGTATGTCCTGGGAGGCCTGCTCATCGAGCAGTACCATGAGATGATGAAACTCACATCCAGGAATAAAGGCAAGAATGCCGGCAAGAAAGCTGTAGAGGTGAATATTATGAGATGTGCAAGACAATTTATCCCTAAACTATTAAGATGAGTAGTGAGATGTAAATAGTGCTTCATTTGTGAAAACTTATGTTATGCGTTGAAAAGATGCACGCCTTTTATGGACATAGCTACATTAAAGTATTGTCTGTAGTTTGTTAGGAATTGCACTGATTGCACAGAAATCCACATTAAAATGCAGTCAGCACAGAAACATAATATGTCTTGGTGGCCTGTAAATAATTAACTGAAATAACCAGTTACATTATTTACTGCTAATGTAATATAGCTGGAAGATATCTGACTGCAAATTGCCCCACCCCCACCCTCCCTCCCAATGAAATAACAAAACCAGTTAAGATGTAGGGGGTAAGGATACTGTATCAGCAAATCTTTAGGAGCCCCAGCCATTTCCTATTATGAACTCTGCTCCCACTATGAAACATGAATTTCTGAATCTCATAGTAAAGCCCCTCTGTGTGAATACATGTCAGGCTACCTCAGCTCTCGCTGGATTCCTGGAAGAGGACTCAGCAGCTATGTCCGACACAAAGCTGATAGACAGTGCCTGGCGGGGAGCCGAGGCCTACCACTTCTACATCATGGCTCAGAGGCAGTTGCATGAAGGTAGGGTGGGAAACTGAGGAACTAGAGACACACCTATGTAAATAATGTAGGTTATGTCAATGTGTAATGCCATGATTGTGCATTCTGTTGGCTGTGTGGATGAGTAATTCTATGATTGTGTATGCTGTAGGATAGACGGCGAGAGTTACCTGCTCTTGGCTGTAGGGGGTCGGTGGGGCCCTGTAGGGGTGGTCTCACAAGACAAAAACGAGTTTTTGTTTTGTAAATATTTTATCAAAAAATATAGTTACAACTGTCGTAGGATTTAAAATGGACATTTAAATGCTTATATGTACCCCAAGGAGGACTTTCTTCAAAGAATTCATAACCTCTACAGGTTTGTATAAATTGTGTATGCTGTAGGCTGTGTTGATGAGTAGTTCTACGATTGTGTATGGTGTAGGCTATATGGATGAGTAATTCTACGATTGTGTATGCTGTAGGCTGTGTTGAGGAATAATTCTCTGATAGTGTATGCTGTTGGCTATGTGGATGAATAATTCTATGATTGTGTATGCTGTTGGCTGTGTGGATGAGTAATTCTACGATTGTGTATGCTGTTGGCTGTGTGGATGAGTAATTCTACGATTGTGTATGCTGTTGGCGGTGTTGATGAGTAATTCTACAATTGTGTATGGTGTAGGCTATGTGGATGAGTAATTCTACAATTGTGTATGCTGTAGGATATATGGATGAGTAATTCTACGATTGTGTATGCTGCAGAGATGCCAACCCTTACGCTTTAGGCGTAATTATTACGATTTTGACCAGTAAATGACGGCATTACACTTAATCTGCGAAAATTACACTTTTCTACTCGTTTTACGAAAATCAATAAAGTTGGTAAAATTTCACAGGAAAGTGTTTCGTAACGCACAGGTGCAGGGGTGCAGAAATGGCCTTGCATCGATAGGAATCGCTTACTCTTAGCATCGCACTCATTCCAATAAACTTGCAAGGAATTAAAGTATTTTGAATAACATGACCAACAATTTTCAATGTATGGAGCTTCATAAGGATTGGTCACATGTGTTTCTGTCTAGAATCGTCCTTTCGTTAAAACATGTACCATGTTGAAGCGATCGGCAGACAAGTATTACACTTTTTAGGTCCAAATTACACTTTTTGACCTCTAGTATTACACTTAGGCCCAAAATAGTGTTGGCATCTCTGATGTTGTTGGCTGTGTTGATGAGTAATTCTACAATTGTGTATGTTGTTGGCTGTGTTGAGAAGTAATTCTACGATTGTGTATGCTGTTGGCTGTGTTGAGAAGTAATTGTACAATTGTGTATGCTGTTGGCTGTGTTGAGAAGTAATTGTACAATTGTGTATGCTGTTGGCTGTGTTGAGAAGTAATTCTACAATTGTGTATGCTGTTGGCTGTGTTGAGAAGTAATTCTACAATTGTGTATGCTGTTGGCTGTGTTGAGAAGTAATTCACAATAAGAAGTTCTACAATTGTGTATGCTGTTGGCTGTGTTGAGAAGTAATTCTACAATTGTGTATGCTGTTGGCTGTGTTGAGAAGTAATTCTACAATTGTGTATGCTGTTGGCTGTGTTGAGAAGTAATTGTGTATGCTGTACACATTGTGTATGCTGTTGGCTGTGTTGAGAAGTAATTCTACAATTGTGTATGCTGTTGGCTGTGTTGAGAAGTAATTCTACAATTGTGTATGCTGTTGGCTGTGTTGAGAAGTAATTGTACAATTGTGTATGCTGTTGGCTGTGTTGAGAAGTAATTCTACGATTGTGTATGCTGTTGGCTGTGTTGAGAAGTAATTGTACAATTGTGTATGCTGTTGGCTGTGTTGAGAAGTAATTCTACAATTGTGTATGCTGTTGGCTGTGTTGAGAAGTAATTGTACAATTGTGTATGCTGTTGGCTGTGTTGAGAAGTAATTCTACAATTGTGTATGCTGTTGGCTGTGTTGAGAAGTAATTCTACAATTGTGTATGCTGTTGGCTGTGTTGAGAAGTAATTCTACAATTGTGTATGCTGTTGGCTGTGTTGAGAAGTAATTCTACTATTGTGTATGGTGTAGGCTATGTGGATGAGTAATGCCATGATTGTTTATTGTAGGCTATGTGGATGAGTAATGCCATGATTGTTTATTGGAGGCTATGTAGATGAGTAATGCCATGATTGTTTATTGGAGGCTATGTAGATGAGTAATGCCATGATTGTTTATTGGAGGCTATGTAGATGAGTAATGCCATGATTGTTTATTGGAGGCTATGTAGATGAGTAATGCCATGATTGTTTATTGCAGGCTATGTGGATGAGTAATGCCATGATTGTTTATTGCAGGCTATGTGGATGAGTAATGCCATGATTGTTTATTGCAGGCTATGTGGATGAGTAATGCCATGATTGTTTATTGTAGGCTATGTGGATGAGTAATGCCATGATTGTTTATTGTAGGCTATGTGGATGAGTAATGCCATGATTGTTTATTGCAGGCTATGTAGATGAGTAATGCCATGATTGTTTATTGCAGGCTATGTGGATGAGTAATGCCATGATTGTTTATTGCAGGCTATGTGGATGAGTAATGCCATGATTGTTTATTGCAGGCTATGTGGATGAGTAATGCCATGATTGTTTATTGCAGGCTATGTGGATGAGTAATGCCATGATTGTTTATTGCAGGCTATGTGGATGAGTAATGCCATGATTGTTTATTGTAGGCTATGTAGATGAGTAATGCCATGATTGTTTATTGCAGGCTATGTGGATGAGTAATGCCATGATTGTTTATTGCAGGCTATGTAGATGAGTAATGCCATGATTGTTTATTGCAGGCTATGTGGATGAGTAATGCCATGATTGTTTATTGTAGGCTATGTAGATGAGTAATGCCATGATTGTTTATTGTAGGCTATGTTGATGAGTAATGCCATGATTGTTTATTGTAGGCTATGTAGATGAGTAATGCCATGATTGTTTATTGCAGGCTATGTGGATGAGTAATGCCATGATTGTTTATTGTAGGCTATGTGGATGAGTAATGCCATGATTGTTTATTGTAGGCTATGTAGATGAGTAATGCCATGATTGTTTATTGTAGGCTATGTTGATGAGTAATGCCATGATTGTTTATTGTAGGCTATGTGGATGAGTAATGCCATGATTGTTTATTGCAGGCTATGTGGATGAGTAATGCCATGATTGTTTATTGCAGGCTATGTGGATGAGTAATGCCATGATTGTTTATTGCAGGCTATGTGGATGAGTAATGCCATGATTGTTTATTGTAGGCTATGTAGATGAGTAATGCCATGATTGTTTATTGTAGGCTATGTAGATGAGTAATGCCATGATTGTTTATTGTAGGCTATGTAGATGAGTAATGCCATGATTGTTTATTGCAGGCTATGTGGATGAGTAATGCCATGATTGTTTATTGGAGGCTATGTAGATGAGTAATGCCATGATTGTTTATTGTAGGCTATGTTGATGAGTAATGCCATGATTGTTTATTGTAGGCTATGTAGATGAGTAATGCCATGATTGTTTATTGCAGGCTATGTGGATGAGTAATGCCATGATTGTTTATTGTAGGCTATGTAGATGAGTAATGCCATGATTGTTTATTGTAGGCTATGTTGATGAGTAATGCCATGATTGTTTATTGTAGGCTATGTAGATGAGTAATGCCATGATTGTTTATTGTAGGCTATGTTGATGAGTAATGCCATGATTGTTTATTGTAGGCTATGTAGATGAGTAATGCCATGATTGTTTATTGTAGGCTATGTTGATGAGTAATGCCATGATTGTTTATTGTAGGCTATGTAGATGAGTAATGCCATGATTGTTTATTGCAGGCTATGTGGATGCTGCTATGAGGACAGCCCTACATCTGAGAGAGTACGAGGACATCATCAGTCCTGTTGACATCTACTCTTTGTTGGGTGAGTCTTACTGTCAAGACAGTAAGATTCTCTTAGATAATCAGTGAATCTCTAGAAATCACCAATATTTCTATCATACATACAGGTAAATATGGTGAAGATTATTACACAAAAACGAGTGTGTATTTTACTGATTACATAGAGATGACATATCACAGGCATGCAGTTGTTCTGCAAACAAACACAATTCTGCTGACATGAATTCTGCAGTTTTCTCTGTGGTCCCAATCATTCAGGATCAGAGGTGCAAGATAGAAATACTGATGTCAACATGAGAACATGGATTAGCAAGAATCATTATATGATATGCATTATAAATATTACCTTATCGGTCAGTTTGAAACATTCCCTTTGTTTTCCAGCTCTGTGTGCATGTGCTAACAAGGCATTTGGGACATGCTCTAAAGCTTTTATCAAGCTGGAGTCCATCGATGTCCTCACACCAGAACAACGACAACCATATGAGGAGCTCGCTCTGGAGATATTCACAAAGTAAGTTGGACTGTACACAAATCTTCATGGATTTATCAACCATAGTGCATGCTTGCAGTGTTTTGTCTGACAAGCTCTATAATACCTATGCAGAAATACTGATCAGTACCCAAAAAAAGAAGACAAAAATATGGGATGCATGTTTTGATCTGGAGATTAAACTAGACCTCCAAATGTATTTTTTTTGTGTTGATGACAGCTATCCCATTGTTTCCATTATATTCCAGACATTCTCCAAAAGACAATCGAGTGAATCGCATAGAGTGTAACAGTTGTGCCTCACAGATCCCGGACTGGTAAGTTGGGACCTTCTGTTTTTGAGGTCATAGTTATCTTGCTACTGTAATGTGCTTCAAGGTGTGGCGAGGGTCTCTTTGGCCCCTTAATTATTAAGTTGGGGAATCCTATTGGTGATACTCAGCTGACTTTATTTAACTGAAATCCTCAGTGTCCAACAAAACTCAGAATTATAGCTGACATAAACGAAAAAGTCTGGGTTTATTTTTTTTTCAAGCTTTTGAGAAAGTGACATTTTTTTAATGAAATGTCTGTGATAGAATCTACAACCCAAATATTATGTAAGCTATCTATAAAAATGTTTTGTACAGTCCAATACTTGAAGAAGTAAAATAATATGCATTGCTAGTGTTAGTTTTGTCAGTTTCCATTATTACCTGATTAGGTTCTAAAAACATTTGAAATTTCTCAATCTCTAGAAATATGCCAATCTTCTAATGAACGACATTTTGCACAGACACTTCACAGATACTTTGGATGAAGTGTTTTCTGTGAAACGAATCCAATTTTCTTGGATAGTATGTTGAATAATCTGAAACACAAAAAGAACATACATTTGGAGATATATATATATTTTGTCAGGTCGACCTCCTGTCCAAGCTGTGACACCAAGTTCCCCACCTGTATAGTGACAGGTCGACCTATCATGGAGTACGAGTACTGGCTGTGTAGCAGCTGCAAGCACAGAGCTATACAGACGGAGATCAGCCAGAAGTCCACGTGCCCTCTCTGTCATGTCAAGGTCTAGGTCAAGGTCAAGGTTGAAGCTGTAACATGTATAGTTCCTAATATGTACAGATTAACTGACATGCCATACTGCTATGTGTGATATATAAGATGCAGAGTCCAGACTCTATGACAGCTGAAAATGATGCCCCAACAATTGGTGTTACTTAATTCAAACGATATACTGCGAGTGTAGTATCTTCTTATGAAGTGTGGAAGTATAGATTTCTGCAGAATGTTCTACAACATAAGTCTTATATGAATGCCCCATGCTGTGTACCAACTGTGATAAATTTTGAATCACAATCATTGTGTAACACATGCGTCATCCTTGTTGCTCCCATGTCCGTACCTCTGCTTATGGAATGTGTTAAGATGCCCAGCATAAGAATCCCTTGGTCATGGCCCATACATAAACTTACTTCAGTACTTTACAGCTGGTTTCGGATAATTCTGCTCTAAAACTGTTGACTATTCCTTGTTTTACTTTGTGCAAGAGATCACACATTTGTTGGTAGGAGCACCAGATCTTTCAGATAACTGTCCTTTGAAATAGTTCTTTATCAATGGACAGACCAAACTGATTTAATCTTAATAAGAAATATTAGTTATTTAAGGGATAAGTTGTCATGGAAATCAAAACTACAAACCAAAATGTGTATGTCTAGATGTTTGAGTTGAGTGAAAGCTGCAGATACCCATGGACATGTTCAGGTTTATTGGCACATGCTATCTATGCAGTGAATTGTACAGTGTTATGCTTGTTGTTTGTCTTATTGCTTCTTTCTCCGTCCAGTATGAAAATCATGTAGAAATAACCTCTCATGCAATGTATCAATATACATGAAACATTCCAACCTAAATATCTAGTTAATGAATAAATATCATTCATATCACTGCTGTTTGTTAAAATCTTTTATAGTCGGTTGTTTTCAACGCACCCATACTAATTGCTTGCAAGCAATGTACAGCGATTGGCCTGACAACGGAGTGCTAACTTTCAGCCGCTTGCAATCGCACAAATCGCTGGATGAGGTTGCTTCGTTCTCAAACCAAAATGGCGGCTTAGGGAAATTTGAATTCGACGGCTGAACAAGAATTGTTTGACTTAATCAGCTGGGAAATTGGCAAAGACAGCTTACATCCAAGCATCCTCAGTTTGTACCACATCTTCAATGTAGTCATCAACAATAATAAATGTATCACTCGTCATCGAGACTCTTCTAACACGTTCTTCATTAGGGCCAGGCCAGCAAACGTGTGAAACGCTTCTAGCTGTTGCACGCCCGGGTTAAGTGATTCATTTGCTTACTCTAAGCGATTCCCGGCTTGCAACGCACCCTATGTGTATTTGGATTGCAATAATAGTCAGTGCCAAACACGTGTGACTGCCTATACTCATGTGTATGATGAACAGTATAAACATAATATATTGGCTTAGCTAAGCTCTCCAGATGGAAGGTAATGTTACTAGAACTTGTAGTGCTACTCCTGCTTTGAACTGGCATGTCATAGGTTTCATCGAATTTGACAACACAAACACTGAGGGCAAGTATGGTTTAATACTGATTTGAACAGTATGTAATTTATTTCCAGATTGTCAGCTCGAGACATTTATGAGTTTTTTCTCCAAGAGGAATTGACACTTTAGTATCCTTAGCTTTATGTCTTCTCTGTTGTCACCCTTCTTTGGAAATGTTTAGGTAAGATCAAAGGCCAAGGTTATCCTTCACACAAATATTTCAATGGTGCAAGCATTAGTCCTAAAGTGCATGTGAGTGAGTGAGTTTAGTTTTAGGCCGAACTCAGCAATAATCAAGCTATATGACGGCAGTCTGTAAATAATCGAATCTGGACCAGACAATCAAATGATCAAAATCATGAGCATTGATCTACGCAATTGGTTAGTGAGTGACTTTGGTTGAACGCCACATTTAGCAATATTCCAGCAGTATCACGGCGGAGGACACCAGAAATGGGCTTCACACATTGTACCCATGTGGGGAATTGACCCCAGGTCTTCAGCGTGACAATCGAATGTTTTAGGCTGCCCCACCGCCCCCTATGCAATTGGGATACAATGACATGTGACAACCAAGTCAGCAAACCTGAGAACCCGATCCCATTAGTCGCCACTTACGACGAGCAGGGGTTACTGAAGATCCATTCTAACCCGGATCTTCACAGGTTCTAAAGTGCATGTAACATTTTAACACAAGAAGCATTGGAATTAAGAATTTATGAGACAAACAAGTGAAATAAACAGATTGTGATGTGGCTGCAGGCATTTGGAAATGTTGTACAACCCCAATATGTAAAATCAAGACAATATGTAAAAACTAACGCAATATGTAACAACTTAACGCAAAACGTAAAAATTAACGCAATATGTAAAATATTAACGCAATATGTAAAAGACGTCTTTAACGCAAAAAGTACAACACCTAACGCAAAATGTAAAACCCTTTTTTAACGTAATATGTAAAAAAATTAACGCAATATGTAAAATCCACTTTTAGGTTTGAATATTAGGGGTGGCGATTGAAATCCATTTTTGTCACAAATTTGGCAAAAATTGACTTTATTTACAAAAACTAAGATATCGCAGTGTTTCTTACAAAATAAACTTCATATTACAATTTTTTACAAAATTCTACCACGTTCAGTATACATGAAAGCAGAGTTGATAAACATATAATTTCCTTGTATATAGATATATTTTAATCGATCTTATAGTCTATTTTCGAAAGTTTTAAAGGAATAATTTTATTCTTCAAACGTGTTTTCATAAATGGTATTTTAGGTTATATTCATTATGTCTCATTCAAGAAGGTTTGACCTTTCCTTCAAACTGTCCATTCCGTTGTTGATAATCTGTGATTACCGAACTGGGCTTTTAAAGAAAACCACTTATTGATCCTTCTTAATTTGGTTTGAAATAACATGCATGTTGTAGCAATGTTTTCAATTTTAATTCATTGTGTATGGGGGTTCGAATTAATTGCAATAGGTACTTGGCATCGAGATGGTAGCTCTGACCATTGGACTTCGGCCAAGCAACTGATCTAGGAGAGAGCGCCAATAGTTATGATTTGACTGTGTACATGAAACAGCGATGGGCGATTAAAGGGAATACTGGAATAGTTCCTAGATACGTGCATCTTGAACCGCCATAGCTTCAAGTAAACCAACTGAGAATATGAAAGAAGCTATTCTCTCTCCCTCTCTCTCATGTTACCCATTTACATCAATATTCCATATTACTTAAATTGCATCAAATACAATAACTTTATTTCATTAAATTTGAGCGATCAACATCGGGATCCAATCTCAAATGTCTCTGGTATTACTCGATTTCATTGGCAGCAATATTACCTGTGACTTGATTGAAGGAAATCAGATGTGATTGGAATGCAAATACCCGAATCACTGCGATGCATCTTGCATGTCCATTATACCAAAACTGCAAGATGGATTTACCATGTCTAAATCAAAGATATTTGTGTCCAGCGACACATTTATACTTAAAGTAATTTTCACATTTTGGAGTAATATAATATTTGTAAATACATCATCATAAATATGATATTTTCTCTAAAATTCATTCAAAGTGTTTCTGAAACAAATTCCCAAGTCTCTCGTAATTTCTATGGGATGGCTCAAACTTTTTATCAGGATTTGTTGCATTTCATTTGTGTATTTTGAGGTGAGATTATAAAAAACACTGCCAGGAAATAACTAATACATTAATTCCATAAAGGAAAATGTTTTGCTATTAATTCACCACTAATAGGATAAATTTGAACACAAAACTGGTCTCTCAGCAAAAACAATGAAAAGAAAAAGAAAACAATACAATAAACTTATATCTGCAGAATTCCAAGTTGAACCTTGGTTACCGTACCAAATGCGGAGGCTAATTTTATGTCCCCAACTTTGCGCTACATGCGTGTTGTGGGATAAAAAAAAGGCCAAAAGGTAAAAAACCTCCTAGGACATAATCAATACAACCCATATGACCATTTATGTACAAATTACTATGAAGAATAAAATGATTTCCTTGGATACTGTCGAATATAGATTATGATATCAAGTATCGCTATACATGTATATTACACAATTATCGGCTTTACTTTGGTGTTAAACGACCCAAAATATCAGATATCAATTAAGTCAGAAATGAGGTTAATTTTGTCAGAAATATTGCAATAGCTTAGGTATTTTGAAAAACAATAAAGTAAAGTTTCTAAAAAAATCAATTTCAGTCGCCAACACAATAAACAACAATAAAGCTGTATTTTACAGATTCCGTTAATCTTTTACAAATTGCGTTAAAAATTGTTTATACATTTTGCGTTAGGTGTTTACATTTTGCGTTAAAGACATTTTTTACATATTGAGTTATATTTTACGTTTTGCGTTAAGTTTTTACATATTGCGTTAGTTTTTACATATTGTCTTGATTTTACATATTGGGGTTGTACAAATGTCATCCTTCACAAGTATGAGGGATGTTGTAATCTTTGATAAAAACAAATAAATAAAAACAAATGGCATGGTCTTTTTAAGCTTCACTCATATCTGATCCACTTTCATTGTCTCATTTGGACATAGCTAAAGTATACAAAACAAATACTGATGGAGACCTTTTTAAATATATTTATTCCTTTATATATGACTGTCCAGAAATCTGATGAATCACATCAATCATCACAGTAATGGCGATGCACACACTAGCACTAATCGTGAATCATTCCTCTCACATTGAATTACCCGCATCATATGTGGTTGGAGTTCAAAACAATGTAACATTAAACAAGTTGACAGAGACCACAACAACCCTGGATAAAACAGGCTACTTCGAAACTATCACTAAAGACAGGGAAAGTCCTGATGGTCCATGCACAGCCGAAAAACACACAGTGAACACTCTGTCTGACCATCTGGACACATTGAGGAAGGTCAAGAATTACAATTAGTATTCTTTTTGGCAAACTGGAGATGAAAATTGAAAGGTATACAATTTTTTGAATGTTAATGGACATGTTCATATGGCAAATACAATCTGTTTTCTTTTTATGTTTTCAAATTTGAGACAATATCAACTATGGGAAATGTCAGAAAAAAGGCTGTATTTACAGTTCATGGTTCTGCTTCTTTCAAAGACTTGCTCTTGGTGAAATATCAGAAAACACTTCCTGAAGGTCTCTAAACTTACTTCATTCATCACATTTACCTCAACTGATCATTTGATGGTATAAGAACACATACACTTTGACATGAACAAAGTCTAATTTAGATTCATATAGACACCTCTAATAACCTCCAGGACTCTTCCAGACAAAAGTTTTTGTTATTTGATAATGCAGTGGTTGTGGACCAGAAGGAGTTGTTACTCTTTAATCCTCTCTATAGTCCGTTTGGCTCAAAATCGGACCGATGAATTGCAATCTAATTCGAAAACTAATAAACATAAAATACTCAATGAACGCTGATCATAATCAAAACATCACACCAACTCTGTGAGGTTTTTGCAGAATTTTGTCCTAAAATAAAAAGTTGTTTAACAATCTATCATTAAAATATTGACACAGTTCACTATTTGTTACTGAGGGAGGAGTGCAGAGAAAGGGACAGCCAGGTGTTCGAGAACGGATGGAGACGGCACAGCACAGGTTAATGAATAAATAACTTTGTCTGTGAACGTGCTTCTCGAACACCTGGCTGTCCCTTTCTCTGCACTCCTCCCTCGTAACAAACAGTGAACTGTGTCAATATTTTAATGATAGTTTGTTAAACAACTTTTTTATTTTGGGGACAAAAATTCTGCATTTTAATCACAGAGTTGGTATGATGTTTCGATTATGATCAGCGTTTCATTGAGTATTTTATGTTTATTAGTTTTCGAGTTAGATTGCAATTCATCGGTTCGCTTTTGAGCCAAACGGACTATAGTTCAACTTACAACAGTATTGAATGTCATATTAACATAATACTGTCTATATGTATATCATTACAGTTACAGATACAATTTGTTATGAACAATCAAAGCAGCCTTCATTATTCCATCAAAGTCAACATGCAAGCATACAAACCTCTCACAATGTGAAACACATTCAAATGATGTTAGACAGTCGTGTATAATGATTTCTACATTCAACACATGAACATGATTTACGGAGTGTTAAACTGGACAAAGCCTATCCACACACCAGCATCACGATGTCCCTACCAGAGTTTACAACACTATACCTGCTCCAGAATGATTGACAATTTGTGATGAGGCTAGAGAAAATGTTTACGACATCCTATCTAGTGACCAGCATGGAATATGATAAAGCTAATAGTTTCATCATCACCAAAAGACACTATATGTCAAACGTCGAATACAAAGACGTCTTTGTGCAACAAGTCGTTGGTCACTGGCGACTAACCATTTGACCTGAACATTTAAAAAAATACTTTGTTGGTTCCTATAAAATATGTTTTTTTTTTGTGGAATGCCAAACACCAATTTCATTCCTGTGACAACAAACTGACATTTCCAACAAATCATCATAACATTCTGGCACACTTAAGGGAGGCAACTCTGCACAACAATCCAATGCCTCAGACAATAGGCCACCCTATCCAGCTTTAAAGTGTAACTCGGGTACATGATAAGTGTAATAGAAGCAAAATCACATGACATCACCGGTATGGTGCTGACCAACTAAATGTAACTGTGGTGAATCTACAGCTTTGAACCCACAAACAGCAGCTCAGCATGTTACCAATGTTCTGAACTGCAGCATGTTTAATTCCTGGCCACCCTGAACCTAAGTTAATCAGGAGTGTGAACTATCACATTTCAATTTACATATTATGCTTATTTAACCAGGCAATAAATACTGAATGAGTTGGGAGATTTACATATTACAGTATATATGTATAATATATTATTATTACACAGGTAATTTACACTTATTGATTAAATATGAAGCTTCCCTGAATGCAATACATTTCAGGATGTTCCCATTCCAGAGAAGAGAAGGATAAGTTTTTCTATCTGAATGAAATGGTTCAAAGAAACATTGTGTGACAAATGTTTAAATCCAGAAAAAATGGTGTGATCCTATTAAAGACTACAAAAAACTAAAAAAAACAATCAAATAAAACTATAAAAAAATATTTAATATGTAAGTAGTTGTGAGGAATCTATCACCTCAATATCTCAATTTGTTCATTGGCTCAACTACAAGATCCTTAATACAGGTTGCTGTGTCCCAGTCCTACACTTTCCATGGTTACTCATATTCAAACATGTCTTAGTTTTTAATTTTGCTTCAGTTTCCAATGTGTTTTAAATAATAATATTCGTGGCCAAAACATCTTTATGAATACTGTGATGATAGACATCGCAGTTGAAATGAGGCATAAATTGTCCTCCAGTGTCCATTATAGAACGTAACGAGATACAATTCCTAGCTACAATGTAGCATAACAACAAGGCAAGGCTCATTAACGGACAAATCTCAAAGTATTCAATTTCAAATGAAATGTAAAACAAACCAAACCAAAAAACTCCCAACAAATGAAAATACTGCAGTCAAGATGAAGCTGGGAACTTGGGTCAACCTTTCCAAAAACCTCTGCCCTCATACAGTTCAGTATGTGTAATGATTTAAGATGTAGTTTGACCACACATGGAACGACCAACAACTGAAGCAGGAACAAGATATATCAAATAAAATATCTGATTTCAAGATATTATTTTAAAGTAAATAGACCCAATGGGCACCACCTTGTTCGAACTGGGTAAGGTTGGATGGTAAGTTTTCATACAATTTCAGCTGAAATGGTTTTATGGGTCTGCAGCCATCAGATTTCACTGTTTATTATTGTAAAGGAAACCTAATGTTTCAATTCCAGACCCCACTGACTGAGTGAGTGAGTTTAGTTTTACGCTGCTTTTAGCAATATTCCAGCAATATCACAGTTGGGGACACCAGAAATGGGCTTCACACATTGTACCCATGTGGGGAATCCGAACCCGTGTTTTCGGTGTGACGTGTGAACAGTTTAACCACTAGGCTACCCCATTGCCCCTACCACTTTAGAATCCTTGACACTGATACAGTGTTGACAAAGATCATACCCACTGTGAATCCGGGAATCCGAGTACAAGTAGATGAACCTGGCAATAGTTGGACGAGCAATATGGTGTACCTCAGACCAGAGACCTCAGACCACAGACCACAGACCCAACATTGGCATACCTCAGTTGAGGCTCTATAGCTCAACCAACACCAAAAATGATGTCCTGTGACAAACACATTTCATATTTGCATAGAGAAGAAAACACATTCTCTGAGTGTTAGGTCACTCAGTGACACAGTCATATTTCGACTGCTGAAAGTCAATGGAAAGATGTCAGCACATGTGGTTATCCAAAGACACAGACATGATGGCTGTGAAACTTTGTTCATCAATTTCATGCCAGCCATCATATTAGAAACAGAAAATTGTGAAAGTGGATTTCACAGTAACAAATGTATGCTATACACTCTACTGTATGATGTAACTACATGTTAAGATTTAACATAATCCTATTATTGAACATCCGGCGGACATTGTGTACAATTGTCACTGCCGAGATAAGCCTCTGCCTCTGTCAGTACTTGACACTCTCTTGACACTGCCGACATGGTCTCAAGTTAACACTGCCTAGACTAGACACTTAATTCTGTCTTGACTAAATACTGTCAAGAACTGACACTGTGACAACACAAAGCATTCAGTAGATCTATACTATCAATCTTAAATTCATAAATATACTGAGGGAAACAAATAAGGGAACAGCACTTCATAGCAGTGTTCCTTTATTTTTTCTCAGACTCCCTCCCGCAGCGCTATTCAAAGCTGGTGATGAAAACTGGACAATATTAAAGGAGCACTTGAATTTTCCTGTGTTCCTCTATTTGTTTCTCTCAGTATACAGTACATATGCGAGCAGGTTAATGGGCAGTATCTGGGTACATGTAGGAGTCGGCGTACATACAAGAGACCACTGACACAATACAGGGTCTGCTCCTGGGAAGCATCTACAATGGCACTGTACATATACTTGTATCTGTATCCTGTATTAGCACTGTTAATACCACAATTGAAATACATTTGTCAAAACTAAACTAACAATCACTGGGGCTTTTGGTAGTTTACGCTGCAGCCTCACATCCCATAGGCCACTTTGTTCTATTTACTACATAATACTTGACTAAATATGTGTGATGACCTTCTTCATCAAATACTTCAACATGTAAACGAAAATAAAAGAATGTTTCTGTTCACTCATTGTACTACTATTGACATATTACATTGACGAAAACAAAGGACTGCTCTTCAACCCTTATTTTCATTGCACAGAAGTAAAATATAGATTAAGCAGTCCGTAATTCAAGTGATAAACAAACCCAAAAGATTAAATTATCATATGATATGCTTTATACCTGCACAGTCCTTTCAACCCCAAACCAGTTCTAGTTGACTCCTCTTCACCACCAAAAAACTTACATAGCTTGTGGAATTGTAAGCCTCGTGATCAATACCAACAGAGAGACATAGATCCATTCATACCAACAGGAATGGTACTGATATATCCATACCAACAGGAGTGGTGATGATGCATCTATACCAACAGGAGTGGTGATGATGCATCTATACCAACAGGAGTGGTGATGATGCATCTATACCAACAGGAGTGGTGATGATGCATCCATACCAACAGGAGTGGTGATGATGCATCCATACCAACAGGAGTGGTAATGATGCATTCATACCAACAGGAGTGGTGATGATGCATCCATACCAACAGGAGTGGTGATGATGCATCCATACCAACAGGAGTGGTGATGATGCATCCATACCAACAGGAGTGGTAATGATGCATTCATACCAACTGGAGCGGTGATGATGCATCCACACCAACCGAGAGTGGTAATGATGCATTCATACCAACCGGAGTGGTGATGATGCATCCATACCAACAGGAGTGGTGATGATGCATCCATACCAAAAGGAGAGGGTGTTGATGCATTCATACAAACAAGAAGGTTGTTGATAAATTCATACCATTAAGATGATGCATTCATACTAACATCATTAGTTTTGATTCATCCATACCAACAAGAGGGACGTTAATGTATCCACACCAACATTGGTTTTGAAGTATTCGTACCAACAAGGAAGGGTGCTGATGCATCCATAGCACAAGGAAAATTGTCGATGCATCAATACCGACAGAAATTTAGTAAAAAATATCAAATCTTGGGCCAAAATATGAAAATATTAATTTCGTTCATTGTTTTTATTAATTTGCAAACATGATATGATGAGATTACATTACATTACACAAAATATTTAGAAAATAGATTTTCCAAACTGACAAACACTCATGTTCAGATCAATTTGATCTGAGTCAGTGGCACCGAGTCAGTGTAACATCAGTTGTATGTCACAGTGAAAAAGTTTTTACAGTCCTTTTTGCAATATTTCAGCACATTTCAGCAATATTTCAGCACTACCACATTGAGGGAATGGGTCAACTCATCGGACCCTAGATCCAGGCATGATGAGCATACATTTCATAATTTCATGAGGACCAGTGGTATTTTCAATATTCACTGGACCCACAACGTGACTTTTGAAAGGAAATACATGTACTTTACTTGATGGTAGATACAATGAAAGGTCATTCACATGGACGGCACCATCTCAGTGATCTGGATTAACAGTTCCCCATATAATGAAACACTGACAAAGGGTGATCTTCCTTTGTAAATATGAAGTAGTGGATTCATGAGATCCAAAGTGACAGGTTACCATTGCATTTTCTTTTACTTGTTAAGCCATAATCTGTGTCAGTTGTGGAGCACTGGGTCATCAAAGATGCCTCATTATGACCCTGATCGTACAACTACATACACTGACATCAGTCATCGTTAAAAGGTCAAGATTTAGGGACTATTCATAATTTATGGCTAGGGTGGGTGATGATGACTTTAAGGGGGGTCACCCATTTTGTTCTGGGGAGGTGGAGGAGTCACCAATGAAAAAGGTACTAGGGGGGTCAGCAATTATGTACATCAATATATTTTAAAATTTATGCCTAAACATTATGGGATAGGGGGACGGGGCATCGATTTTGTACATGACATGCCAGGGGTGGGTGGGGGTGGGAGGGGTGTCACTTACTTTGTACAAAAATCTTTGGGGAGTGTCATTCACATTGTTCATGCTTCTCCATGAAAATCATCACCACAGCCCTAGCCATATATTATGAACAGTCCCTCATGCTCAACATATTTACTTTATAATTAATATTTTCTATCCCATTACATTACTTGAAGTAGCATCTCTCACATAGATATTACCTGACACATTGTAAGGATAATAACTTAAAAGTTGTACAAAGATTTAGGTGAGTCTACAACTCATCCCTCTTTATTTTATTTTGTTCAACAAATGAGAAGAGTGACTCCATATCTCTAGCACCATTATATTCACTGATCTTCACACCATTGTTGAATAAGATCAGTGTCGGATAGCCTCGAACCTAGAAACAAATAAAAAAGATCAGAATAAGTAACTATCAGTGAACATTTGGGCAAACATCGCAATGAAAAGATCCAATGCCATCTTTAAAAGCTGGACAAAATGTCATCTCTGGCAAGTCAAGTTTTCAAGTATATTGATCATGTTGAGGTACAGATTGTTGCTGAACAGATTGTTTACAGATTAGATTAGTTTGTTTATTTGTAGTTTCATGTCCCACCCAGTACTATTCAAGCTGATGGTGCCATGTAACTTAGCTGGAGAACACAATCCAGTGATCGATATTATGAACGCCAGTTCACACTATCAGGGTAAGGGACAAACTAACAACCATGTTCGCCAAACTGACCACACGATTTATTTAGTTTCAACTGACAACCAGTATAGATTGTGGAGGGCTTAGCCTGGAATAACGAGGGTCATGTGACATGATACTTATGGTCACTAAAGTTAGGGTAAATCTAATAACGTAAAAACATCAAAAATAAATTATGAACTTGGACAGGTATCAATGTAATAGTGAGTTTAGTTTTACACCGCTTTTAGCAATAGTCCAGCAATATCACGGTGGAAATGGGCTTCACACATTGTACCCATGTGGGGAATTGAACCTGGGTCATCCCGTGACAAGCAAATGCTTTAACCACTAGGCTACCCCACTGCCCCTATAATATAATAAATTCAAGTGTCAACAGTTGCTTCACCATTAATTCTCAACAAAATGTACCCTGATGGTGCACATAATATCGACCACTGGTTTGTGCGGCCCAGATTTGATAAGAGGCCAAAGTGGTACAGCTAAACATACTAAACACCCTGAAAGTCACGTAACACAACAAACAAATAAATGTTAACATGAAAGCATAACACCTCAATACAATCTGACAATACCTCATGTTTCTTGCACAGTGCCCCTTGTACGGTGCAATCAACCTTAGCAATATTGACATCTCCAACATCAAAAAACTTCTTGGACAGTTCTTCCCATACTGGTGCAAGCCGTTTACAGTGTCCACACCTGTAGAACAAGAGTGAGTGAGTGAGTGAGTGAGTGAGTGAGTGAGTGAGTGAGTGAGTGAGTGAGTGAGTGAGTGAGTGAGTGAGTGAGTGAGTGAGTGAGTGAGTGAGTGAGTGAGTGAGTGAGTGAGTGAGTGAGTGAGTGAGTGAGTGAGAGTGAGTGAGTGAGTGAGTGGTGGTGAGTGAGTGAGTGAGTGAGTGAGTGAGTGAGTGAGTGAGGTGAGTGAGTGAGTGAGTGAGTGAGTGAGTGAGTGAGTGAGTGAGTGAGTGAGTGAGTGAGTGAGTGAGTGAGTGAGTGAGTGAGTGAGTGAGTGAGTGAGTGAGTGAGTGAGTGAGTGAGTGAGTGAGTGAGTGAGTGAGTGAGTGAGTGAGTGAGTGAGTGAGTGAGTGAGTGAGTGAGTGAGTGAGTGAGTGGTTTTACGCTGCTTTTAAACAATATCCCAGGAATATCACGGCAGGGGACACCAGATATGGATTTCACACATTATACCCATGTTGACAACAAGCAGGTGGGTAATGGTGGGGAAAGAGTAGCTACCTTCAGCGACTCACATAAACAGTGGCAAAGCTGGATTTAGAAAATAAGGATTTGCACACTCCACCCTGCTTATGTGAACAATAATAGGGCATTTTTATAAGCAAGACATCTAGGGGTGCATATCCCCTGCAACATTTACCCTGGGTATGTCCCTACTCTCAAAAGGATAAAACAGCATTGTATGTTAGTGAATTATTCTGACATCTCTTAGGCAGTTTACACAGTATAATGTTCTAACTGATCATCTAAGCTATGTTTTATCCTGGATTCATGGACTAACCTTCCATTATGAAGGGGCTATATTTAATTGGGCATTGCTTAAGTCTGTCAAAAATCTGCGTCTGAAGCTCACCTAAGCATGAGTGAGTGAGTGAGTGAGTTTAGTTTTGCGCCTCACTCAGCAATATTCCAGCTATATGGCAGCGGTCTGTAAGTAATTGAGTCTGGACTCACCAACAGTTTATCAAATGTTACTCTCTGTATGTACATTCAAATATTTTCTGCATAAATACTTAAGATTAAACTTATTTTCACAGCTGAAGTTTACACAGTGAAGTGCACAGTTAGTGGGAATTAACTTGGTCACATGTTTAGGTCCACTACTTATAAATATCCCAAATTTCATCACATTTTAAAGAAAATGTCTGAGTAACATCAATGGCAACACATACCTTTTTCAATATGGCTGTCATGATGACCATATTGAAAATCAGATTCAAACTTCTTGATCAAATAAGGATTTCATCACTGTTGAAGTTTCAGCTTCATTAGTAAAGTGGTTTATGAGGAGCAGATGCTTATGACAGATCACGCAGATATATCCATGACATAAACTCATGTAATCTGAGGTAAATATATCGAATATCAATTCCATGAATGGGTACGACTGACACAAGGCATTGTTTTAAGATGACATTAAAGATAGCTACTAACCATGGTGCAAAGAACTTGACAAATACCATTCCCTCGGCCAAGACGTCATCAAAGTCATCAGCTGTTAAGTCTAGCACTTCGGGCTGCAAATCACAAACACATCTAAATATACTTACTAACTTGTGTCAATCCTCCAACAAATATTAATTACACTTGTGCATCCATGTACACACTTTTAATACGGAGTTACCAACTTTTATTTCTATTTCTTTACATAAGATAATTAAAAAGGAACCATTTCCAGTTTAATAATTCTGTTATACAAGGCCTTGACATTTGCCCTCTGACCTCTGGTTCATCATCCAGGCTACCCTCCACAATCTTCTCATCTGTCCTGTGTTGTTCAGACTGATCCTGGTCAAGCATCCTCGACACGTACTGTTTCAGGTCATCCAAGTTGCGGGCTCCCTGGTACTGGTCAACCTGGTCAACATAATAGGCAAAACTGACCACATGAAGCTGAACAGAAAAAAGGGGTTCAGAGCTAATTAATTTAGCCACCTTAACACAGTGACACAGTGTGAAATGTGCTCAAATCTGTTACGTCACTAAACATGCTAAATTGTCAAACAATATTTGTTCCATACAGGATGTTATATCAAATGCATGTGACTGACTGACTGAGTTTGGTTTTACTTCGCTTTTAGCAATATTCCAGCAACATCACGCTTCACCATTGTACCCATGACACCAGGGTCTTCAACACATTCAGCATCTTCATCCCAACATACATAGGGACAATAAAACAATGTGAGGTGGGGTGTCTTCCAGAGACTTGAACATAATCATTAATTTATTGAGGCCTAATTCAAAGTCAGCATTAAGCCCCCTAATTAACAATGAACAGATTTATAAAAGTTGGAGTTTTCAACTTAACAGTAGCAAAATAGTTTAGGAGTTCGGACATTTTCCTTGAGTTACCGGTACTCTATCTTATATTAATGGAGACTCTACCTTTTGCCCATCCTTCATCCACAACAATGTGGGGTAGCCTCGCACAGAATACAAGTCACAGATTGAACCAGTAGCTGTGCAGTCTATCTGTAACAGAATCCAGAAATCTTTATAGGTTAGTCTGTTTTGCAGTTTACAATCAGCCACTGTAGGTCACCTTGATATATAGCCAAATGTTTTGAATAGTCAAAAATGTCTTTCACAACATGCCTGCTATTTTGAAGTCAATGAGGCCAAGACATAAGCTCGTTTGAATTCCTGATCATATCTATTGTAGCCAGAGCCATTACAATACTTGTTGAACAACAAAATAATTTGATGTTTAAGGTGAGGTGAGGAGAAATTGGGTTTAACGTCGCGCTGGAGAATATTTCGCTCATATGACGACGTGCATGCGTGTGTATGTGTATGTGCGGCTGCTTGTACTAGCCCAGACTGAAGCTGGTTTTATAGTGCTATGCCGCAGTGAAGCATGAATACCCCACTCAGACACATTATACTGACTCCGAGCCGACCAGTCCTTGTTGTACCCATTAATGCCGAGCGCCAGGCAGGGGACCAACAAGTACCATATTTTAACGTCTTTTGGTATGACGCAGTCGGGGATCGAACCCGCGACCTTCTGCTCTCCGGGCTGACGCTCTTACCACTACACCACGGAGGGAGTCTATTTGATGTTTAAAGTATTGAAACCATGATATATGTTCACTGTAACAAAGAGTTCAACTGCATTTACATTAAAGCGTGTCATCATTCTGGAGAGCAGAAAGTGACACGATTGGTATTTGACACCTCACGGAACTGGCAGGACTGCAGTCAGGTCGAATCTGACATAGTTAAGTTAGCTTGTGCTGTAACACAATGGCCAGGATGTTTCTCCCTATATTAACCACTGGTTTGACTGAACCAGAATGGGTTTTTAACAAGCTGTTGCAAGTTAGTTGCCACATTTTGTGATAGCTTGCAATTGTTATGTAATATGATGGCCAGGATGGGACATTGCTTACAACATTAATCACTGGTTTGTCTGACCCAAAAATATCACACTGGCTGGGACATTGCTCACAATATTAACCTCTGGTTTGTCCGACCCAAATTCCAAATGGCTTGGGACATTGATCATAATATCAACCACTGTCTGACCCAGAATCCCAACACCTGGGACATTGATTACAACATTAATCACTGGTTTGTCTGACCCAGAATCACAACAGCTCAAAGAATGCTAACAATATTAACCACTGACCTTATTCATTATTTACAAGCTGATGCAATTTAGCAACAATACTCTGATATCTTGTCATCGTGAGTTAACATGAACCAGCCACGCAGCTACTATTTACAGTGCCGTTGTGGTACAGCCAGAATGAACCCAGCACCTACCTTTGCTATGCTGACATCTTCATTGTACTGGAAGCTTTTGGCCAGGTCCTCCCACGTGGGTGCGAGACGCTGACAGTGACCACACCAGGGTGCGTAGAACTTGATGAAATGCTGGCCATGTTTAATGTGGTCTTGGAATGTATCTTCTTTCAGCTCGACCAGTTTCTGGAGAGGCTCAGGAGGCTGTGGGTCACTCTCCTCTCCCTGAGTGAATTTGTGGGTGAGTGAGTGAGTTTAGTATTATGCAACTTTTAGCAATATTCCAGCAATATCACAGCTGGGGACACCAGATATGGGCTTCACTCATTGTATCCAAGTGGGAAACTGAACTTTGGTCTTCAGTGTGAGGAGAACACTTTCACCACTAAAAGCCGCCTCTATCAGGGTAAGGGCGGTGGGGTAGCCTAGTGGTTAAAGCGTTGGCTTGTCACGCCGAAGACCCGGGTTCGAATCCCCATATGGGTACAATGTGTGAAGCCCATTTCTGGTGTCCCCTGCCGTGATGTTGCTGGAATATTGCTAAAAGCGGCGTAAAACCAAACTCAGTCAGTTAGTCAGTCTATCAGGGTAATATTGATATTAGATATGAAGGGATGAGTTGTTTAGTCTAACAGATATTGATTGTTGAAAAACTTATTGAGTATGCTTATTGCTGTTTACACATCTGCATGAATTTGAACTGATCTGGTTGGGTTCCACAATAGAGGAAGTGGTAACGCTTTTGAACAAATTCAAACTCGAAATAATGCTATTTGAAAACTGAAAAAGAGCACATGGATAGATTTATCATGCTATTACAGTATCTTTCGATAGGTCATCACTGCTTTGACACAACAGCACTTGACTGTACTAGAAGACAGAGCTCCAGATAAGCTACGTATTTGCGTAAAATATGTTTACATATGCTATAGAAAAGTTGAAATACGCAAGAAATATAATTGCCAGCGTATGAAAAAACACTAAATATTTACGTTTACGCTATGTCAAAATAACAATGCATATTTACCCAATACATCAAAATCATGTTGCGCATCGTATCATTCAAGCCAATCGAACTTAAAGTTTTTCAATCATTAAATATTCGCGATTAAGAAAGTCTTGAATAATGATCTAAACGCAATTAAAATGTGCAACTGAGATTGACTACCAATCGCAGTTTGTTAACCCATCACTGATTGCTCCATCTATAAATAGCAACCAATCAAATAGCTGTTTTCTTTCTGTAAACAAAGCGAAATGGTGAGCAAGTGTTGTCGAAAGCTTCCACATGCTTAAAGTAAAATATCTATTTTTTAACGCTTTACAAACCGAAAACAACTTCATTAGAGGACTGCTATATGAATTAATAGGCAAGTCCTGTGTTTCACAATCAGAATCAATTGCCGGTAATATTTTAAATGAACTTGTAACATTAGCTATTCACGGCGTGGAAGTGAAACAACATGATGGGGACAAGGTTTAGAAAGACATGGCTGTTATTATCGTCTAATAGCCATCTTGATATCTTGTTTTACACCAAAACGGATGTAAACTAAGGCACATATTATTTCTTACAGCACAAGTGGATAAAGCTGTCTAGCTATAAATTAGCTATAATTTAGCATTGTTGGGAGGATTTTGTCTTATTTTATTATTGAATAAAAACATGTCACACCTGTTATTTGTATTTGAAATGAATACCCGGATATTAAAAAGATGGTGGGTATCTAAAAGTATAGATACCCACTTGAAATTAGAAATACCCACTTAGTTTCAAAAGTATGGGTATCATACCCACATGTCAAAAAGCTTATCTGGAGCTCTGAGAAGTGATACAATTACAAAACACAAACATAACTTACCTGACTGAACTGTTCCTCAACAAAAGCTTTGAGAGAGTCTAAGTCCCTTGGACCCTTGTAGCGTGAAAAGTCTGTGGAAGACTCATAAAAGAACTTGAGTGTTGGATATCCAGTAATTCCCTGTGCAGCACACACTGCTGTCTCCTCAGTGCAGTCCACCTGCACACAGACAACATATCACCAGCGTATAATGTGAGCTACAGTCAATGCCACTCCTTCAGAGACTTGTATACACTACTGCTCCATCACTCACAACTATGTACGGTGAATATCCAAAGTATTTGTGATGCATAACCTTAGCTATCAAATAATCCATGATTCTTGCGAATCTCACATTATGTGTGCATCATTTACATAACACTTTACCGACAAAACAAGGGTTGACATAAAGACAAAAAGAGAAATGAGTAAGGTGAGTGAGGGAGTTTAGTTTTACGTCGCACTCAGCAATATTCCAGCTATATGGCGACGATCTGTAAATAATCGAGTCTGGACCAGACAATCCAGTGATCAACTGCATGAGCATCGATCTGCGCAATTGGGAACTGATGACATGTGTCAACCAAGCCAGCGAGCCTGACCACCCGATCCCGTAAGTCGCCTTTTACGACAAGCGAAATGGGTAAGGGAGGACTTGACACTGCCAGTGTTTTAGTGACATACAGACATGACATACAGTTTTTCAATGCTGAAATTATTGCCAACTCTATTTACGTTGTTTATATCACCAACTCAACAATGACATTGATTTGTAAATCAAATTTTTATTAGTTCCTCTGGCTGAGAAGCATAGTAATGAAATTGGCAAATACACAAAAGCAAGGGAAGGAAATTTGAGATTGCGAGAGCCAGGAGAATGGATACAGTAGTTAGTGTAGGCTTCCAAAATGAGAACCCTTGAGATATATCGAGGCCATTTGCTACTTGGAATACAGTCAGGCCACATTAGTCCGGACCTCGATAATCCGATTCCCGCGATATCCAAATGGTAGCTTGCTGTAACCAATCTTGTTTACTATGTAAACTCATTAACTGTTGATTCATTAATCCGCCGCTTCACTCTCCGCATCAGGATGTTAATTAGCGGTAACGGATTAGCTAATTACACCGGTGGTACATCAAGAAGGTTCGGATAATCCCCTTACCTCGTGAGCACCATTGATTAGCTCTGAACTTCATTGGTAAACTTCAATGGTAATTGATAAGTGAGGTGACATTTCTGAGTTGAACATGTCGTTAGTTTGTGATTTTAATCAATTAATAGGTCTCACTTGTGCAAAGGCAACTGGCACCAACAAATTTGAGCAGTTTGTCATCGCCAAATCCAGACGTCCCAGATGTTTTGGAAGAGACTTTAACGCAGAAACGTATGTTCGCTATCGGTTCAACTACAAAGTGTCGATGACATCAGATATGTTTGGTGATTGGCTGAGATCTTTTGACAGACAGATGTGATCACGTGGTTGACACGTGATCTTACTTTGTGACAAGGCCGCCAGTCACAAGTGTGCCAATGTCAAATTGACCAATGTGCCTCCTAACACCACTGTCATTGGCGATTTCTATAAACCCGAGTGAGTTTCTGAGTTTTGATTGTTATACAAACTGTAATAAAGTCATTTCATGCATGTACGTGCGTACGTTCTTGTCTTGGTATGTCAAAGGGAAGTAACTCTACTGTTGTGGTGTACATAATGGTTCGTTTCAGTAGTCCGTACATTTCACTATCCGAACGTTTTTTATGAAAAACGGAAGCGTTCAGATTAACGCGGCCTGTCTGTAGTATTCTTTCTGTTATTTTGAATTTATTATCGTTAAATACAAAGTCACACATGGATCTGTACTACCCGAAAATACATTGGTCTGGTCCTAAATCAGTTCTTCAAAACATTTGTAGAATATTCATTTGTTTGTTGTTTAAATGCCATACTCTGTAATATTCCAGCATAATGATAGCTGTATGTAAATAAGAAAGCATGGGTTCTGATCCACAAAGCGTTCGTAACGTTATGTCTTGTTGTGACTCTATAATTTATCATAGTCTAGCGAATGTAGTAGGGCTACGAACATTTTGTGGCTCGGGACCCTGGACCAGTGATTGATATTGTGAGCAATGCTCCATGCTGTATTGATACCATGACACACAATCAACCATGGCACTGAGCTTGATCTATGAAGTAAACTCCAGACTCCTGGGGATCAGTTCTTCCTCAGTTTCTGCAGGTAGAAGTTGTACAATTTGAACTCACCTTAGCAACAACAACTGGCCTTTCTGTTGAGTCCACATTATAGATTTTGGCAAGTTCATCCCATGTTGGAGCGAGCCTCTTGCAGTGGCCACACCTGTGCATAACAAATATTGATTTTTGTAAACATTTGTGATAAAACAGGTGGTATCTTGTATCATTTCAGTGAATTGATATTCATGAGACGAATTAATCAATTGCCACCTGGTGGGGTCATCTGTGATAAAACATGGATTGATGAACATTTGAGATATTTCTGATGACATCTGCTAGCCCTCAGACCGAAAGTGAATACATTTCACATATAGGTCATGATTTGCTGGGCTTGAAATTCCATTGTACATGCTTCTCCATAAAAGTCACCATCACATCCACACCACCACTCTAACACACACACACCCCCACCTCTAAAAATTATGAACAATCCCTTAGTAACATAATTTTGATTTTGTAGAGAATAATTGCAGTTGCCTTGGTGATTACGTCCCCCTACTATAGAGAGGAGTTTACCCACTTCGGTGTGTACAGAACCTGTCCTAAAAAGTAACGCCCCTTTATAGCAAACGCGTCCATTCCGGATGTCGGTGTGTGAAACATCACACTGACAACAGAATACTTGACACAGGATACACACACAGTGATCATAACAAGAAGCTCGGCATGATTTCTGTAAAAATAAACGTTACATACGGAGAAAGGATGACAAGCCACACACATCTCAATTTGTTTACCTAACCAACTGGGTCCATTGATCGGCGTCAACTTCGAACCAAAAAGATAACTTACCAAGGTGCATAAAACATCACAAAATGTTTGTTTTTAATGACATTGTCATTAAATGACTCTGCCGAGTAACTGTGAGCTGCTTCACCATGTTCTGCATCGGCTACAACAGCAGGGAAAACAGCACAAAAGGATAGCACCACGTACACGATGCAAGTCGCCATGTTGATGTCGTACAGTGGTCTGAAGACCAAATACGACTTCGATTTTTTTCCGACAACGTTTCTACAGAATTTTCACACAAAAAACATTTATTGTGAATGATCATATTTTCCAAATGTGTATACAGTTTTATAATGATAACTCTATTCTGTAACGAAGATTAATGTCGTAAAGGCGGAAGTTATTGCACCAGATATGAGCAACTTCCTTTCCAGCGCCATCACATTGTGAAAGTGCACGGTTCTCTACGAGCTAAGGCCAATCCGGCGACTTGCACTCTTCGCAATAAGCATCCATTGCTAAAAACACGAATATAAATCACAATGGCTTCTAAAGATGAACTTGCCTGTGTTTATGCCGCCCTTATCCTCGCCGACGACCAAGTAGCGATCACTGTAAGTACGGATATCGACACGTGAAAATTTCTGCTGGTTCGTGAAATAACCGTCGGATTAACACGATAAACAAGCCACCACTGAGGAAGACAAGTCTGATAACGAACTTATGGTGGTTGGAAACTGTCAAACGTTTTGGTAACTGATGAAATTACAGCGTGTTAATAACGTGAACAGGAATAGTCTTATACCGAGGTCTTTTCTTGTTTTCAGGCAGACAAGATTACCACTATCCTGAAGTCTGCAAGTGTTTCTGTTGAACCTTACTGGCCAGGTAAATGTATAATTGATCATAATCATCGAATTACTTGTCATTTGGTCACATTCACTCATTCCATGCAATATGTTATCACCATAATGTGTAATGCACTTACAGAAGGCTAAATTCGTGCAATTTACCCATTCACAATGGAATTAGAAGCCATGGCAATAGTGTTCAACAAATTGAGTTCAGATAGTACTTATATTGCAGAACACATTCACAACATGTTCATAAATAAATTGAATGTCTATTCTTTCAATAAGTACTATCTGCACTCAATTTGTTGAACACTACCTCCTTGGGAATGGGTAAAATGCAAGAATTGACCCGTATGTCAGTGCATTACACATTATGGTGATAACATATTGCATGGAATGAGTGAATGTGACCAAAAGTACTTCCGAAGAGTTGCAATGACCATACGACTAAATACACAAACAATTTCACGACAACACATCCAGATGCGATACAAAACAAGGATAGACCTTATTTATTGATCAATACGCAACAGATTCAGAATTCGAGCGACGGATAAATGTGTCCCACACTGGGCTTGCATAGTTTTTGTTTATTCGCCTAACGGTAGTGGAAAACAAAAAATACACGTGTAACGAAAGTACTATTTCCAAACCGAAGTCATGCAATCGTCAAGTTCAGCTGTTCGCAAGTGGGACTCCAAGTTTTGGGTATATTTTCAGTTTTCAGGTGTGTTATATTGTCTCCCAAGTGTAACTGTCCATAGGGTTAGGTAGTTTAGCAGCTCATATATCACAAACGCTCGGGTTTGTGGTGCAAGTCGCTTCAAATATGGGTAAGACGATTCCAGTCGTGTGTAGCAATGCCATGACCGCAGTGCGGAAAGTTGTTCTTAAAGGGCCTCTTCCATTTATGTGCTATTATAGCTCGATCGACCTATAGGCATATAGCTCGTTTGAAGTACTATAGCTCCATCTAACTATTATAGGTCGTTTTGCGGTTCTCCCCGACCTGATAATGACCTAATCAGTGTTTTACTTCGTTGTTTAATGTGACACGCGGTATTTACCAGTAATATGACAGATCAGTAAATGTTCGATTCTTCATTACCCGTGAAGATCTGTGTTAGAATATTGCTCTTCAGTAACCCATGCCTTGTAAGAGGCTGGCTAACGGGATTGGGTGGTCAGCCTCGTTGATTTGGTTGACACATGTCATCGGTTCCCAATTGCGCAGATCGATGCTCATGCCTTTGATCACTGGATTGTCTGGTCCAGACTCGATTATTTACAGACGCTGCCATATAGCTGGAATATTGCTGAGTGTGGCATGAAACTAAACTCACTCACTCACTCGATTCTTCACTAATGGTTAACATGAGCATCTATCTTCGCAACTCAGACCCAATAACTTTTTTCAGCCAAGTCAGTGATCCTGACCATCCGATCCTGGTGCTCAATTCTTATGACAATAATGTGTCGGTGAAGATAGTTCCAACCTGGATCCACCAGTGTTTGAAAAAATCGTATATAATACATGTAACGTAGCACAACATGGATAGGCACCACAGGTTGTAACCAGCAAGTTGAAAGTTCAGTTCTGACATATAGTTTAAGCAAAATATTGAGATTGTGTTAGAAAACAATTAGTTGTCAGGATTTTCACCAGTCTTGCATTAGTGTTTTTGAATTTTTTACCAGACCCCTTTCAAGGATTGAACTTGCATTGCCTTTAGGCAATCAAGTTAATCCAATAAGCCAACACATTCACATTAAACAAACCACAATTATTTAGTTTGTTTACACGAGTGATCGTCACACTTGTGTTCACCTTTACGTAAAAAGTGGGGGCTGTTTTTCCCCTAAAGTTGATAGAAATTGCCCAGAATTGCTTCAAATTACTTCTGATTAATTTGCAATTCATTAACTTTGAACTTGAAAATCCCGGAGGATTATAAATAAATGCCCTATCCTAGTGATGGTAAAGGAATGCTGCAGTAATCACTTTGAAGGGATGTTTGATCAGAAAGGGGCATTCCAGGGCTGAGAAATTATGGTAACCCTTTACCTACTGATCTAACCATAGAGACTTGAAGAGGCACTTGATATCTTTAAAGTGGGGTACCTGGTCCAGTTGGCACGGATCTTTGCCTAGTGTAGTGTGCGATTGCCAATATGTAATTGACTTCTCTGACTATTGCTCATCGATTCCCGGAACACTAATGTGTTACTGGCTTTGCCATGAGCAAAGATTACTGCTTTCTCATCGGATAACAGTGACACTATTGTTGTGTAATCTGTACTAGAGGAGGCTACAGGCTAACCGTTGGTCAATAAAGTTTTTGATTACCCACGATACAGATGGATAATAATGCAGAGATTTTACATTAACTTGTTTGAGACAGTCCTTAAGATTGATAAGATAATGCTTTCTTATCCCAACGGAAATTTGCTGTGCACAGTTATACATTAACATTGAAAACACATACAATACAACAAAAGATACACATACACAAGACCACAAAAACACCATAACATGTTAAATATCACTAAAAAAAGCTGGCAACAATGCCCAATATATGAGGTAAGATAAATGATGAATAAATAACATATTTAACATTTAAATATAAGGTGGCGACATTAAAATTATGCTGAGGCTCATAAGGACTAAAATATATATTACAATAACAGTTAGAAACAATTGATAAAATATTTTAGATTGATTAACTAAGTATTGAAGAATAAACTGTGTCCATACAATTTGATGTAGTTTTTTTATGGGTTTGTGAGCATCTAACCCCCCATTGATTGCCCATGGGTTACACCTGAATGATAAATGTCTGCCCGATTTTCTTGTTTGCGACATGCAGCATTTTAATATTTCCTCACAGATGAAGCTGACATGCTCGGATATATTTGGAATACTGTTCAAACTGGCTTTGAACCCAACTCGCTCGTAACTAAATTGTGGGTTCACCAAGATTGTCATATTGAACCTGGACAATGAATGTAATTTATAGATGACCTAAACTCCCACATGAACGTGATGGTGATGAAAATGTAGGTAAATATTTAAAAAATGGTCCTGAAGGTTAATGTTTGGAACAATTAATTAATTGGCTTCTCTGACAATTGCTCATCGATTCCCGGAACACTAATGTGTTACTGGCTTTGCCATGAGCAAAGATTACTGCTTTCTCATCGGATAACAGTGACACTATTGTAGTGTATTCTGTACTAGAGAAGGCCACAGACTGAGTATTAGTCTAATTACAGTTTTAATCGCCTCAATACAGATGGATAGTAATACAGTGATTTACAATAACTTGTTTTGTATTTCCTCACAGATTAGGCTGACATGCTCAGATATGTTTGGAATACTTTTCTAAGTGGCCTTGAAAATACAACTAACTTGTAACTAAATTGTTGGGTCACTTAGATTGTCATAGCTGAAAGATCTTAAAATATCCTGTTGGCATGTTAATCCTAGGTAATCTAGGCACTAACAACTTACACCATGTTGGATTAATTAGTATTAGTGAAGAATCTAACCACACTCTTATGTATTTTGTTATTTATTTGGGATTAATTGTTTAATTTGAGACCGCCTCCGTGGTGTAGTGGTTAGAGCGTCCGCCATACCTAAAGAAAATTTGGTACTTGTTGGTCCCTGTTCATGGAGGTCGTGGGTAGAATATGGTCTTCAGATCCCCATGTGCTTGCCATAAAACCTTAATTATCTTGTCGTGAAGAGTGCTAACCTAAAGGTTGACACATGTCATAAAATTTCGATGTCATGTTGTTGGTCACTGGATTGTCTGGTCCAGACTCGACATTCACGACATTAAAACTGGTCTGGCACATTAATGGGTACGAGAAGGACTAGTCGGCTTGGAGTCAGTATAATGTGTCTGAGTGGGGTATTCATGCTTCATTGTGGCATGGTATCTCAGTGGGCTAGCACTATAAAACCAGCTTAAGTCTGGGCTAGTACAAGCAGCCGCACATACACATGCATGCACGTCGTCATATGAGCGAAATATTCTCAAGCACGACAAACCCAATTTCACCTCACCTCTTTAGTTTGATTGGCATACATGCTGCTAAATTCCATATATTCTCTCAATGTTTCTGCTTGGTTCCAGGTCTATTTTCCAAGGCCTTGGATGGTGTCAATGTGAAGAACTCATCACCAACATTGGTAGCTCAGCTGGTGCTGCCCCTGCTGGAGGTGCTGCCCCTGAGGCTGCCGACGCCCCTGCTGCTGCTGGTAAGGGGGACAGATAATGTAGTCTTGTGTGTGTGTACGGGATGGGGAGGGGTGGAGATATGGGTTAGGCTAAGGTCCATTGCTTGTCATGAGAGCAGCTAAACTGGACTTGATTTCGCTTTCAGACTTGGTAAATTGGTGGAAGGGTCCCAACTTTTTTAGTTGGGGGAAGAAGTGCCGTCAGCAACTTTCTGACTCGTTTTTAATTTAGGCCAAGTGGTTGTGGTTCCTATTACACCTCTGTAAAATTAAGGCTAGGTAGGTGGGATTTTTAAAAAGAAAAATAACCCCAAAAATCAAAGAAAAGTATAAACATTCAACCAAGCTGTTGGCCATTATGTCAACTTTCTCTGTCAGAATGACCAATGTCCATCTTTGTCAGCGAGAAACAATGTTATCTGAAAGCTTACGTTATTCATACCGCTTAAAAATAATAGGGTTGGCACCAGAATTCAAGGGTCGGGTGGGTAATCGAAACCACATCATTTTTGTTGTTGTTAGGTCTTGATATTAAAATTAACCTAGGAGGAATCATTCAGTAGTAATGTAAAATGTTTATTTGGGATGCTGTTTTAATCTGAGGTCGACGTGTTATTACTCAGATCAAATGAAGATTCAATTAAATGTCTTTTTCTAAGTTTGTGATATATTTCCATTGTTGTTGCAGACAAGAAAGAAGCAAAGAAGGAGGAGTCCGAGTCAGAGGATGAAGACATGGGCTTTGGTCTCTTTGACTAAAACCACCAAGTGCTGTAAATAAAGTCCATGTCTTAAACAACATAATTTTGTCATCTTGTTTATTATAAACATTTACATGCCTGGATGAGTTACAAACTGAGAGGCACTGTGGTCTTCCAAGTGGCACTTTTGCAGTTTGGTAGTTAAGAGTGGAAGGGCCAGATCTGATGTTGCATTAATAGTTAATGGTTCAATCACGGAATGGTCTTTGGACAACTCTTTGTAGGTCTGTCTTAAACGTATGAGGATTGAAGTTGCCTTGAGATACTGCTTACTTTGTGGTGTTTTTTTCGGAACGGGGGGCTGTATTCAGCGGCGTCCGTACGTCCCAATTCTTGTTAACGTTAAATCTCATGAACTGTTGTACCCCATTTCTTCAAATTTGGCGACAGCCTACATTGGGGGATTACGCAGACACCAGTTTATTTGGGTGACCTTGACCTTATCTTCAAGGTCACTACGACATTTTGACAGCTTTTCAAACTTATTTAAACGCGATATCTCATAAAACATTGCACCCAATGTTTTCAATTATGTTGACAGCCTACATTTGCTGAATATGCAGACACCAGTCATTTCAGGCATCTTATATGTGACCAAAAAATAAAAAGTAAATATAGATATTCCATTCTTTAGCGGCGGGGGACATTGCATATCAGTGGCAAACACTTGTTTTAACACTGCATTCAACAAAATTAAATCTCTGACAAAGCCTTTAAATTATGGAATCTAGACCAGATAAGCCTTTTGTTGATTTTTGTGAAAAGCTATCTACAAGTGTGGCCATGCCATCAACCAAGTCCCTAGCCTGACTACTCCGCTGCTTCATGAGGTGACCTGGTTCCCATAGTTTGACAATTTTGAGTAAAGTAGCATCCCTGTTAGTAAAAGCACTGGTAGGGAACTTGGTCACAGTGAGAGTGGCGTCTGTGTGAATTTTGTGGCGGGAACTTTGCGATATGTCAGTCTTTGTGATTTTAGCATCAGCAAGGGAAGGGTAAGGTACAGTAAATGGCCTGTATGCATACAAAATGAATGTAACAAGAGTTGAATTCACATTTACTTACATTTGGTTTCCATCAGTAACCAGTAAATATGATGTTCATATGGCGACCGATAATCATGTAAAACCATTGTCACGAAATTAATCTTTTTTGATAAATAGTCTGTATATTGTGATAAATGACCCCATAAAGAAGTGTTGAAATAACAGGCGCATAACAAGCCAATTTTTTTGGTGTAAGCCCGGGGCGGTGGGGTAGCCTAGTGGTTAAAGCGTTGGCTCGTCATGCCGAAGACCCGGGTTCGAATCCCCACATCGGTACAATGTGTGAAGCTCATTTCTGGTGTTCCCTGCCGTGATGTTGCTGGAATATTGCTAAAAGCGGCGTAAAACCAAACTCAGTCAGTCGTGTAAGCCCAATAGGTTGCAAAGCTATATATTTAGATAGTATTGAGGGCTTGCCCAACCTTTTAAGAAAAAAAAACTTGTGTAAGCCCAGGCTATTTTTTATGATGTTAGCTACGCCCCTGAAATAATGCAATGAGTTCTGATTAGTGTTAATCACCCTTCATCATAATGTATGTGCTCTTTTATCAGCGAAAAAAAGCGTACATATCAATTTCCATGGATGGTCTTTGCAAAGACATATACGTCCTTGGTCTTTGTGATGTAACGGAAAATCCACGCATTGTCACAGGTAATTCCCAATCACAAAATGGAGTAGACGGGGTATGATTCTTCCAATCTGGACAGTGAATCGGATTTGGATGCGTCTTAGAACATATCTGAAACATCACCGCCATTGAAACATTGCCGTGGCCCGCAAGGAGCCCCGACATGAACCCCATCAAACATTACGATGGCCCGCAAGGAGCCCCGACATGAACCCCATCAAACATTACGATGGCCCGCAAGGAGCCCCGACATGAACCCCATCAAACATTTTGGGGACTGTCTGGGGCGCCAGGTTTGAGTTAGAGATCCTCCTGTTAAAATTCTGCAGGATTTGACGCATGCTGCCATTCTATGAGGAATGATAAAGGATTCCAATGCTGAGAATTCGACGCTTGATTGGCAGTTTGAGGAGGAGACTGGCAGATGTTATCTGTGTGAGGGGTGGAAACACCAAGTGTTGACTTGATCACCAATTCACTGTCCAGATTGGATGAATCATACCCAGTCTACTTATATAAATGGATATTTTCCAAATGGATAGTTCTGGTCCCGGGAGACAAATCTTGTATTGTACGATTTACGGTAGTATGTGGTGTGACAAGATTCTGTTAAGGACAAGCACTGACAGACCGACAAGGAAACTCAGGACTCTCTCCCCAGGAGCCAGGTACTATAGATTCTATGACAAACGGATAACAGACAGCCTTCGCTGATGTCAGTGTTTCCAAGCACACCACACAGGTGATGCTGAATTCAAGTTTGTATGCTTATCCAGATGTCCTTAAACCCTTTCAACGACTTTCCTCGAATTTGACTTAGTTAATAAATAGCTCTAACTTTGGATGATATGATACTGCTCGCGAGAAGTGATCTGCACTATCATAAGGAACAACCAGGACACCTGAAATATGATTTAAGATATTTTGTTGACTAATACTGACATAACATATGTTTTTGCATTCTTTGAACAATTAAACACAGTACAAAAAATAGTACAAGAACAACAAGAATTTGTGTTCAAAATAAATATTTTTCATGTAAATGTTCATTTGTGTCCCTTAACCTAAACTTTCCCGTGAATTGCGCTAACTGACTGGAAGAATAACAAACTAACATAAATACATAACAATTTTACAAAAATAATGCATAAATTTTTTCTGGATAAAACTTTGTTGCATGTTCACCAACGAAATGCAAAGAATAGCTAATATTATATGGTATATGAGTTTCATGCAAATGTTCATAAAGATGGTTACAACATAGCAACAACAACAAGGTTTTTCTTCAAGGTAAAGTTCCAGTTCATTGGGCTAGTTCAACCACATCCTCTTCACTCCTCCCACGCCCTCCCTCCTGTGCCTCTCACACTTCCTCCTGCGTCTTGGGGAAGCTCCTGGAAGCTCAGCTTTTTACCGGCCCTCTACCGACCACCCCCTCCTGTCTGGGGGAGGCTCCTGGGTGGTCAGCTTGGCTTCCTCAGCCTGGCCCTTTACCGACCACCCCCTCCTGTACGCCCTGCCAGACTATTCCTCCTCCTCCAGCTGGTAGGGTGCCTCCAGTACCAGATCCCCAACAGGACTAATGTCGGCCCACAGGGCACCTGCTGGTACATTGAAGGCATCCTCCCAGCTGAGGCTATCAATCTCACTCTCATCTTCTCCTTCCATCCATGGGGGTAGCCCGTACAGTGGGTTATATTGCACCCCCCCCCCTGGGACCAGGCATCTCCTGTCGCCTCGCACCACAGGCTCCCAGGAGGGAGACACCACTCAGGGTCGTACAGAAGGGTGGGGTGCAGATCTTGGGCGTCAGGACGAGGCTCTGAGTGCTCAGCTTGGGTTCCTGAGCTTCATGTTTGACATCTCCCGGGCGTGTGTCCTTGGATTTTGATTTCCCACGGAAATATCTCCGTCTGACAGATGACCCTCCAAATGCTTTCAAGAGATGGTATGTTATTCCAGCAACACCTGAAACAAGAGTTATAATGCGTAAGCTACACGACTGAGGAGTTGTGTCCCTTATCTGTTACAGCATCCACTGTGTTACACACGTTTAAGGCCCATTGTTGGCCTTGACTCCAACTTAAACACAACCCGCACCCTTGGCCATAACTTGCTTTACTGTTGTATAATCCGTCAGCCATCATACCGACTCCAGGGTTTTCACAATTATGTTCTATTAAACACACAAGTGCGCGACTGGGTTGGTCATTTATGGAAATTGTTTTATGATTTAACTGAAAATACCAATTTTGTAATGCATTGTTTATATTGTCTTCATTGTTATGACATAGTATTTTTGTGACCTTTGACAAGTCACAGTAACTGGGGTTAATTTCAGGCGGACCCGTGAAGATCCAGGTTTGAATTGGTCTTCAGCAATCTATGCTTGTCGCAAAAGGCGATTAACAGGATCAGGTAGTCAGGCTCGCTGACTTGCTTGACGCATGTCATCGTGTCTTAATTGCGTAGATCGTTGCTCATGCTGTTGATCACTGAATTGTCTGTTCTAGACTCGTTTATTTACAGACCGTGGCCATATAGCGTAGAGTCCTGCGTTAAACAACCAACTAATATCAGGCAGTTTCACGTCTCCAAACAATGACAAAATGCATGTCGGACATGTTTTGTGAATGCATGACCCAAAATGATGGCCAACTGACTGTAAACGTAAGATCTGCATCACTTCGACGTTTCCTCAACAACACGTCGTGGTGAGTTAGTAAGTTGAGTTTTACGCCACACTCAACAATATTCCAGCTATATGGCGGCGGTCTGTAAATAATCGAGTCTGGACCAGGCAATCCAGTGATTAACAGCACGAGCATTGATTTACGCAGTTGGGATACGATGACACGTTATGCATGAGCATCGATCTGCGCAATGTGTCAACCAAGTCAGTGAGCCTGACCACCCGATCCCATTAGTCGCCTCTTACGACAAGCATGGGTTACTGAAGGTTCATTCTAACCCGGACTTTCACGGGTACACGTCGTGGTGTAACTGTTAAACTGTTCAAAGTGTCTAACCTAACTCATCTAATGTTATATTGTAATACCCAAGGTACAAAGGTATAGATTCGAAATTTTGGAGTGATGATCATAAGTAAATGGACACACTACTTACTTACAATTACACGACACGTTGACCACTTTTCAAACTTATGTAAACGCGATATCTCATAACACATTGCACCCAATGTCTTCAATTATGTCAACAGCCTACACTGGGTGATTATGCAGACACCAGTGATTTCAGGCATCTTGTATGTGAGCTAAAAATAAAAAGTAGTAAATAATGTTATGAATATTTCATTCTTTAGCGGCGGGGGACATTGCCATATTAGTGGCAAACATTTGTCTTTGAGTCTATCAGCCATCATACTGACTCCTGGGTTTTCACAATTATGTTCCATTAAAAACACAAGTGCGCAACAGGGTTGGTCATTTATCGAGAAATTTTCATTGACTTAACTGTTACACACGTTTAAGGCCCATTGTTGCCTTTGACTCCAACTTAAACACAACCCGCACCCTTGGCCATAACTTGCTTTACTGTTGTATAATCCGTCAGCCATCATACTGACTCCAGGGTTTTCACAATTATGTTCCATTAAACACACAAGTGCGCGACTGGGTTGGTCATTTATGGAAAAATGTTCATTGATTTAACTAAAAATACCAATTTTGTAATGCATTATTTTTTATTTTCTTCATTGTTATTACATAGTATTTTTGTGACCTTTGACAAGGCACAGTAACTGGGGTTAATTTTAGGCGGACCCGTGAAGATCTGGATTAGAATTGGTCTTCAGCTTGTCGTCAAAAGGCGAGAACAGGATCGGGTAGTCAGACTCGCTGACTTGGTTGACGCATGACACCGTGTCTTAATTGCGTTGATCGATGCTCATGCTGTTCATCACTGAATTGTCTGGTGTAGATTATTTACAGACCACAGCCATATAGCTGGAATACTGCTGTGTCCGGCGTTAAACATTAAACCAAGCAACTAATATAAGGCGGTTTCACGTCTCCAAACAATGACATAATGTATGTCAGACATGTTCTGTGAATGTATGACCCAAATGATGGCCTACTGACTGTAAACGTCAAAGATCTGCATCACTTCGACGTTTCCTCCATAATACGTCGTGGTGTAACTGTTAAACTGTTTAAAGTTCCAACCTAACTCGTCTAACGGTATATTGTAATACCCAAGGTACTAAGGTATAGATTCCAAATTGTGCTGTGATGATCATAAGCATTTTGACAGGACGCATTACTTACACAAGAACGTAGCCCCACCAGTGAAGAAACCTTTGGCAAATCCAGAGTTCAGTTCTGCAGAAAACACACAAGAGCTTATAAACACTGCACTGTTGTAAACAAATGTCAATTACATACATCTTCTATTCAGCTAATTTTCCGGGCACATAAGTCTCGGTTATATGGTTTCCGCGAACATTTAAAGAGATTAAACACGAATGTATCATTATGTCTAAAGTTTTGAAGCTTTATTGTGATAGAGCTGTTCTCCGGGATGTAGTATTCCCTCTGTCAAGCCAGGATTCTAATTCACTACTCTTCAATCAGGTCAATGTAGGAGACCGGCTTTTGCCATGTGAAGAAGTAGATCGTCTTTCCCTGCACACGAGGGCCGTTCTATTATTTCTAAAACTCCCCGCTAGACCTGACCCGAAACAGATGTCAGCTCTTAATAGACAACATTCACTCAAATGTAGATATGAGTAGATAACTTACTGAGATCGACTTCGGCGTTTTGAACCACAGAGTGGGGCAGGGTAGAAAGTATGGACCTGGAAACATACAACTGAAACTTGAAACTTATCTATACTTATGTACATATGTTTTTCAAAACGTAAATGTTATTCACGCACGCACGCACACGCACACTAAATAATGGAGATATATATAAATACATAAGTTATTCATAGAAGCGCGACTGTTTCCCCACATTTTTATACAAATCTAAAATTATATCTGCATCATCTGATACATCTTTACAGTATTTTACCCTGCTTCTTGTAGTGTTCTGTCAACAGCGACATCTCCACCACGCACACACTGCAGCGGCAACGCACACGCATTCTGTAAAGCACTAAGCCAGCCCATCTTCACGGCATTCAATGAGGCAAATGATTGTTAAAGCGTCACGTGACGCTGTCTGTGACGTCATAGTAGCAACGACACATTTGATGACGATGGTGGCAAACTCCTCACAACGACGGAAAGTGCGGAGCTCTCTGTATGTGGGATATCAGGAAAGGGGTTTCGTGCATGGAATAGTGGTGATAAAAATGAATTCTACTATTTAGTTTAGATAAAAACGTAAACAATATCTTAAAATTATGTCATATGCCTGTCGGTTCGTTTCTTTCCAAGATGAAGTCAAACCCCAGCTAGTTTCTTTCAGACCTGGGTTTACGGGTAACTCAAGTCCAAATGAATGCATTGTCAGTTTGGTAAACAATTGTTCAGTGTGAGTTTGTAACTTTCAGGTTTTTGTGAAATTTTCATGATATCAAGTATATCTTTCAAGACGCTTTAAATTCCAACATGTTTATTTAGACAGTTCACGACACCAATCATAGTTCCCCAAGCACAAAGTTCTCTCGTTAGAACCGCGTTAGGAAACTGTGCTTATCTGCACTGCTGTAGCCGGGGTATGAAACTCCCCAAAAGTTTCAGCCAAACCACAGGGCTGGTTAAATGTAAAACTTGCCAGACTTGACCAAAACTTACCTGCCAACAAAATATCTTCATTTACAATAACTTCGACTACATGTGCTTTAGACCCTGCACCAACACAGCTTGTTTTGGATCATGTGGATATTCTCCTCCCAACTATCAACTAAGTTTAGTAAACAAGAGCCTTGAATCTGGAAGATTTCCCACAATCTTCCGAACTGCAGTGGTTAAGCCTCTCTTGAAGGAGGACAACATGGACTCAGATAATTTTAAGAACTTTCCACCCGTATCAAATCTCTCCTTTTATCTAAAGTGATTGAGAAAGCTGTCAATATCTGGCTGAAGGCACTTCTTTCATATAACCATCTCGGGGCATTTCAGTCCGCGTATCGCCAGTTCCACAGCACAGAAACTACACTTTTGAGAGTTGTAGACGATCTTCAATGTGCGGTAGACGAAGGTGATGCAGCAGCTTTGCTGTTACTTGACCTCTCATCTGCTTTCGACACCATAGACCATGGTCTCCTGCTGATGGGATTTCGATATCACTATGGTATCAAGGACTCGGTCTTACATTGGGTCTCCTCGTACCTCCAAGACAGAACACTGTTCATACTGATAGGCGATGCCAGATCAAGTAACATTACACTTGAGCATGGAGTGTCTCATGGGTCTGTACTTGGTCCTGTGCTGTTTGTCCTCTACACTGGCAGTATATCTAACATCATTTCCAAACACTGTCTACAGCATAAATTCTTATGCAGATGATACACCTCTTTTCATCCGGAGAGTTCTGGTCAAGCGCTAGTCAAACTCTCAGACTGTACAGGCGTTCTGAAGTCTTGTATGACTGCAAATAGACTAAAACTTAATGATGATAAAACAGAGGCTCTCTTAGTTGGAACTAAACAGCAACACAGAAAGTCAGATGTTGAATCTATTGCTGTTTCAAACTCAGAAATTACACTATCACACTCAGTGAAGGATCTGGGAATACCCTTAGACACCAGCCTGTCTATGGAAGCCCAGGTAAATAACCTGTGCAGAACATGCTACTCTAATCTTAGAGTGATTGGCAGTTTCCGTCCTCTTATCAACACATAATCTATCTGCTCATTCCCTTGTCCGAGCACTCATTCTCAGCAGGCTAGATTACTGCAACAGTCTCTATATTGGCCTCTCTGACATCCTACTTGACAGACTACAAAAAGTCCAAAATACAGCCTCCCGCATCGTCAGCCGCACTTCTAAACACAGCCGCATTACTCCAGTTCTAAAGCAGCTCCACTGGTTACCCGTGAGAGCCAGGGTCCAATTCAAGACGCTGTGCCTCACATACAAGTCCCTTCATGGCCAGACTCCACCTTGCATTGCAGACCTGACCAACCCCTACAGTCCAGCCCGCGTACTTCGCTCACAGCACAAAACTTTCTCACAGTGTCTAACTACAAACCTAAAACCTTTGGCTACAGAACTTTCTCCTACTCTTCCCCTGTCATGCGGAGCTCTCTCCCCTTTGACCTCAAACACTCTGAATCTCTGGATTCTTTTAAATAAAATGTCAAAAACCTTACCTCTTTGCTCAATATTATCATCAATAGCCTAAATTGTTTATGCATTATGCATCTATTCATTGTAGTTCTTAAATCTGTATATATTATGTATATATTTTTATTAAGCCCTCTGAGTATGCTTACGAGCGTGGATATGTGCGCGTTATAGATATGCACTATTATTATTATTATTATGTTTTACAGATTAAAGATAGTATGCAGCAGAAAGGGTTCGGGTGATCCTGGCACAGTCAGGCTGGTAAGGCTCATCATCAGCTCAGGGCCCTTGCCCCCCTCTACAAGGAGCCCAGACAGCGAATGGGACTTCTCCCAGGAAACGCTGCCTAGTCGAACCCACCAAGAACTTTCTGGAGAATATGAAGGCTCCCCAACACTTCAGCCTTCTGCATTACCCAGAGTGTTAGAAGGGCTGTACTCCCGGTGGAGAACCCGGGCACTCTCCTGATCTGCGCCAAGAGATCAGGAGGTACCAAACCAAGGGCACCGAGAACAATGGGGAGCCTGGCGACAGTGTACTTGGGATGCAAGCGAGACGTTTCAAAGGCGAGGTCAGCATATTTATCATGCTTTTCCTGAATCTTGCCAATCACATTGGTGTCAAAAGGGACAGAAAATTCAATGATGTAAATAAATTCATTGGCTTTATCAAAAAGGACAAGATCAGGTTTGTTGGCTGGAATTCTTCTGAGGCTGTATATGGGCCTATTCCAGAGAAGTTTGAAAGCATCATTTTCCATGACGCCCTGGACATGTTCAGGGTCGTACCATGGATGGACCTCGGAGTCAAAGCCACAGGCATGTCGGAGACGGTAGTAAAAGCAACGAGCCATGCCATCATGTCGTTTAAGATATGCTGTTTGTGCCAAGGAAGGGCATCCACTGACAAGGTGTTGGACAGTCTCCGTGAATTCATTGCAAAGTCGACATTTCATATTGATATTTTCTTTAAGAATCACATTTAGGCGATTGCGAATGGGAAGTAACTGGTCCTGAGCAGCAAAAAGGAAGCCCTCAGTTTCACATTTAAGACCAGCCGACTTCATCCAGGTGAAGGGGTCGGTTGGATTGCTATTCTGTTCCACACACTTCATGTACACACAATGCAATGGTTTCTCACAAAGCTTCTCCACAAATGACCGACTCTGAACAGACTTGGTGAATAACTTCACCTGGCAGCTTTACTCCCATTGCTGTACCGTCCAGCACTACATCGCCATCAGCAAGTATGGAATTATTTATCATTATTATAGTATATTTATATAGCGCACATATCCACACAACTGGTGCATGCTCAACTGACTGACTGACTGAATTTGGTTTTACGCCGCTTTTAGCAATATTCCAGCAACATCACGGCGGGGGACACCAGAAATGGTGCATGCTCAAGGCGCTGGTATTTTTTCCCTCGATCATTGGATGTCAATCTCAACGGCACATCTTATTATCAATCTCAACTTCCTGGGGAGTACACAACTCTTGCTGCCACTAGGCGCACCGAGCTATTATGGCTTTCCCACCCTTACGAGGTACCCATTCACAGCTGGGTGGACTGGGACACATAGTCACAGTATTTTGTCCAAGTTCACTGCACGTTGATGTACCCGCAACTAGGTGTTTGCACGTATTCATGTGGCCACCATCTGGTCATATACCAACGGATTCGTGGGTTCCTTTAAGTGCACAGGGTTGTGTACTGTACACTAGGGGTTGTGACAACACAGAAAGCGTCTGCACACAAAGCTGACTCCAAGGTTTTTACACCCGGTCACAGGTGGGCTCGATCCCGGCATTTGAGCCTCGCTGAACCACTAGCCTGGCGCCTTAGCCAGCTCTCCCATCGCGCCCCCCGGCGCATCAACAACATGACTAACCCACTGTTTGCCCATAGCAATGAAGGTAGCGAAACAAGCCGAAACTTGATCCGAACTTTAAGTGGAATATCTAAATGGAAATGTTCCTGACAAATGGTATTCACATTTGCCATTATTGACAAATGGTATATTTGTTATTATTGTTATTATTAGATTTCAACGAATCCCATTGTAGTTGACACTCCAGGTTATTTCCAAATGGATAGTTCTGGTCCAGGTGACAAATCTTGTACGATCTACGGTAGTATGTGGTGCGACAAGATTCTGTTCAGGACAAACACTGACGGACCGACAAGGAGTCTCCCCAGGTTCTATAGATTCTCTGATAAAAGGAGAACCAAGCATACAGCCTTTGCTGATGTCAGTGTTTCCAGGCAAAACACACAGGTTATGCTGAATTATAGTTTGTATGCTATCCAGATGTCCCTTAACCTTTTCAATTACTTTCCCGGAATCTGAATTGGTTAATAAATAGCTCTGGATGATATGAAACTAACTGAACGCGACAAGTGATCTGCACTACCACAAGGAACAATCAAGACACCAGAAACGTGATTGAAGATATTTTATTGACTAATACTAACATAACAACATATGTTTTGGGCATTCTTTGAACAATTAAACACAGTACAAAAATAATGCAAGAGCAACCAGACAAAATAATATTTTTTTCATGGA